CTAACCCTAACCTAACCTAACCTAACCTAACCTAACCTAACCTAACCTAACCTAACCTAACCTAACCTCTAACCTAACCTAACCTAACCTAACCTAACCTAACCTAACCTAACCTAACCTAACCTAACCTAACCTAACCTAACCTAACCTAACCTAACCTAAGCGCGGTGTCGGCGGTCGAGGACAGGAGTGCAGGGGCGTGGGACGTGCAGGAGCAGGGACGCGTGTGCAGGGAGGCTGGCGCGAAGAGAGGCAGTATACCTCGTGAATATCCTCGTCGCACGTCCCTTCTCTCCCCCCAGCGTGTCTTTCCGCCACCGACCTTCCTCATTGTGGTCGTTGTTGTCGTCGACATCGCGGTCGTTGACGCTCGGACGGTCGCGATGCTTGGCCCGTCATCGGGCAGCGTGAGCGTGTGGGCGTCGGTGGGGCAGGACGCCTCAGCGACGGTGATCGTGGGTGGCACCGGGAAAAGAGATGGTGGCGAGCGTGGGCGTAGGTGTGGACGAGGTTAGAGGACGAGGCAGGGATGGGACGGATCTGCAGACAGCAAAAGTAAATAAAAATAAAAATAAACGCCAGTACACGCCTTCGGCGATGCTTGCTTTCTCAGGGCATCGGCGGAGGCCCATCGTCCCGTTCGCAAAGTTGAGTGTGTGGAAGAGAGGGCATCAAAGAGTAGGTTAGAAATGTACTCACAAGACTAGTTAGATTGATGCTTGTCCCGGTTTCGCAATCCATTGTTGCGTGGGCAGCGGGGAGACATGTTGTCTGTGAGAACCTCCGTGCAATTGGAAGCTGGATCTGGTCGAGTCGAGAGCTGGCGGTCAGCGCAGGTCAGCGCAGATCGACACTCTCTCCACAACTTTCGCCCACACGTCGTGTGGGTGAATGGGGCCATGGTGTAAAGACATAGCCTCTTTTTTAGGAGAGGAAGAGATGGTTTGCAGGGTCGTGATATACATACAGAGAGAGAGAAAAAAAATCTAACTACAGGTAGAAGGGGTACTTGAAAAATAGCTAAGAGTGGGAGCGCGTATATGTGCACACAAAGCATGTGAAATCAGTTGCTGATAGTACGAGTGGGAGAGTATGTCAGATCCTCTCATGGCGTGTGTGTCAGGGTGCTACAGAAGGCGGTTGGAGCTTGTCGCCATGTCCCACCCATACTCAGACTCAATGTCAACATAATGAAGACTCACTGTGCAAACAATAACGATCCCTCACTTCTTCAGCGACCAATCTACCTCAGGCCAGCCTAGCTGCTCCCACTTGACGCTGCGTCGCAGTGCGGTGACGTTCCTGATAGACAAGGTGTGCTGTGTGCATGTGCGGGATGTACTTCTCGTGGCGCTCGAACATGTCCAGCACTCACTTGCGTTCTGTTTTCCCTATGCATGCTCGGAGTCATTTGTGATGTTGCAGAACGTGCTAAGGGCAGGTGTGTTGCCGGCGAAGCCGGCGGCCGTGTGTAGTCTGCGGCAGCCTGGCTCGCCACCAAGCCCAAATTAACCTTCGGCGAATTTGGGCTTGGTGGCGAGCCAGGCTGCCGCAGACTACACACGGCCGTTTTTGCACTTTGCTAGACTTGTCCACTGCGGAACCCTCAACATCGAGGCGTGCGCGAGCCGTGTATCTTGCGCAACTCGTCCGCTGTGGATTGTTTGATGCCAAGCATCACCGACGCGTACAGGCAAGGGCAGTGGGAGGGGTAGAGGCGTGGGGAGAGATGGAGGGGCTGGAAGATGAGTCTATATGACGCTGTACAGCTGAGCTTGCAGGACCGCACGAAGAAGTGCAGGGTGGGTGTGGGGGAGAGGGTGGTGCGCGCGCATACCTTCTAGGAACGCGATGCGCACCGCGTCTTTGCAGCTTCCGCTTGAGGCAGAGTGCGGCGCAGCGCACACGGACTGGAATGCGCTCGCTTCCCTGCGGATATCGCAATTCCTTTGGCATGAGCGTGGGAATTGATCTGGGGAGCAAGAGGGGAGCCGGCGGGGACGACAAAACGAGGGCGTAGCATCAGAGCACTTCGAGCAGGCAAATAGGCGAGAGGTCGAGTGCGCATGGGGTCTCTATAATAACGCAGAACGAGAGAGGGCGGGCAGAATGACTGAAAATGTGAAATATATGTGAGGAGGGGAAGGAATGAATGTGCAAGGACAGGAGGATCGATAAGGTCGACAGTGGAAGGGGTCGAGGGGTCGAGGGTGGGGGTCTTGGGTGGCAGGCGTATATGGAGTCGAAAGGACGACCATGCGTGGGTCGAGCGGAGGGACAGGTGTGCAGGGGAAGACTGGCGCAAGGAGAGACGACAACGTACCTTCATGACGCTCGTCCTTCTCATGAGATGTTGGAGGGCACTGTGTGCCGACACAGTCGGACTGTGTGGCGCGACAATCAACAGACTGTGTGCGGCACGGCCGGACTGTGTGGCGCAGATTCACCGCCAAATCTCGGACTGTCACCGAGAATCCGGACTGTGTGGCGCTGAACTAGCGCCAAAATCCGGACTGTGTGCGGTCTCGGCCGGACTGTGTGGCGCAACAGAGAGACTGTGCACAGTGTGACAACAGTGTGACAACAGTGTGACGACTGTGGGTCCGCAATCTCCCGACTGTGTGCCGCCATTTCCCGATGCTGACTAAACTGTGTCTCCGGGTTGCAGAATACCCTCAACATCACAAACAATTACATATCTCTCGATCCCCTCATCCAAATGATAAAATTAGGGTATAATTTGAAAGGTAGTGTATGTAGAAGCATTTTCTTAGTTTTGCAATGGAAATCCAAAGACAATTGTGGACTGGAGACTCGGTTTTTTGAGGTTTTCTTTCAATTCTGTATTTTGCCTGTAACATCTTCAGTACTCCATGTCTACTAATGAAAATATTAGAGTACCATAACAAATACATTTTAAGCCTATTGAATCAGACAGAATTGTGTGAAACTTCAGATTTGGTTCCCAAAACCCAGACTGTGCTTCACACAGTCTGGTTTTAGGGGGTAGACTGTTTAAATCCATATCTATTGAACCCCTAATTCAATCTCACTGCTTCTGGGCCTCAAAGTTGAAGCAGGGTATGAAGATTACAGAAAAGACTTTTTTGTATTTATAGTTGCATTTAATTGGCAACACAGTAGTTTCGGATATCGGTGGACTCAAAAGTGTCGGTAATAGTAGTAGGTAGGACGTCTGTGACGACTGCACGACATCTCAGACGTCGCGTCTCGTCTAGGATGCAGGCAGGACGTCTCTGACGACTGCACGACGTCTCAGACGTCGCGTCTTGTCTAGGACGCAGGCGGGACGTCTGTGACGACTGCCGGACGTCTGAGACGTCCCCCCCTCGTCTGTAAGTGAATAAAAGGTGTCTGTGACGACTGCACGACGTCTCAGACGTCGCGTCTCGTCTAGGATGCAGGCAGGACGTCTGTGACGACTGCACGATGTCTGAGACGTCGCGTCTCGTCTAGGATGCAGGCAGGACGTCTGTGACGACTGCAAGACGTCTGAGACGTCGCGTCTCGTGTAGGACCCAGGCAGGACGTCTCTGACGACTGCACGACATCTCAGACGTCGCGTCTCGTGTAGGATGCAGGCAGGACGTCTCTGACGACTGCCGGACGTCTGAGACATCCCCCCCTCGTCTGTAAGTGAATAAAGGGTGTCTGTGACGACTGCACGACGTCTGAGACGTCGCGTCTCGTCTAGGATGCAGGCAGGACGTCTGTGACGACTGCACGATGTCTGAGACGTCGTGTCTCGTCTAGGATGCAGGCAGGACGTCTGTGACGACTGCACGACGTCTGAGACGTCGCGTCTCGTGTAGGACGCAGGCAGGACGTCTGTGACGACTGCCGGACGTCTGAGACGTCCCCCCCTCGTCTGTAGTGAATAAAAGGTGTCTGTGACGACTGCACAACGTCTGAGACGTCGCGTCTCGTCCAGGACGCAGGCAGGACGTCTGTGACGACTGCACAACGTCTCAGACGTCGCGTCTCGTGTAGGATGCAGGCAGGACGTCTCTGACGACTGCCTGACATCTCGGACGTCGCGTCTCATCTCAGACGACTGCTCGCCGTCAGTGATGTCCTCATGTCACCAGCACTGGCTGTACTCTTTCACCTAGCCTCTCACTTGACTCCTCACCTGCCACCTCACCTGCCTCCTCATCTGCCTCCTCACCTGCCTTTTCACCTGCTTCCTCGCCTGCCCCCTCACCTGCCTTCTCACATGTCTCCTCACCTGACTTTTCACCTGGTCCCTCACCTAGCCTCTCACCTGCCTCCTCACCTGGCCTCTCACCTGGCCTTTCACCTAGCCTCTCACCTGCCTCCTCACCTGCCCAACATCTTGGATTTTTTTCGTCTCACCTACCATCCGCCTACCACCTCTTATAACCAAAACCCAGACTGTGCTTCACACAGTCTGGTTTTAGGGGGTAGACTGTTTAAATCCATATCTATTGAACCCCTGATTCAATCTCACTGCTTCTGAACCTCAAAGTTGAAGCAGGGTATGAAGATTACAGAAAATATTTTCTTGTATTTATATTTGCATTTAATTGGCAACACAGTAGTTTCGGATATCGGTGGACTCAAAAGTGTCGGTAATACTACTAGGGTCCTCTAATGTAAGACAACGTCGCTTCAGCACAGCAGAGAGCCTGCTGGAGCTGCTATACACGCAAGGACTCAACCAGGAAAGTCTTGGCCTCAGGGAACACATAGCAAACTCGAGCATGAATGGACAATGCAAGTGGTATAGATAGCCGAATGTGAGAGTGCTGGGATGTACATGGACAACAACGATCAGAGCATATGAGAGCAGACTTGACGATCAGTGGACGATAGATGATATACTTGGTATGATATTACGCAGCCGGGGACAGGCCAGCATGGTTCAGGGCCGCGAGCTGCTGCCGGAGAAGGGCAACCTCATCGTCCAGCAGAGCCCTTGCCGCCGCCTCCGCCTCTGCCGCCGCCTCTGCCGCCGCCGCCCTTGCGTCGGCTGCCTTCGCTGCTGCTGCCGCTGCCGTCGCCGCCGCTTCCGCCGCCTCCACCGCCGCTTCCGCTGCCTTCGCCGTCGCTTCGGCCTCCACCCTCGCTGCTGCCTCTTCCTTTGCGGCGGCTTCCGCCCTCTCCCTCGCCGCTGCCTCCTCCTCCGCCTTTGCAATGGCCGCTCGCGTCTCCTCCTGCGACCTCACCCACTTGGCGGCGGGGTGATCCTCCCGGGCCCTCTCGTCCAACAGCGCGGCAAGTTGCTTCTCGAACTCAGACTTAATCTTGCCCAGCGGCGGCTCAGGGGGCTGGATGGTGAAGATAGTGAGGAAGCGCCCACGCTCGTCCTTGAGGTTGTCGACATTGTACTTGACCTCCTCGCCGTCCTCGTTGCCAAGGCCGATGAGGCGCTCGCGGAAGAAATCGTAGATCACGGTCGCATACCAGTAGCACTGACGCGAGAGGAGCGCGTAGTCGGGAGCGTATTCTTGGAGCGCAAGCAGCAACGCAGCGAGGTCGTAGTCGGTAAAGCGCTTATTAAACGTGAGCTTGCGGCAGGTCTTATACGGGCGGCGGGCGTGGCGGTCGATTTTGCCGACGGGCGCGCCATTCGGGGGGATGATGATGCGGTCGAAGGCGGGCGTCGCAAGGGAAGAGGACGAGGACGAGGCCACGGAGCTGGGGGACAAGCTGAGGCGGGAGGAGGACGATGATTGGAACAAGGCGGAAAAGCGGCTGCCGTTCTCGTGGGAGAGGTCGGCGCCGGGGCGGATCTTGTCTTTGGGGAGCCGGCTGGTCTCGATCGTGCGCTCGACGATGATGGGCACGGTGAGCGGGGGAGCGCCTAGAACGGGGTACTCGAACTGGATGATGAGAAACTCGTGGAAGACGCCGCGCTTCCGCTTGCAGTGTTCTATGCTGGCGATGCGCGGGCGGTCCTCTGAGGGGGTGGGGGTGAAGAGGACGAACCCCGCCCATCCAGTCACGTTGTAGATGAATTCTTCCTTGGGAAAGTAGAGGACATCGTTGGGGGAGGACATGGCTCTATGTGAGGGGGAAAGACAAGGGAATGCGCTAGAGAGTAGGTCGCGCAGAGCGGCTAATAAGTGGTGCATAGTGGCAGAGAGACTTGAAAGGCTATGGGCAGTGGGCACGTCCGCGTGCAACCAGCGAGGAGATGGGCGTCTAAGGGATTTGGTATTCGATAATCCCACATGCACGTGTATCTGTGCACATCAGTGAAACAGTCAGCGACATTCCGGAAGATTGAAGTTGCATGAGGCCTACCACTTATGTGTGTCGAAGATGAAAGCTTGTCGAATAGCAGTGACGCGACGTTAACGAAGACGCTGTCACGTGATCAGAAACCTTCCCCTCGCTAGCGACAGGTTCGACGAGCATGGCCTCCATCGATCCACCCTCTGACCGCAAACGCCCGCGCACCGAGCTCGATGCTGAGCTGCTCATAAATCACCCAGCGCTTTACTTCGATGACGGAAACGTCATCTTACAGTGCGGCAAGACCCTCTTCCGCGTCCACCGCAGCATCCTCCTCAAGCACTCCACCTTATTCCAGGAGATGCTCGCCCCCGCGCGCGACACCCTGCGCGATTGTACGTCGATCAAGGTCGTCGACGACAAGGACGACATGGAGGCATTATTAAACACAATATACGATGGTTTGTGCGTAGACTCATTTGCGGCCTCGCCACTCAAAATCTCCTCATCCATTGTTCACTCGCCTGGTCCTTCTCTTCTCCCTGCTCCTCTGTCAGCACTATCGACGCTTCCCAAATCACCATCGAGAACTTCCCGACCATCTCCGGTATTCTGCGCCTCGCGCACAAATACCGCGTCCCGCGCCTCCGCGTCGCCTGGCCCTCTGCCCTGGACAAGCATCTCGCGCGCGCACGCGCCCTCACTGCGTGGCGCGCTTCGCAGCCGCACGCCGAGGACCTAATCATGCACCCCGCTGCCTGCGCTCCATCGACTGCACCGATAACGCCCTGCTCACCGCGCTCTTCCACGACCTCAGCCGCCGCACACCACAGCTTATGGTTCGTCTGCGGCGCTCCGGCATAGCTCGGTGCTTTGCCCCGTTTCCTTGCTTCTGTGGGCGGTTTTGCGTGGTTTCGGAAATGGGGCTGCAGACCACAAAATTCCCTCAGACCACAAGATCGTCGTGAAGAACCCCGTCGTCGAGCTCGATGACGACGAGATGACGCGCATCATCTGGAAGAAAATCCGCGAGGAGGTGCGTCGTCTCTTATTTCTCTCCTGGCCCGCCCTCGAAATCTCACGCGCAAACGCCGCATCGCAGCTCATCCTTCCTTATCTCAAACTGGACATCGAATACTTTGACCTCGGTCTAGAGGCCCGCGACGCCATGAGCCCCCGCTATCTCCTCTCTGTGGACAGGGTTGCTGATACCCCCGCGGGCAGACAAACGACCGGATTATGATCGACTCCGCCAACGCGATGCTCGAGCACAAGATCGGCATCAAATGCGCGATGATCACGCCCGACGACGCGCGTGTGAAGGAGTTCAAGCTGAAGCAGATGTGGCGGAGCCCGAACGTGACCGTCGGTGCGCTCCCCGCCTCGTCTCCCCCTCTCGTCGCTGAGGCAGCACTCGCAGATCCGCAACACCGTCGGCGGCCCCATCTTCCGCGAGCCGATCATCCTCGAGCGCATCCCGCGGCCGATACCGCGCTGGGTGAACCCCATCGTGATCGGGCGGCACGCGTTCGGCGACCAGTATTGCTCGACAGACTTCGTTGCGCCGGGCCTGGGGAAGCTGCAGCTCGTGTACACGCCCGCGGACGGCGCCGCGCCGACGATGCTCGACGTGTACGACTTCCAGTGTAGGGGCGTGGCGATGGCGATGTACAACACTGATGAGGTGCGCGCCGTTCCTGTTGTGTGCACGACGAGCGACGATCTCGCTGACGCCGGTGCCGCAGCCGATCACGGGCCTTGCGCACTCGTCGTTCAAAATGGCGCTGGCGAAGAAGATGCCCCTCGTACGGTCCTCTCTCCTCCTCCCCGCGAGACCCGTCGCTCAGGTGTGAGGTGCTTCAGTTCATGTCGACGAAGAACACGTCGACGAAGAACACAATCCTCAAGAAATACGACGGCCGCTTCAAAGACATCTTCTAGGAGATCTATAAGTCGTGCGTCGCCCCTCTCCCTCTCGTCGCGTGCTGACGCGTCCCCGGGTACGCAGGGAATACAAGCCCTAGTTCGAGGCCACGGTCATCTACTATGAGCACCGCCTGATCGATGACATGGTCACGCAGGCGATCAAGTCCTCCGGCGGGTTCGTCTGGGCGACGAAGAACTACGACGGCGACGTGCAGTCGGACATCCTCGCGCAGGGCTTCGGCAGCCTCGGGATGACCAGCTCGCTCATCACCCCCAATGGACAGGTCATCGAGAGCGAGGCTGTGCACGGTGCGTGCAGCGTCCCCCGCGCTCTCCTCTGAACGCTCGCTGATGTTTTTGTGCGTGTGCATGCGCCTGCGCGCACAGGCACGGTCACGCGGCACTAGCGCGAGTACCAGAAGGGCAACGAGACCTCCACGAACCCGGTCGCGTCCATCTTCGCGTGGACGCGCGGGCTGCTCCACCGCGCGAAGCTCGACGCGAACTCCGCGCTCGCCGCGTTCGCGCGCGACCTCGAGGCGGCGTGCACCGAGGCGACCGACGCGGACGGCATCATGACCAAGGACCTCGTGCTCACAATCCACGGCATGGCGATGCGCCGCGAGGACTAGGTCGTGACCGACATGTACACGGATGCCGTCAAGGTGCGTGGCGCTCTTCTACCCGCCGCGATGGACCAGCCGGCGCTGATGTCCTTCCCGCATTCTCCAGGCGAAGCTGGATCAGAAGCTCGCGGCGAGAGCGGAGAAGCCGTAGGCGCGCACGACGATGTATTGCTATCTCTTCATTGTAGCGACGGGTGTATCTTCGATCGCACAGTCATCTGCTAGGGCAGGGTTGTCACCGCCCCCCGTAAGAACTCTTCATACAAGAAATCATAAGGTAAAATTCGACCAAGAAAGGACCCTCTCGTGAGTCGCAAAGGTATGTGGTATCAAATGGCACCTCCACACAACGGACCAAAAAGCGCCACGAAATAAAGCTGGGGGCTCTCACCGCCGCAGTCAGACCGCGCACCCCCAACGGCCTCCGGGCATGCCCTCGACGTTGGTGCTGTCCACGCGCTCCATTCACTCGTTGAGCGCGGTCCTAGCCGCGCGGGCGTCGCCGGGCGCGCGGCGGCGATAGGCTGTGCGTTGCCGATGAGGCCGTAGGGCGGGACGCCCTCGAGCATCTGCTGCGTGGCGGCTTCGTGCAGCTTCGCGGAGAGCGCGGGGAGCGTCCACGGCGCGCCCGTGCCGTTTCCCTTCCCTCGTGAGGAGGGGGGTGGAAGGGGGAAGGGGTCGTCGCTGTCTGGATCTGAGCGCAGGAGGTTGAACGCGTGCGTGTCGACGGAGTGGTGCGCGTCGTGCAACTCGGCGTGCTCGAGGCAGTCGCAGGGGAACCACTGGCGGCAGGCGGGCTTGGGGCAGAAGTGCATGGGGCGCGCATCGTCGAGGTTGTAGACGGTGTTGCAGTCCGCGGTGCAGATGACTAGGTCTTTGAGTTTTGGCCGGGGGTGGGAGGGGTGTGTGGGGATTTGAGGGGGTTTGTGAGGATCGGGAGGGCGACGGGTGAGGGTGAGGGGCTCATGGTGGCACACTTGGAGAGGCGGAAGTACGCACGGCGGACGTAGAACTCGCCATTGGCGATCTGGGGCTGCTCGATGTCCGCCTCGCGGTGCTCTATGACCTTCGTGGGTCCTTCAACATGCAGCGCCGTCAGTCAGCCGTCGCGGGCGGGGAGAGGTGTGGCGGAGGACGCACCGTTGAAGGAGGTATGCGCGACGTAGTCGTAGTCGGATTCGTCGGCGCGCAGGCGCTCGTAGCGGCCGTAGCTTGCCTGGATGTTGGCGGGGCTTTTTTGGGGGCGTGTGCGGCGGCAGCGGCGGCGTTAGCGTGGACAACCAAAGCGGTCTGTAGAATGGAAAGGACTGTGGGAGACTCACTCTGTGTCGGTGTCGTTGGCGACGTCAGCGCCGGAGTAGTACTACTGGACCTTAGCCCAGACCTACGGTTGCTCGCGTCACGGCGAGGACGCGTCAGACGCGCGGTGAACACAGGCAAAGGCAGGTTCCTGTCGTCGAGGGGTCGCATGTGCATGCATCAGGGTGGGATTGTCTAATGAGGAGGTCAAGTGAGCGAGCAGCCATAACCTGGCCGGACGGGAGAGCAGGTCGGACGGGAGAGTGGGTCGGACGTGGGAGAGGTTGAGCGGACGAGAGGAGGGGGCGGGTAGAGTCGAGGGGTAGATTGTTGAAGGCGACATAGAGAGTTAGGTAGAAGGCGGGAGGTGTGCGTGTACGGGGGAGGGACTGGGGCGAGTGACGACGTACCTTTGTAGATGTCCTCGTCGACCGTTTCCTTCCCTCTTCTGTGCTCCTCCGGGGACGGCACAGGGACCACACGCGGACGATGAGGCGTACAATGAGACAGGAAGCTAGATGTGGGATGCAGACTCGCGCGCGCGTCGTCTGAGGGAGCGCGACTCGGGCGGGCATCAGGGACTCGTGGTCGAGGGATGCGGGAGATGGCCGACGCAGGGACCACACGAGAAGGGACGCAGGAGCCAGGTAGAGGACCCGCAAGTGTGTCGTCCGAGCGCGCACGAGTCGGGCGCACACAAGGTATTCGCGGACGAGGGATCGAGGAGGAGGACGGCACTAGGATCCGTCATGGAAAAGAGGTAGGCGTAGAGGGACGTGGGATGCTGTAGGCAGGCTCGCACGCTCGTTGCCTCAGCGGGCAAGAGTAGGCAGGGCACAGGCGTGTCGCGGGTGGAGTGACGAGGGATCGAGAGAAGATCGGCGGACGGACCACAAGGAGAGGAGGAAGCTGGCGATGAGGGATGATGTAGGGTGGAGGCGGACTCGCGCGCACGTCGTGTGGGTGGGCACTGTCGTCAGCAAGAGTTGGCGCGCATCGGGCAGAAAGCTCTTGTGGGCCAGCAGACACGGAATCGTGGGCGTGGGATAGAGGGCGCGTGTCGTCAGCAGGGGTGTGCGGGCAGCTGGGTCTCATCCTCCTCGTCCACACTCGAACGGCCGTGATGCTTTGCGTGTCGTCAGGCAGCGTAGGCTCCGGGGGTGCAGACGGCAGTGAATGTGGGCGTAGGTGTGGACGAGGACAGGGGTCGCCGTCAGTGGAGGGACAGTGCGTGGCGGCGGTGCGTGAGGTCGAAGGACGGGACGTCGGCCTTGAGACAGTGAAGCGGCGCGGTCCAAGGTGCGTAGGGTTCAAGGCTGTTGAGAGGAGAGAGGACGCATGTGCATGAGTTTGAGGGGATGCGTGCGTGCGGCGGAAATGTTAAGGGAGGGGCAAGAAGAAACACGAGAGGAGGCACATACCCTCGTAACAATCAGCCCTCCCTTTCCCGTCTTGTCTCTCCGCCGCCAGCTTGCCCTTGCCCTCCTTGTTGACACGTTCGAGCGCATGCAGCGCATCTGAGCAGAACACAGGGTGCATGCCCCCGCGCGCGCAGCGGCGCCTCGACCAAGTCCCCCAGCGCGTGCGCGTCGGTTTCCGCAGTCGGCTCGGGCTCGGACGCGGGCGCGAACACGAGCACCGGCACGCTCAGGCGGCGAGGGTCGGGCGTCACGCGTGCATGGTGGTCGGGGTCGGATGCCTCGGATCTGAGCGCGCGCGCGAGCGTCGGCTTCGAGGCGGACAGCGCACGCGCGGGTGGGCTCCGGCCTGATGCCCCCTGCATACCTGCGGCCCTTCGTATTTATCTGTCGTTTCCCCCGCTGTCGTTCTGCGATGTTTTTTTTTTCGAGTCGCTGGTCCCCGCTGTGGTATCTTTATCGCTGTATGTTTGCTTTGGATTCGAGCTGCACTGCTCACATGTTTGAGACCACTAGTCGGTCTTGAATCAGACGTCTGCTGCGCGGTTCTGTGCTCTATATCCCTTTGATACTTGGGCATAATTTGATTTCAGACCAGCTGCCACGGTCTCAGAACCGACATGCTGAAATGTCTGCAACATATCCGAACATCTGCCAGGCGCGCTCACATACTATACATGATTGAGAGAACGGAATGTTGGTTTGGAGTCCATCGCGAAGTACGTGTAAGTAGCGATATCGACGGGAGAGAAACATGAAGCTGAACTATGCACAAGGAAAATAGAGGAGAAAGAGCAGTCTTCCTGCCCTCCAGAAGAATCTCCCACCCAATTACCATCGGGTATCCGAGCATCATCCTTCACCCTAACCCTCAATTAGTTCTCAGCGTCGATGAGCGACAGTACGAGCGGCATCGTCGGCATGTTCGTCCCTGGCAGTCTGGGCGTCGAGATGGTTCTGATGTTCTAGACGACGTACTTGCTCGACGGTGCGAACTTAACCAGCGGCAGGAGCATGGCCAGCACGACCTCTGACGAAGCGTGATGGAAAACATGGAAAACGTGAGATGAGCAATATTGACGCGGTGGAGGAGCGGAAGGTGGACATTTCGAGCTCAGAGAATTTGAACCCGCTGGAAGTGGAGAAATGCGAGTCAGTGACGGGGCCTTGGATTGACAGGGTCAACGATAAGGCTCACATGCAGGCGCGCGCACCTCCCACGAACGTCATCCTAGACCAAATCCGAACCAGGATCAGCACACCACACCAAATTTACGTTCATCAACGCCACCAAACCAAGACATAGCCCTAAAACGAAACCACAACGAAAGAGCATCACGCACATGTTAGAATACACCCCGGGCACGCGCGCGTCCGACCCGCTAGGCGGGAGCGGCTCGAGCCAGCGCTCGGGGCGCCAAGTCGTGGCCTCGGGCCCCCAGATGGCCGGGTTGCGGTTGACACCGATGATGTTGCATATCACGTCTGTGTCGCGTGGGATGAAGACCTCCAAGATAGGCGGCCCATTATCACCTGTAATGAGTGTGCCGAGCGGGAGCATCACGTCTTTACGCGCGCTGGAGAGGAATACTGCTGGTTAGTGAACGATAATGGGAGGTATAGAGTGAAGGGAGGGTGTTCTTCGTTTAAAGACTCGCGTGTGCGTGACGAAGCCCACGGGAGGATACCTGTTCCAGTGGTTCTCAATTAGAGACACGGACAATCAAGGACTTGGCCTAGCGACGGAGAGGTACGCGCACCCGGAGCGACTCGCGGCACACCGCGTCCAAGTACGGCAACGCCTACAGCTGGCTGTAGTCCATCTCGCCAATAGGGCCTCTGCTCTCCTCACGCGCACGCGTCAGTTCGGCACGGAGCTTGTCCTGCACATCGGTATTCTGAGAGAGTAGGTAGAGAATGCGTGAAAGCGCGGCCGAGGTCGTGTCCATTGCGGCAATTATGAGCGTGCTACGTCGAGGGCGGCAATAAAGTCAGCATGGCGCGATCAAGGCAGAAAGACAAGTCCTTGCCTCATTTGCGCCAGGATCTCAGATTCAGGCAGGCGGACGTCCTCCGAGGCAGACATGTTGGCTTGCACTGTGAACGGTACCCTAGAGCAATTCCAAAGAAAATGTGTGGGATGTCAGTGATGAACATTCCCCGTTCGTCCACGAGCTCATCCACTCATACATCACGCTCATGATGTCCTTGCCCTCACCGACATCCTGACTGACCTCTGCATCGCCCTTCTGCAACGCTCCTTCCTCTCGAGGATCTCGCGCGAAGTGTGATCCATGATGTCTACAATATCGACGAGGGCACGCACAGGCTTCGAAGGTAGAGCGCGCACGGCTTTCTCCCAGAAGCTTGCGGACCCAAGATTCGAAACCCAGGGGAGAAGTTGACGCGGGACGATTGTCGCAAAGAGCGCAGGCCTGCCGTGTCGTAGTCAGTGGGTACATATACGGTCGTATCAGCAAGCTGGGTACAGGAGCGCGAACATACATCATAGCTTTGGCAGCTTTCCCATATTCGTTCGCGCCTTCTTCGCCTATATTATCGAACGAGTACCCAAGCGCGCCTTGGCCGATGAGCTTGAGCGTAATACGTGACATCCATACCATGACATCCACCTCCTGCTTTCCTCCCGCCGCCACGATCTTGCTCGTCAGCGCCCGTCGGAACTAGGCATGTACCCAGCATGAACCATATTTCAACAATCGGAACTCATAACTGTGAGTCATCGCGCTCGGGGTCACCTAGCGACGGCAACGGCGAGTCAGTGGAGGAGGGGTCGTGCGAGGGCGAGGAGCCGCTCTCCTGCATGGACGCCGAGTCGGGGCGCGGGGGCAAGATGAACTTGCTGAGCGCGGCCGCAAAGGCAGGGGATGTTGCAGCTCAAGAACGGGTTCAGGACGCGTGTCCTGGGCCCGTACACGTCGGCGGCGGAGTCGGGCAGGCAAGGCCGTCCTTGATGCGCTCCGCGAGGGAGATGCGCATGCGGAAGGCCTCGGCGACGCGGGAGAGGAGTGCAGGGTAGACGATGGGGGTGCGTCAGCCGCCGCGTCTCCTCCTCGCCGATCTTCTGCGTCGCGCGGAGTTTCTCCGTCCTGTACCGCTCATACAGCAGCCAAGGGTGGAGGGGGGCGTGACACCGGGGGAAGGGAAGGCCGACCAGTGCGTGAGGATGCGGATACGGATGCGGCAGCGGCGGCCTGGTCGAGGAGGGCAGCGCGTATGTGAGCGGTGCTCGCCGCGGACATGGATTTGGAGCGGTCCTGCGGCGTGCGGTCGCGGTCGCGGCGGTTCGCGCTGGGCCTGGTGCGCAAGAACTCGGTGTAGCAGCGTGAGGAGGTGGAGGAGGCGGAGGCGGCGGTGGTGGTGGTGGTGACGGCGGATGAGGCGTCGGAGGCAGAGGTGTTGACGAAGGTGGAGGAGGCGGAGGACGTGCCGGGATGGTGGGTGGTGTCGAGCTGTAGCGAGCAGGTGAGTGCGACGTCGAGTGGAAGATGTGGGTGAGTCGAGCGGGGGTCCGGGCTACGCATACGATGCGCGAGGCGATGTGGACGGTGCGGGCGAGCCTGCCAGTAGACCAGCGAGCCAGTGCGCATGAGATCGTGCAAGGAGAGCGGGGAGGGTAGCACAGCGAGCGATCGGGTCGAGAGGGTCGGACGGGGGAGCGAGTCGGACGGGAGAGCGGGTCGAACGAGAGAGCGGGGCGGACGGGAGAGCGGGTCGGAAGTGGGTGAGGTTGAGCAGACGAGAGGAGGGGCGGGTAGAGTCGAGGGATAGGCCGCTGAGGGCGACGCGGAGAGGACGTCGAGGGCGAGAGGTGTGCGTGTACGGGGGAGGAACTGGGGCGAGTGACGACGTACCTATGGTTAAGTCCTCGTCGTCCGTTTCCTCCCTCTTCTGTGCTCCTTCTCGTCCTCCTCCTCGTTGTCGTGCTTTTCCGCCTCGTCGAGCAGCGTTGATTCGTGGGTGTTGGTGGAATGGGACATAGGCCGCCGCTGCCGTGGAGACCGTGGATTGTGTCGAATGAGACAGCGGTGGGAGCAGGCAACTGGCCAAAGGGGGCGCGTGTGCAAGGGGCCGAGGGAACGAGTAGCTGAGGTAGATGAGCGGTCGTGGCATCGAACGAGCCGAGCGGGAGCGCACGAGGGAGCCAAGGGAGGGAGGGATATACTGGACGAGAGCGGGAGGGACGGATGTGCAGGTCGACGCAAAGAAAGACGACGTACCCCGTTTGTGCCCTCTCTGTTCCCCCTTGTCTTTCCGCCGCCGCCGCTGTTCCTCAGCGTCATCTTCCTCAGCGTCGTTGTCGTTGTCATCGTCATCTTGGTCGCCTTCGTTGTCGTCGTCGTTGACGCTCGGACATTTGCGATGATTGGCGTGCTATCGGGCGGCGTGGGCGTAGGGGCGTTGGTGGAGCGGGACGCCACCGCTGTGGAAACCGTGGAACGCACCGAACGAGACAGTGATTGGCGCAGGCGTGGGGTCGAAGGGATGCGTGTGCACGACGCCGAGGGAACGAGTGAGGGGTTGAGGCAGACAAGCAGGAGCTGGAGAGTCACGAGCTTAATTAAGTGGTCGCGTGCGCGCGTCGCGTAGTTGAGTCCTTCGCACCCGTCTCCAACTCAAGTCTGTCCGCGCGCAAACCTCAACCGTCGTCCCCTCGCCCTCGCCTCGACACCATGCACACCCACCACCCACTTCCTTCGCCTTCGTCCTCCCATCCTCTTGGCCCCATGCACACGCGTCCACTCGGCCACAACAACCCCTTCGACTGCTCCCTCACGCGCCCCTGCCGCCGCCGCACCCGTGCTTTGCCCTTGCGCACAGCGTGTCGCAATCGTCACGCTACCCGTGCCTCAGCGCGTCGACGGCGATGGTGAGGAGCGTTGTTAATGAGAAGAGGAGGTGCGAAGAGGAATGCCATAAAAAAGGTCCGTATCACTTACTTTTGCTAGCCCTCCCCCAGCCCTAGTCCTGCCCCTCCCTGCCCGGCCCTGCCTGTCCTGCGCACCTGCGCACACCCGGAAGCGGCTCCTCACGCCGCATCTCTTCCCTTGCTCTCTCCTAGGAGGCGAGGGCACGACCACGCTCCCCGGTACCCTACCGCCCGACGCCTTCTTCTCCAAACACGCCCACTCGACGCTGCGCACCGCCGCACACGCATCGCACGAGCGCACCCTGTCCTCTGCCTCCGGCTACGCGCACCACCATGTGGCCGGCGCTGCCAGAAGCACCACCTCGCCCGCGAAGCAGCGCTACGTCACGGACGCGCATGGCCTCGAGATCGTCAAAAAGATCCGGCAGGGCGAGGTCGAGCTGCGCGATCGCACCATCGTCCTGTGCGGCATCAAAGCCAACGTCCGTCCAGCTCGCTTTGCGTTGCATGTTTTGTGTTGTCACATTCGCGATCGCTCAGTGTCGAGCTGACCCTGTGCTTGATATGCTTTGTCCAGGAACATTGCTGCAGAGTAGTAAGTGTGTACCAAAGAAGATATCAACGGTGAAAAAGAAGGGTATCAACGAGTGAACTAGGCGGATGTGTCAAAAACCGGTGGGGAAGGAAGCGGAAGGCAATGAAAGGCTGGATGGCACGTGTGCCTTGTCACAATTAAGTAGCATAGTGGAACATGCGCCGATGGTCGCACATTGAATAGAGGAGCATAAGAGGGCAGGATCATAGATGGTGGCTGAAAAAGATATAAATATATAAACAAATGATGAGGTTTTTATGGACGACGCGCGCCGTGATGGAGTGCTGTGATAGATGAAATGCATTGGGAAGATGATTGAATGGTAGATGGCGTGGTGTCAATCACACAAGACGAGAGAAATCAGACAGTTAAACATGAAGTCGAGAACTAACCGCAGCTGCATCGAACACATTCAATGCCCACATAAACCAAGTATCAAAGCATACCCTCAGCGACAACGACGCGTCCTGTGGCCAACGCGCTCCTCGTCCGACTGAGCTTCTTTGTCTGCGGGAGAGACGCTCGTGCTTTGACGGCTTTGCAATCACGGCGGCGTATCGTAAGCGTTGCCACGAGCTGTGGCACGGTGTACACAGTCAGTGCGTCTGGCGCGACCGATATCGATCATGCACAAGAGGGAATGGGAGCATGGCGTCGTGGCATGGGCGGTGGCAAGGACACAATGCTGAAAGGAGAAGATATGGCAACAGATGCTTCGGGAGGAGGAGGCGACGATATTGTAGGAGGCGGCGGAAGGACTGCGGGGGAGTGAATAAGAGCTGAGATACCCGTCGGGAGCAATGACTCCATCCGGTGACTGGGAGCGATATCCATCGAAAGGTCTTCAACAACACCCACAGAATTCGAAGTCCTCGGTCGATCAGGCATGTCCACAGCCCTGTCGTCCAATAAAACGGGGCTACATCCTTGGTCCACCAGCCGCTGCCAGAGTCGAGCGACGAGCAATTCCTCATGTGCGTTCATTATTAACAAGCCGTCGTCTTTGGCTCCCATGCTCTTCATCTCCACATCTGTATTCTGCTCGCTGGACCCGTTGAGCTCTCTGGCACGCTTCATCCGACAGACGATGCTACGATGGACGGCAGCAGTGAACATTAGCTCGGCAGTGACGCACTTTCCGCGCTTGAGCCGTTTCTGGCTGTGCACAACTCCGGTCATGCTCGACTGGCTGGCGCTGCGTTGGCGTATGACACCAGGAAGAGGCAGAGCTTTGCGGCGCGGTGCGAGGGAGTGGGACGGTGGCGTCTGGCATCGTTGCCTGCGCGCGTCGAGCGGGAGCGCCCGTTTCGGTCGCGATAAAGAATCATAGTCTAGCGGTAGAGCAGACGAGATGGAAGGATCGGAGTGGCTATTGGTAGGGAAAGGAATGATATTGGTGCTAGGTTCGCAAGGGGGGTGCTCACATGCGCTGGAGAGTGCGACGGTAGGCGACGCCTTGCTATTTCAAAACGAGAGGCTGGATGGGAGGCCAGACGCGTTGAGCGAAGCATTAGTGTTCTCGACAAGAGCGGATCGCGACGCGAAGAGCGACTTGTGGTAATTGCAGAAGATGTATTGATGAATGTTCGTTGCGAGTGACGCCCGGCGTGGCTTGCTCCAACAAGAGAGAAGAAAAAATGGTGGTGATCTGGTCTTCCGCGATATGCTTCTCCGACATGGTCAGCTCGACGAGGGTATCCTCAAGTGTCCGCTTATCATTCGCCCACGACTCCCACTCCTTGTCAAACGTGCGCTTCGTCTCCGCCATCGCCTCCCGAGACGCCGTCAGCTCCTGCTGGACGATGTGCAAGTTCTCCGACAGAGCGATATAGTCAGACTACAACCCAAGTCAGCCATCAACGCAAATGTCCAGCATCCAACGAAACATACCTTGTGCTTCACGAGCTGAGACTCCGTGGATGACTTGTAGTTATCATAGGTCGCATTCAAGCTCGCTAGCACCACTTCATTCGCCTGGCTGATATCTTGGAACTGCTGCCCATGGCCTCGTGCATTCGCCAGGTCGAGTTCGGCAACCTTCAACGCAGCGCTGCGTTCATGAGTCAGTTAGCACCATAAGCCTCGCATTGGATATTGAAGGGCACAAAACACACCGAAGTTCTACCACCTCAGCCTCGAGGTGCTGCTCCTTGCTCAGATGATCAGTGCCAGAGACCTCTGGCTGCGCGTCATCGTTCGCCAGAGCGCTGGCAGGCCCACACCGCTCGTACATGGCCAACTTCTCCTCGTTGCCCTGGAGCTGGCGTGAAAGTTCTGCGACGCATTCCTCAAGATGCGGTTTGCTCATTTGAGTGCCGATCAACGACTCGTGGGTATGCGATAATTCCTACGCCTATAATTTGGTGCGCACCGATGAGTGAGGACACAGGGAAACGGGACGGGAACCAAGTGATAGCGACACGCACCTGCTAATCGACGCATGGCTGCAGTTATTTGACCTCAATCTCTTTCTTCAGTGTCAGATGCCTAACACTATCGCGTTCCTGGCTAGGTTGGCTCCTAAGATCCTGGCTGAAGCAACGAAATCAGATGGTAGTCGGCGCGGTCGAGATCTGGACCAGCGTCTGCGCTGGTTTTGCAACCGATCGTCCCGTAGAAGAAGAGGATGTGGCTGATGGCCTGTCGAGAAGTCTCTGGCTTGCAGGCTAGCAGAGGATGTCGACATTGGCACGGACAGGGTGTGGACGAGGGATCGCGGAGACGGAAGAGGTACTGAGAGACGAGCATAGACCGAAGAGTTGGATTGAGAGCTGTTCATTACGATCGAGGTAGAGTGGTGCTCCTTCCACTTCGGGCGAAAAATTTCGCCCACAAATCGTGTGGGTGAACGGGCCTGAGTTCAAAATATAAATCTAAATACAACAAGAAAAATAATACAGGCTGTAGCTACAGAGGAGCACCTAAGAAAGTAGCTTCGAGGGAGGTGTATATGCACGCAAAGTACATGGAACGAGTCGCGCGGACTACATGCATATGGTATTGGCCGACAAATAGAAGATACAAGGGGAGAATGAGGCTGCGAGCCTGGGCATGTCGCGCGACTGTACTCTCGAGACTGCTGGAACAGTAATAGCGCGTGTTCTGCTGCCATCGTACACTCGACTAGCTCGCTTGAGGCCCTCTAGTGTCATGTGTCCGACAACGTTCTGCCGAGAAGGCTGTTCGTGATGTCAAATGTCAGCATCAAGAGCACGAGAGAGGAGGAGAGGGAGAGGAGGAAAGAAGGAAATGAGGCCGGCGAAGGCGGCGGCCGCGTGCTGTCTGCGGCCAGCAGGCTCCCCACCAAGCCCAAATTCACCTTCGGCGAATTTGGGCTGTGGGGAGCCTGGCTGCCGCAGACAGCACGCGGCCGTTTCTGCAACATGACTTGTCCACCGGCACTTTTACGCCGCGTGGAGCGACTGGGCGCCCCGGACAGCGCGCCGCCAATTCTCGTCCTGCTTTGTCCTGCAAACAAGTGTCGACATTGAGCTGATCCGGCATTGTTTCAAGCGAGTCGTGGGTGGATGGAGAAGTGGATGGTCCACAGGGCTAAGCATGGTGGAAGACTGGAAAGGCGAAGAGCATCAGCGCGGAGGTGTTGGAGCGCGCGAGAGGCGAATTTGGGCTTCTTGTCGTGGTGCAACAGGTGGCGGTCGAGCGCACTGGGTGGCGGGAGTGCGTGGCATCGAGGGCGGGAGTGCGAACAGTCGAGGGTACGCAAGTCGAGGGAGGGGCGGGCGGATGGGAGGAGTAGTCGGTCCACACATACGAGGAGGAACCAAGGGGCTGATAAGACGAGTGTGTGGGGGTTCGAGGTAGGGATGTTGAGGGAGGGGACAATAACAGGAGGTACGCACCGTCGTACCGCTCTGCCTGATGGACGAGCGTGTGTCCGTCACCATCGTCCCGTCGCTACACCCTCGTCTCTCGACAACCGCTGTCCCTCCTCTGCCTCTATCACCATCGGCTCCTTGTTCTTCTCTTCAGCGTGCTCAACCTCACGTGATAAGATAATCGCTTTGCTCCACGCGCCGTGAGACAGGATGGGCGCAGAGGAGTCGTTTAAAGAGGATGGCGCTGACGCGGATGTCATGGATGTGGATGAGAAAAGAGACAGCAGTGGAGGTGGCAGAGGGTGCGGAGAGAGCATGGAGCAGGTGCCTCGAGCATTGCAGCTGCAAACTGTAAGAAAAAATGCTATCAGCAGTGCACACTTTCTCTGAGCATCTGTTGTCTGCTGGCGTCGTCGAGAGCACGCAGAGGAAAGGTTCAGAAGAAGAAAAAGCTCACTAATGAAGTCTAAAATGTCCTGAGAGAGCAAGGAGACCTTGGCTGAGGAAGCGTGTTGCGCTCGATGTTCAAAGGTGCGGGGAGGGTCGACGCGACGCGACGTGGCGGTGTGCTTGATCACGAGACGTTGGAGGGCACTGTGTGCCGACACAGTCGGACTGTGTGCCGACACAGTTGGACTGTGTGCCGACACAGTCGGACTGTATGGCGCGACAATCAACGGACTGTGTGCGGCACGGCCGGACTGTGTGGCGCAGATTCACCGCCAAATCTCGGACTGTCACCGAGAATCCGGACTGTGTGGCGCTAAACTAGCGCCAAAATCCGGACTGTGTGCGGTCTCGGCTGGACTGTGTGGCGCAACAGAGAGACTGTGCATGGTGTGACAACAGTGTGACTGTGCGCCCGCAATCTTCCGACTATGTGCCGCCCTTTCCCGATGCTAACTAAACTGTGTCTCCGGGTTGCAGAATACCCTCAACATCACAAACAATTACATATCTCTGGATCCCCTCATCCAAATGCTAAAATTAGGGTATGATTTGAAAGGTAGTGTATGTAGGGGCATTTTGTTAGTTCTGCAATGGAAATAAAAGGACAATTGTGGACTGGAGACTCGGTTTTTTGAGGTTTTCTTTCAATTCTGTATTTTGTCTGTAACATCTTCAGTACTCCATGTCTACTAATGAAAATATTAGGGTACCATGACAAATACATTTTAAGCCTATTGAATCAGACAGAATTGTGTGCAACTTCGGATTTGGTTCCCAAAACCCAGACTGTGCTTCACATAGTCTGGTTTTAGGGGGTAGACTGTTTAAATCCATATCTATTGAACCCCTGATTCAATCTCACTGCTTCTGGGCCTCAAAGTTGAAGCAGGGTATGACGATTACAGAAAATATTTTTTTGTATTTATAGTTGCATTTAATTGGCAACACAGTGGTTTTGGATATTGGTGGACTCAAAAGTGTTGGTAATACTACTAGGCAGCACTGCTGCCCTCTGCCTTGCACTGGTCCATGCAGTGACCCGGGCAGCACTGCTGCCCTCTTCTTCTGCTGGTCTATGTGTAGCATATGACATGCCCTTATCACAAAAACCCTCACCTATGCTCACCTACGGCCTCTTATAACCTAAAATTAGGTTATGATTTGAAAGGTAGTGTATGTAGGAGCATTTTATTAGTTTTGCAATGGAAATCCAAGGACAATTGTGGACTGGAGACTCGGTTTTTTGAGGTTTTCTTTCAATTCTGTATTTTGCCTGTAACATCTTTAGTACTCTATGTCTACTAATGAAAATATCAGGGTACCATGACAAATACATTTTAAGACTATTGAATCAGACAGAATTGTGTGCAACTTCGGATTTGGTTCCCAAAACCCAGACTGTGCTTCACACAGTCTGGTTTTAGGGGGTAGACTGTTTAAATCTATATCTATTGAACCCCTGATTCAATCTCACTGCTTCTGGGCCTCAAAGTTGAAGCAGGGTATGAAGATTACAGAAAGGATTTTGTCATATTTATATTTACATTTAATTGGCAACACAGTAGTTTCGGATATCGGTGGACTCAAAAGTGTCGGTAATACTACTAGGTGTCTATGACGACTGCACGACGTCTAAGACGTCACATCTCATCTAGGACGCAGGCAGGATGTCTGTGACGACTGCCTGACGTCTCAGACGTTGCGTCTCGTCTCAGACGACTGCTAGTCGTCAGGGACGTCCTCATGTCACTAGCACCGGCTGCATGACGTCTGAGACGTCGCGTCTTGTCTAGGACGCAAGCAGGACGTCTGTGACGACTGCCTGACATCTCAGACATCGCGTCTCGTCTCAGACGACTGCTGAGACATTGCGTCTCGTCTAGGACGCAGGCAGGATGTCTGCGACAACTACACGACGTCTGAGACATCGCGTCTCGTCTAGGATGCAGGCAGGACGTCTGTGACGACTGCCTGACGTCTCAGACATCGCATCTCGTCTCAGACGATGGCTAGTCGTCAGGGACGTCCTCATGTCACCAGCATTGGCTGCACGGTGTTCTAGATGTTGCATCTCGTCTCAGACGACTGCTAGTCATTAGGGACCTCCTCATGTCACTAGCACTGGCTGTACTCTCTCACCTAGCCTCTCACCTGGCCTCTCACCTGGCCTCTCACCTGCCTCCTCACCTGCCTCCTCACCTGGCCTCTCACCTGCCTCCTCACCTGCCCACCATCTTGGATTTTTTTCGTCTTGCCTACCATCCGCCTACCACCCCTTATAACCGATACTTCGAAGCCTAGTTCTGTGAAAGACATGTCTTGAGCGAAAACCGCAACAAAGGGCGTGCGCACAGTCGAATGAAAGTTATGCACAGCGGAGAACGCCTAATTTTGCTGAACGTGACCGCGATGATCACGCATCGGGCCAGAAGCGGTTCTTCATCCAATCCATCCTTCCCCTGGTCGTGTCGATTAATATCAGACGTCCACCATCGTTCACCACCATTCTCGACTTCGGATACCTCTTAAATCTGTGCAACTCCTCGCAATTTTTTAGTGCTGGCTGCCTTTGATTCAATGTTACCCAGGACCTACGTGTACAAGCAGGTTGATGGTCTCGATATTTCTTTCGATCTTTACTTGCCGATTCTGCCCTCGAAACCAAAGCATGAATTTGTACAGATCCCACAAATCAGCCATCAAACTGTCCTTCACGACGTTCCCGCAGTAGTATACTTCTATGGAGGTGGAATGACCGTCGGAACACGGAAGAGCTGGTTTCCAATTTGGCTCCACCGTGCGTCCTAGTCTACTGCCGCGGATTGCCGTTGAGGGTGATTCTGATGGCTGCTGTGTATGCGACGAAAGTGCGTCTGGCTTCGGCCGGTGTCGCTTTCATATCTGCTGACTACAGGCTCATGCCCCCCTCGAACGGACATGACATCGTCTCTGATATCGTCGCCCTGTTCGAATTTCTCCGAACTTCGCTCAACCCACGGCTTCAGGACGAAACTTTGTTGCTTCGAATAGACCCCACTCGTATTGCAGTTGCCGGATCAAGTGCTGGAGGGCTATGCGCGTACTTGGCCGCTGCTCACGCAGTTCCCAAACCCACAGCCGTTCTTTCATTGTACGGTCTAGGGGGGTCGTTCATGGTGCGTCATTGGACTTCGAGCCATTTTCACAAACTTCATTGTCTTCTCAACGCACTAGACGCCACATTACCTCACACCCAAACTCACACCTTTCTTCCGTAATCGCGAACTCCTCGACGTTCATGCCAACATGTTTTCTCCATTTATATAACCTGACAGCGCATCCCTCGATCCCTCCGCTGGCTCGGAACTCGCGTATCACCCACCGGACGCTGCGACCCCAGGATACCCCGCAAATTCTCGGATGCTGCTCGGCTGGCTGTACCTCCAACAGGGCACGTTCCTCGACTACTGGACGGGCGCGCACGAGTCTTCTCTTAGCGTGACGCTTAGATCTGCCATAGAGTACACAGACATCCTCACGGCATCTGTGCCGCCAGAGCTGCGACCGGTCCGTGCAACGCAGACGACGCGCAAGGGGACGTGGACGATGTGGGCAAGTGGCCGTGGTATCGAGCGGGTCGCGCACAAGAGTGAGCGTGCGAGTGAGCTAGTGAGCATGCGAGTGAGCTAGCGAGCGAGTCGAGAGCAAAAGCGGATCAGAGGGGGGGCGGACGAGTAGGTATAGCGTCGGGCTAGGGTGTTCAGGGAGGCGGGCAGGCAGGTCGAATACAAGAGGTACGGGTGCGAGGGAAGGACTTCAGTGAGAGACGATGACGTACCTTCATCCCTCATGGATAGCCTCGTCATTCGTGCCCATTCCCTTCTCAGCTCGTCTCTCCGCCGCACGACTTCCTCGTCTTCTGCCGCCAGCTGGGTCTCATCCTCCTCGTCCACACTCGAACGGCCGTGATGCTTTGCGTGTCATCAGGCAGCGTAGGCTCCGGGGGTGCAGACGGCAGTGAATGTGGGCGTAGGTGTGGACGAGGACAGGGGTCGCCGTCAGTGGAGGGACAGTGCGTGGCGGCGGTGCGTGAGGTCGAAGGACGGGACGTCGGCCTTGAGACAGTGAAGCGGCGCGGTCCAAGGTGCGTAGAGTTCAAGGCTGTTGAGAGGAGAGAGGACGCGTGTGCATGAGTTCGAGGGGATGCGTGCGTGCGGCGGAAATGTTAAGGGAGGGGCAAGAAGAAACACGAGAGGAGGGACATACCCTCGTAACAATCAGCCCTCCCTTTCCCGTCTTGTCTCTCCGCCGCCAGCTTGCCCTTGCCCTCCTTGTTGACACGTTCGAGCGCATGTAGCGCGTCTGAGCAGAGCGCAGGGTGCATCTTGAGTCGTCGCGCTCGGGTTCACCTAGCGACGGTAGCGGCGAGTCGGTGGAGGAGGGGTCGTGCGAGGGTGAGAAGCCGCTCTCCTGCATGGACGCCGAGTCGGGGTGCAGGGGCAGGATGAACTTGCTGAGCGCGTGCGCAAAGGCAAGGCATGTCGCCGCTCAAGAACGCGCACGCGGAAGGCCTCGGCGACGCGGGAGAGGAGTGCAGGGTAGACGATGGGGGCGCGTCAGCCGCCGCGTCTCCTCCTTGCCAATCTTCTGCGTCGCACGTCGTGCGAGAAGCTCCCCGTCCTATACCGCTCATACAGCAGCCAAGGGTGGAGGGGGGCGTGACGGGTTGCTGAAGGATAACAGTGGAGAAGATCGGGATCATCGTATGTATGGATGCCTGACTTTCATGCAGAGCGTGGCTTGCTGCCGGACGTGCGGTTTAAGGTAACCAAGATGATAGATACAAGAGCATACGATAACAAGGACAGAGTAACGTACAAAGCGACATGCGAGAGCGAGCGAGACGGTCAGAACGAGTCAAAGCACAATAAATATACACGAGAGGCGAAGAATCGACAACGACTACTAGCGTCATCAAGAGAAGGCCGAGGGAGTGTGTGGATTGTGATCAAACGAAAGACGCGGAGAGGATGTGTTTATAGACGAAGGGAAGTGCCGTCCGTGGCTTCGTGCAGGACGACGGTAAACAGTAATTGCGCCCACTACTGCTATTAATTCGTGCTCTTGAAACTCTTGACGCTCTTGGAGCTCTTGAGACTCTTCGAACTCGCGCGCCTCTGCGAAACCAAGCAGTCAGTATCCCATATGTATGAGAGTGATACGGACCGAAAGGAGCTTACAATGACGGTCTTGAAATTCTGGAGCAGTCCCTTGACTGCATGCTTGGTTTCCGGGCCTGTGTCGACACGGGCTTCGGAAAGTAGCTGATGCACATCGACTTCGGAGAGATTGACGGGAAAATCAACCCTTTCAGCATGTGGAAGCCTGCGAGTAGAGGGGCCAGGAGAGGGAGGATCGGAAGGGGCGCGGATGTGGTCCCGAGAAATTTGGATGGGTTCCCACGGAGGGGAAGATCTCGAGATTTGTGGGATGAGCTGGGTCGCAGCGTTGGTGGTATTGTCCGTTATCTGGGAAGACGGCAAGTTATCCACGGAGGTGCGCATCTTGAGATGGAGGGAGATGGCCTCGAGACTATCAGATAAACCTGATATCTGCTTTTGAATCGTGTCATACCGCAATTGTGACGTCTGTTCGATGGAGGTGAGTCTCGTCTCGATGGAAGTGAGCCTCGTCTCGACGGAAGTGAGCCTCGTCTCGACGGAAGTGAGCCTCGTCTCGACGGAAGTGAGCCTCGTCTCGATGGAGGTGAATTTCTCATCATGCTGGTCTAGAGTGAGCCTGATACTCTCGATATCGGTCTCGATGGTATTCAATCTGCGTGTCGATTCGTCTCTCAGCTTGTCGATATCCTCCTTAAGCGTCATACGCGCGCGAGTAATGTGTTGAGAGGGGGTATCGTTATCTACTCCGAACGTGTTAGACACTAGGACGTCACATCAGCACACAGTGCAGCGTATGACAGAAAGCGACCATGACTCACCAGAGACCCCGTCCAAAGAGGAATGCGTAGAGGAAGCTGCCTGCGCTACAGAGGGAAGATTGGAGGTAGCCTGAGGAAGCGAGGAGTGAGATCCATATGACCTGAGGGTCGCCATGTTGAGTGCTTTAGATATGAGGATGTCGTCGGATGACGTGGAAGGGGAGAACGACGAGAATGACGAGAAAGAAAGGGAGAGGAGGGTAGAGGGGGAGATACGGACGCGATAGGTAGGAGACTTATAAAGGACGAGTTTGCGTTGTTTATCCATATCGGACATATCGATGGGATGGCGAAGGGGAGGATGGCGGCAGGGCGTTGGTTGGTTGCTCTTTCAAACAACTGACTCTAGCCTCGTGCTTACCAAGCGGAATAGGCCAAGCGGACATTCAAAAGCCACGGCGCGTTTTCGTCGGAGTCGTTACGGCCGGGCAAGCCGAGCTGGCTCTATACCGCCTGGCACTGCGTGCACCGCAAGGTTCTTCCCGGGATAAACCGTGGATAAAACCCTAGATATAGATAAAGTTTTTGTTTGGGTTTATCCGAGGAAACTACCAAAACACAAACTTAAGGTCTTTTTAATATTTTATTATGAGATATGAATAAATATCAGATAAACCTTAAGTTTTTTGTTTCGGTGGAAAACCCGGAACAAAAACTTTATCTATATCCAGAGTTTTATCCACGGTTTATCCCGGGAAAAATCCTGCGGTGCACGCAGTGTGGGCTCACTGGTCGCGGTTTTGGCGGGGCGCGCCAAATGTGAGTTCGACTTAGCCAAATTTCGTGCAATCTTCAGCCACCACTACTATACCTTGCCTCCACACTCATTACTTCTCTTAGCAAATAAATATGTATGTGGATATGTTAACAAATAAATTGTTTATCTATATTATTCTGCCTCCAAATGTTCCTGAAAATTAGAACTTGCAACAGGGCACTCTGTTGCACCTCACAAAGATGCTGAAGGCCGAGGCAGAGCAATCTGGGCAACCAAAGAGTACTAGGATGATGGTGCCATTGTAGGGTACTGTCCCCATAGTACAATACTATGCTGTGGGTTAGAGGGCAAAGAATGCAGGGGGCCAAATGATGACAAGGAATAAGAATAAAAGGGGGATTGGGTCTAGTTCAGTACATAGGGGGATCAATTCGTCATATCTCCAGGGTGAGAAGGCAGCGCCCGAGCTTCGTGAAAGGTTTGCGGATCGATTGCTATCAGCCTTCACCAAGAAGGAGCTCAGCATCGATAACTGGGACCCGCTCTCCGAACACTCCCAGGACCTGAAGGTCAGCCAGCGCTAACGTCCTTCCATTTCATTGCCCAATCTTTTCTTTTTTGCTCCCCCACTAGCTGATCCTAGGCCCTGGCGCAAAAAGGCCTGTTCACATCATCCTGACAGAGATGACCCCGCGCGAGGCAGCCACGTTTGCCGCAGGAGAGTTCGCCTCCGTGAGTCCCACCCCGACCCAAAAATACTGACAAATCCTCAAGCCTTGCCAGATCGCACTGCAAGCTCAATCGCACTAGTGCCGTCTTTATCCCCCCGCATGTCCTCAAACCCGTACATTCTCTCACCATCGGCAGATTTACTGATCGATTGATTTCTGTTTCGAATCTTTCAGCCAAAACCCACGACTATCTAAAGTGCTTGCCTACTCGCAGCCCCCGGCGCGGATCGTCACCAGCCCCCGTCAAAGTTCCCGAAAGACCGAAAGACCGATCCCGCGAAGCCACGCCTCTTTCATCTTTACTGCGCCCGCAGAAGAAGCGCCGGCACTCTTCTTCAAGCCCTCCGCCGCCAATCCGTCAACCCAAGCCCTCAACCTCAACTTTGACTTCGCCTTCACAGGCCACAAGATCAGCACAAGACCAAGACGCCGGGAAAGGGAAATGCAAGGCAAAGCCACTTGCGAGTGAACCGACCCAATCTGAGCTGCTCACGCGTGAAGAGATCCGGGTTCTACGTCAAGAGCTCTCCAAGGCGTGCGGCATGAACATCACAAGCCAGGGCAGCAGCTTCGGCCTCGGCGGGAGCACGAGCGCTCTGCAAAGCCATAAGCACCCGTTGCTCTTCCTGTCCTTTTGCTTCCTTCCATCGATCAATCGATTGATCGCTGAGCCTGGTGGTGTCTAGGCTCGGTCATGCCCGCGCAGACGGCTAGGAGGGGCGCATCCCTTGCGAACCCAAACAAGAAAGCAAGATGGTACCAGGCTGTTGAGTTTGCGAGCGACAGCAGAGAAGAATAGGCCTTTCTCCTAAGCTCCAGCGCATGGAGGATTTGTATCTCTTGAGCCGGCCGTAAGTTGGTGGTTCTGTGCTTTGTTGGAATCCTACTGATCGCAAGGTTGGTGATAGTGTATTGCCGTCGTTATAGCCGTAGCACTTGTGTGTGTACTGAGTTTAGTTTTAGCTATGTATGGCGAGCAGGTGTGTGCTCTGCTTTTTTCTGTAGCCCAATGGAAGAGTTTGCGGAATGTATAACATATGCATGGAGGGAGATACGAGTATATCTCCTCGGCGGGAGGCATATGTAATGTCGTATCAACAATTGCTGCTCAAGGTTGGTCCGTACCTTGCTTTGCAGCACGCTGACCTGGACATTGTTGGCAAATTCGTGATCAGATGGTCAGCCAGTCAGTTGTTGATATGGAACATGCCATCTTCTAGCTCGCCGATGTCGCATGATAGGCGGCATTCAATATACAACTTCAACATTGGGCTATGAATTGCCCATTCAAATTGTATTCCATATGCACCACATTCTCCGAGGGTCCGTCAATACCCACAGTTATCAAGACACGCACTGTAGGATGCATGAGGCAAGAAACAACCCCGACCATTCCTCGAGCGACATACACCATCTTCGGAGCACGCTGATCGGGCCTGGGGGCAGCGCTTGAACGATCCGCAACACATGCCATCCTCCTCATCATCCTGATCACTGTCATCACAGCGGGCATACCACACCACGCCTAGTACGCACAAGTCTCCGCATCGGCAACAACTCGTCGAGTACAGCCCAAGGCCTCGACCGCATGCCAACCGCGTGCACGTTCGCACGTCCATCACTGATTGATATGCAGGATATCCAAGCCTTCCGTGGTTCTTTGAGCCACTTTGATATACAGATCGCAGGCGGTGCTCTTGATCCACGCTGGACATCGAGGGCTTTGGAATAGGATATCGGCAGCTGGAGTCGTAGGGGTTGAGCGGCTGGTGCCAGTGCAATGACCACTTTCTCTCTGAGGTGTGTCCTGCGCTGGAAGATCGTCAAGGCGTGCACCCTGGACCTCATACGGATCGAGCCTGTCTGACGAGAGCCGGCCGCCCTACACAGTCCAGGCCCAATACTGAATGCACCCCAGTAGGCTCCATGGTCAGTCGCCATTACATCTCAACTCCCTTTGAATCAACGTCATATCCCACACTCGACGCAGATTTGCGGATGGTGCAGCCTCCCTGTTGGGCGCTAAGCAAACCGACTACCCACCCTGATAGCTTGAGCATCAGGCATTCCATGCATCCCGCATATTCCGATTGCGCAGCGTCCCAATCTTAACTTACTTTGATCGGCCAGTGGCTCGAGTAGCACTCATTGTCAGCTGACTTGGCGAGCATCAGGGCGTCAAGGGCCCAGACATTGTAAGGCCGGTATGCATCATTATAACATAAGTGGGTCCCATACCAGGACCCCTGAAAATAGGTAGGGAGGCCAGGTGGCCGATCCGGAAAATTTTGGGCCTTTTTGACCCCTTAGGCTGAGTGCGTCCATACAAAATTTGCCCTGTGTGGTGGGCAAGGCCTGTCTGTGCATCCTGCTAATTGTGGTGTCAGGGTGATAGGCCTGAACGGGGTCCGGTCAATTTAAGCTGGCATGGTGTAGTGGCAGGTCGTGCAAGTGTCGTGCAATATGTAGTAAGGCAATTTGTGACGGGTTCATGGGTTCAAATCCCGCACATGTACTTCTTTACTACTTTTTTGTGCTCGTGCCTCAGATCTCTAAGCTGTCAGCTGAAATGGAAATTTATGCTCTCAAAGTGGTGCGCACACATCCAACAAAATTCTGCACACAATGTCGGACAGCAAAGTTATTGACCTCGACACTACTCACTCAGAAGCTCTACACAATGTTCACATTCTCATTCCTTTGGAATTTCTCAAAATACTGCCAGATCATCATCTCTCGATTGTGGATTTTCTCAATGTCAACTTGCCCACACAATCTTCAGCCCTCATTCTCCTGAAACCAACATCCTTGTTCAGCAAATCCCCCCCTGAGCAGCCTACAGTACAAGACATAATGGATTATACTCTGCCTCCCAACAAAAGGCTTTCCGAACTGGACAAAAAAGTCCGACAGGAGGCAGCGCAAGGGGCTCGCTCTTTTGAGAACCCCTTTTTGAAAGAACTGCAACACCCATTATGAATGATCACCTTCTGGAAAAGGATTGCAATAGTGCAACAAAGCAAGGATCTATGGCGGCGGTCAAATGAGTGGCTTCTAAAATGGACACATGACATCAAAGGGCTCACCACACAAAGAGAAGCTCAGACGGCACAGGTTCTGATGTTGTCACTGGCATGGGGAGTTGAGTTGAAGGTTTTGGGTATTGCGAGCAGCATGGATACTTTATCAAGCCTGCTGTCTGACAGCTGGCTGAGTGATGACATTGTTGACATGTTAATGTTTGACTTGCATCAACAGGCCCAGTCGGACCCTATTAGGGCAAACACAGTAATGTTTGCCCTGGTGCATCTCTACAACAAGATTGAAAGCCTTTCAGGGCAGGGAAATTATCATCAGTCAAAGATGCTCGTTCAGTATAAGAGAGAAATTCAGGACGATACATCGCAATAGTACCTTTATATGCCAGTCTTTGTCAATGGGAACCATTGGGTTTCCATGCAAGTGGACTTTCAGATGCATAGTGTTGCATATGGTGCGTCGTTACAAGCCTGTTGTAGATGCATGGCAATACTTACTCTGGAACAGGGGACTTGCTGTCGAACCCACACTCACTCAAGAAAGCTGTACAGCATCTCCAAGGCTGGCTCAAACATGTGTTCAAGGTCTCGTTTCATGACGCCGAAGATTCGCTAGTGCACGGCCTCCAAAACAATACCTACTTCTGTGGGATATGTACAATCAATACTATTGAGCACAACACTTTTGGAGCCGAATTATTCATGCATGCAAGTCGTCGTCTTTGGCATGTTCGCTACTTCAACCAGCTAGCAAAATTACATAATGAGTCTTCAGTATGTCATATTGTCAAGATCACTTTAGCAAGGGACTGACCTTATTGCAGAATGTAAAGCCCACAATGGGGTATTTTCCATGTAGCTTTGAAGAATGGTTAGACAATGATCAGGCAACATCGGCGATGGACTCGAAGAGCTTACTATTGCCTATAAGCGCTGCTGGAATCTTGGAGCCAAAGGTTAATATCTCCTCATCCCCCAGCGCCCCGAGCATGGGCTCGACAAAGGACATATCAACCCCCACTCCATGCGAAACTGCTGAATCTGTTATGAAATGCTTCACCTATGCTTACCTACTTTTCTCACCTTCTTGATAAGGACTCGTAGGACCTTTCTCCTGACCATACCTCGGGTTCCTGTTCCACTGATACTTGGTCCGTGCATCTGCTTGTACATATTTATGGATACTGCGGCGCAGTGTGGAAGCCCTAGGCTATCCACTTCTGTCCAATCTAAGGACTGCTGTTCACACAGTCTCCTCTGATTCTAAGGCATTAGTCTGATCAGTCCTTTGACTTCTCCCATCATCACTTGTGGCCTAGGATCTTCTCGTCCCGAACAGCCGTTCATGACATCTGGATAGCCTCTCTTCACAAAAATCCTACTCCACCTTTTCTTTGCAGCAGAACACCGACTAGTTACATACAGCACTAGGCAGTCCCAAAAGACAAGCGTCCGTCGACCGTAATAGTTACTATACACTTCGAGCGAACGATTGGACGATTCCACTTTAGTGTGGGTCGTTTCAGGTTGTAGAATACTTCTATCTGGTAATCAACCCAGTGAAGGTACGACCGAAACAATTGCACTCGACGTTACGTACGGTACTATACCAGAAAGCAGAAATACTATACCCGGCTAGGAAGAGCTACTGTTGCCTTGACCCTCGAACCTTGATCAGGTCAAGACTAGCGCGGGCTCTTTGATCCAACAAGACGACTTCCCAAGGTTCAGGAAGAAAGCGTAGGGCGAGTTCCACACGGAACCGACTACTTGAAACACTCCGACACATTCGTCCATTTCGGACAACCTATCAGAAGAACATCCAAGGGAAACTGGGTTTACGTAGGAGGACAGAATAGCGGAAGAACAGTTGACGCCCCACTAGTACCCTGGGAAGACAGGAAGGCACCCCTCAGAACCATAGATTCCCCCACCCGAACAAGACCCGCTCTGTCACCAGTCGACATTCCCAAAGAAGACATCGAAGAAACCCCAATTCCTGCGGGAGTATTAACCCTGGTCGACGAAGAAGACCCGGAACCTATAGCAGGACCGAGTCAACCAAACCCAAACCCAAACCCACAACCAAACCCTTGACCAGCCGCAGGAACCACAGATGACGAGGACGAAATGTCAGACAAAGGAAACAAGCCGAAAGATTTTGATGGCACGAGGTCGAAATATAGAGAATGGATCTATGAATGTCACATGTACATTCTCACCAACCCAACCAAATATGACACCGATAAGGATAAAACCCTAATGGTGTTATCATATATGAGAGAAGGAACGGCGTCACTCTTCACCCAGAAGTACTACTTCGACAGGGAACTTCGAGAATACAAGGCAACGGAGACAAGAAAAACATGGGGAACATTCAAGGAATTCTTAAAGGAGTTAGCCGCTGCATTCAAAGATGAAAGTCTCGAACAGAAGGCGAGACAAAAATTATTCACAATGAGAATGGGAAAACAATCAGCGGACGAATTTGTCATGGACTACCTCATGACGGCAGGAGAAAGCGGATTCGATCTTGAATCCACCATCGACTATTTCCGCCGAGCCATACACCCAGAAATTCTCAAACAAATCTACAGACTCCCTGATATGCCGACAACCATGGACGATTGGGTAAAATACACCCGAAGGTTCGATAACCAGTGGAGGGAGCTACAAAGCATAAAAAGCTCCGTACCCTCCGCCGCTGTTCGATCCAACAACCCTTTCCGCTACAACTCCTCCAACGCTCCATCATCCATGAACAACTCTGTCATCCCCATGGCCATAGATTCAGTCCGAACAACCCTCACGGACGAAGAACGCAACCGCCTCAGGATGGAGGGTGGGTGCTTTTACTGCCGTCAAAAAGGACATATGGCAAACCAATGCCCTGCCAGGGGTTCGTCTAGGATACATGAAGGGTCAGCTGGATATGTTCAACAGGGTAGTAGAACAGTGGGGAACCGCTCGGCTCAGGCCGGCAGCAGGATAGGAGGCGGAGGAGGCGGCTATGGCCGAACGTTCTCGACAGGAACTTCAAGCGGTACTCAGGGAAGCACTACGACGCAAGGTAGAGGCATGGCGACGACTAACCCGTTCCGAGCCCGACTCGCAGCTCGCCAGGCCCACGCACCCAGACCGGATGCACCTATACGTGAGACGGAGCTTGAGATTAGCCGAGAAGAGATCCAGAAAGTTATAGGAAAGATGAGATGGGACGAGCAAGAAGCACTCCTTCAGGAGCTGAATGAGATGAGCAAGTGGAAGGAATTGGATTTTTAAATAGGCCTACGGCTCTGGTGTACCGTAGACCTGCTCCAGACTCTCCTGTAAAAACAATCATATGGCTTACCAAATCCAATCAGAAATCGTCTATGAGGATAAACGTGCACCTGAAACATAAGGAGGGAACCACCGAAGCCCGAGTACTAATCGACTCAGGAGCAGAAGGACTTCTCATCAATAGACAATTCTGCCTGAACAACAACATAGCAGTGCAGAAAATCGATAAACCCATCCCTGTGTTTAACATGGACGGAACAGCCAATGATGGAGGAAAAATCACCGACAAAGCCTGCCTGCTCATGAGAATAATGAATGAAGAAGGTGATTACCACGACGAACGATGCGAACTATTAGCCGCCAACCTAGGAGGAGAAAACGTAATCCTAGGAACGGATTGGTTGCATGAACACAACCCACAAATTAACTGGGTAAAGAACAGTCTTACGTTCTCAAACTGTGCCACCACGTGTCTAGTCAGCCGACCTAAATTCACCATACAGGCACTAGCGCCCACCCAGCACAGAAAAAACAGAACAGTTGGGTATTCCAGGATAGAAGACGATTTGGAAGAAGATGAAGTTGAGGACACCTTCTTTTCCGAATTCTACGAAGAATGGTATTACCAAAATCCACTAGAAGTACATCCCCTCGAAGCAGTTCACATTGGTTCCATTGGAAATAAATCACAACAACTGGCAGAAAAAGCGAACAAAATGAAAACGGAACGACCTATTGAAGAAATAGTCCCAGCATATGTTCTTAAACAATTTGCCAAAATTTTCAGCCAGGAAGCGTCACAACGACTCCTGGAACATTCACAATGGGATCATAAAATCGATATGAAACCAGGATGGGAACCAACGGGATGTAAGCTGTATCCCCTAACAGAAGAAGAAGAAGACCAGCTTCACAAAATGCTTCAAGAACATTTGAAACGAGGAACCATTAGAATATCCAAATCCCCGCAGGCGTCACCCTTCTTCTTCGTAAAAAAAAAGGAAGGTAGCTTACGGCCGGTTCAAGACTATCGGAAGTTGAACGAATGGACAATAAAAAACAAATACCCACTACCCCTAATTGACGACGTAATAAGAACCATCGCCAAATCGAAGGCAAGGATCTTTTCTAAGTTTGACGTAAAATGGGGGTACAACAACATCCGCATAGCAAAAGGCGACGAATGGAAAACAGCCTTCATGACCAAATTCGGCTTATTCGAATGCCTTGTGATGTTCTTCGGTCTCTGCAATTCACCCACCACCTTCCAAACTATGATGAACATCATCTTCCATGACCTCATCGTTGCGCAGGTCCTTGCGGTCTACATGGATGACATCCTGGTGTTTACAAAAACCATCGAAGAGCACAGGCGCGTAACAACCCAAGTCATGCAGATACTCTTGGACAATGATTTATTCCTGAAACCTTCCAAATGCACCTTTGAAGCGGACACAGTCGAATACCTTGGGTTTATTATCTCTGCGGATCACATATCTATGGACCCGGTAAAGGTCGAGGGAATCGCCGCCTGGCCAACCCCGAAGAACCTGAAAGAAGTACAATCCTTCCTCGGTTTTGGAAACTTCTATCGGAGATTCATCGGAGACTTCGCTACCATAGCCTGACCTCTCAACGACCTCACAAAAAAGGATGTACCCTTTGAATGGACCTACGAGAGAAACAAGGCATTTGAACAGCTAAAGCACCGCTTCACATCTACTCCCGTCCTTGTTTACCCAGACGGCAATCGCCCATTCCGCCTTGAAACCGATGCATCGGACTTTGCTTCTGGTGCCATCTTATCACAAGAAACGCCAAATGACGGATGGCACCCTGTCGCTTACCTGTCCAAGTCCTTCAATTCAGCTGAGCGGAATTACGATATCTTCGATAAGCACCTACTTGCCGTCATACACGCCCTCGATCACTGGCGCGTGTACCTCGAAGGCGCACGACACCCGTTTGAGATCTGGTCCGACCACAAGAACCTACTGTACTTCTCTACCGCAAGAACCCTCTCCCGTCGCCAAGCACGTTGGTCACTTTTCCTATCCCGCTTTGACTTCACCCTCGTCCACAAACCTGGCATTACTCACCGACCCGATGCTCTATCCAGGCGTCCAGACCTAAAAGAGGGGGTAAAATCTGACAACAAAAACCAGGTATTACTACAACCCCAAATGTCTGTCAAAAGCGCAACGGGATGAGGAACAGTTGAAATGCTCGACAGCTAGCTAAGACGAAAGTTAAAAGAAGTCACGGCTAAAGATAAAGAAGTAACGGACGCAATGGAACTTATCAAAATGTCTGGACCTAGAGCACTCTCAAAAGGCTTACAAGAGTGGAATTACGAAGATGATCTCATCTGGCACAGAGGGAAAATATATGTCCCACCAAACGACGAACTTAAAAGACAAATCACAAAAATATATCACGATTCACTAGCAACTGGACATCCAGGGAGATGGAAAACCTACGTCCTAGTGTCAGATAACTTCTGGTGGCCAGGAATGTCCACATTCATAAAAGAGTATGTAACAGGATGCGCAACATGTCAAAATACCAAAAACATTACACATCCCACACGCACTCCGCTCATTCCAAACGAAATACCAGAAGGACCCTGGCAAACAGTCACGATGGACTTCATCACAGATCTTCCCTAAGTTGGACCGTATAACGCCATTCATGTGACAGTAGACAGAAGCACCAAAGGTGTTGTTTACACCCCATGTGATAAAACCATAGACGCCAAAGGAACCGCCGATCTCTACATGAAGAACATCTGGAAACGATATGGACTTCCAAGGAAGATTATATCTGACAGAGGTCCACAATTTGCGGCCAGATTCACGAAGGAACTATGGAGGAAACTAGGAGTAACGACAGCATTATCAACTGCCTACCACCCAGAAACAGATGGAGAAACAGAAAGAGTCGATCAAGAACTAGAACAGTACCTATGGGCATTCTGCAACTACAAACAAACTAATTGGCCTGAACTATTGCCATATGCGGAATTTGCACACAACGTCAGGGAACATTCAGCGACTCACCAATCGCCATTTAAACTCATGTATGGCTATAATCCAACTTTTACACCTCCGATTACGCCGAGATCCGACATTCCAGGCGTAGAACAAAGGTTGGAAAGGTTGGAACAATTACGACACGAAACGAAGGCCAGCCTGGAAGTAGCGGCTGAACTGATGAGAAGAAAGACAGCCGAAAACGAAGTCAAATTAGAAGTAGGACAGAAAGTTTGGCTATCGGGAAAAAACATCATAACCACACACCCGAAAGACAAACTAGCCCCGAAATTGCATGGACCATTCGAAATAGAAAGCAAACCAGGACCGGTGACGTACAAACTAAAACTCCCGCCAACGTGGAGAATACACCCCGTATTCCACGCCTCATTAATATTACCCTATCAAGAAACAGCCGCTCACGGCCCCAACTTTGAACAACTGCCACCTGACCTCATAGACGGACAGGAGGAATACGAAGTCGAAGAAATTCTTGACAAAAGGAAATGAGGACGCGGGTATCAATACCTAGTACACTGGAAAGGATACCCAAGCTCCGCGGATGAATGGGTCACGAGAGCAAACCTAGGGAATGCTAAAGAACTTTTGGAAGCATATGACGCGCGACATCATAACTTACCGCTACGGGCAGCCCTCGCAAACATCGGACAAACAAAGTCAGAAACATATAAAAACCCAAATTCAATCATTACAATTCCCTCATCCCTTCAATCACTCCTTCACTCTCCCAGCGAACATATCTTCCGACGAATCCATCTACCTCTCTTCTGAAGACACTCTCGTCGAACGACCCTACGAAGAAACACCCTCCACTGAACCCTTCATTCCTTCGACCCCCAAGATGTCCATAGTAGAAGAACGATCCATACTATGGGACACAGACGAAGAACAAGCAGCGCGGGAAGCGGAAGAAGGGTTTAGCGAGTATTTGGAAGGACTGGACGAGGACGAACGACGACAAGACGAGATGATCAGACTACTCACGGAGGACTTTGACAGACCTTCACCTTCCCGCTCTCCCTCTCCACCATCCCTTGTCCGCACACAAAGCGAGGGGATCATATTCCCCGATAGAGAAACGTACCTGACGACTCCCGTCGCTTACATGATGGGGCTTATCGAAGGCATGCCGAACACCAAATTTGTGTCGGGACCAACACGACCGGAGGTACGAAGAGCATTAGAGATCTTAGAAGAGGAAAGGAGTTTTATCCGACATGCACAATGAGCCTTACAGATCAGAAAGGGAACGCTCATCGCCCGCATTAATGCAGGCAAGAGGAAGCTCATAGGTCTAGACCAGACAACGCCTCTTCAGGACACCTTTCATCCCGCCGACGACATCACCCCTGTTACCGAATATCACATGCCGACCACGGCTGTGGTATCTCGTGCCTCGTCTTCGGCCTCAAATGGAGCACCACTTTGCCCAATGCCGGGGGCTTATCCCACGGAACGCGGCAGAGGAAGGGACGTCTATAGGTTCGCACAACTATCGCCTCGCTACCACGTCATACCCGCACGACTGGGCTTAATCCGCCCTTCTACCCGAACTCGACCTCCCCTTCCCTTCGTCGATTATGACTCCAGCGAGTCCGACACCCAGCCCATCGTCCTCCGTCCTCGAGGTGCTTGAAGAATGAGACGCTGACGTCCGGTACGACGTAAAACTCCCGGGGCAGACGACGGTTCGAATCCGTTGGGCCGGTACCCACTGCCATGATGAGACGAGGGACTCGGCTCTAGAACGCAGTCCCCGCATGGTTGGTAACGAGGTGGGGTATCGTGACGTCCGTACTCAAGGGCTATCGCGTCACGACTCGACTGTGGGCAGCGAGAATCTGTGCCCTAAGTATTATTTTGTATGACTCAGATTACACGCATTGCTTATGTTTTTCCTGGACTATTACTTACCGTCTCTGGCACTGACGGCCTAGAGGGGGGGGTAATGTTATGAAATGCTTCACCTATGCTTACCTACTTTTCTCACCTTCTTGATAAGGACTCGTAGGACCTTTCTCCTGACCATACCTCGGGTTCCTGTTCCACTGATACTTGGTCCGTGCATCTGCTTGTACATATTTATGGATACTGCGGCGCAGTGTGGAAGCCCTAGGCTATCCACTTCTGTCCAATCTAAGGACTGCTGTTCACACAGTCTCCTCTGATTCTAAGGCATTAGTCTGATCAGTCCTTTGACTTCTCCCATCATCACTTGTGGCCTAGGATCTTCTCGTCCCGAACAGCCGTTCGTGACAGAATCAAGCATCAGCAAGCATTTGGAAAGCGCTGTGCACAACCCCACCTCGATGCCGTCAATAGACGAACCTACTCTATCTGATGATCTTCCCCCGGCGACAACCCATGACTTGCCCACACTGCCCATTGTACCATCCACTTCTAAAGAAACAGTCAGCTCACAGTGCAAGAGGGATTATTCCCAAGTACTTACCGGGGACCAGCCTTCCCTTGGTGACCAGCCATCCCTCACGAAGCAAAAGCGATTCAAGGCTGTTCATGATGGCAAGTCAAACAAACCTAGCACTGCCGAACTTCGTCAGCAAGTGTCGACCATGGCAAGTGCATCCATTGGGATTAGCCGGTCGGCAATAGCAAGTAAGAGACTCAAGGCCGCTATGATGGATGGTAGTTTTCAGATTGATCTGAGGAAGCTGCAAAGGTTCAAAGATAAATGTTTAGCATATGACTCAATGGCAACATTCCGTACCGAAGGGTCACATTGGGAAGTCTTCCACTCGCATTGTGGAAAGTGGACAAAGATTGGTGAGGCTTACCTTGCATCGAAATTCATCCAGCATGTCTCCTGCTGCAAATCACAGTCCAAGTCTCGAGCAACAATGCTCGATGGATGGTATAAACCATCAAAGACCACCCTACAATTCCAACGAGCACTGCAGCTTCTGCAGAAGACTGTCAGCTCACCACCAAGTGCCCGTCTTTCTGAAACTGTTGTGCATTCCTGCAATGGCATCACCACCGATGTCCAGCCAGAAGTGACCAAATCTCCTCAAACGTGGTGTCAAGAGTGGAGGAGGGAGGAATATCCATGATCTCGCTCAAGAGGCCTTTGGCCATGACTTCGGCGATCTCATGCACATGGAGAAGTCTGATGTTTGGCGCCTTCAAACGGCATCTCACACCTGGAAGTGTGACCCCATCCTCCAAAATGTCTCTGCCATGAGCTGCGAGAAAGTGCTCTCCATCACTCAGGATGTCAAAGGACCAGTCATATGCGCTCCTTGCATGCAGATTGACTTCAAGAATGCTCTGCGCCATCCAGAGCCTCCTTCAGAGAAGATGAAGTATCTCAACACACGTTATTGCGACGAGATCACCGCTATGGCATATGCACGCGTTGTGGGTCTGCACGATGTATTGAACAAGGTATGATTGCATTTTTACAGTGTGGATTTTGCTAATTAACTATGTACTATAGGATAATAAAGGCTCTGTATACATATGCTATGTCAAGGGTGTCCTCCAAGGTGACTACAACGATCGCAAGGTCTTCAACGGTATGGTCGCAGCAGTGGTGGAAACACGGGAGCAAGTAAATCGTGGCAAGGGCATGCAAAACTTCCGATACCTGCCAGCCCTTGACGAGCTCAGTCAGGTCGCATTCACGACTAGCCCCAATGTCTACAACCTCCTCAAGTCTCACTTTCCAATTCGCACTCCTCAAAGTATCCGGTTCGTACTCACCGTTATCTGTTGTTAATGATACTGATTGATTCCTTGCAATGCTTAGAATGCAGCGAGCAGCGCTCCCTCGATTCCCTCTCAAGCTAGGACATGAGACATTTGACAGAGTCTGTAATTACATCCAAAAAGACCTCAAGTACGAAGGGCCCCTCGGCCCGAGCTGTGATGACACAAAATTATTGAGCACCCTTCGCACATACTGGGATGCCTTGGCAAAAACATACTACCTGGTGGGACACACCGGCAAGCCTATCGTGGTTGCCAACCCAGAAGAGCTTGAGGCCCTCCTCAAATCAGAGATGCTAGAGAAAGCAACAAAGGTCAGTGACCAGAACAAGCAGAAAGCTGTGGTGCTGATTGTGTATTGGCATTGTAGGTTTGTGTCTGGTGTGTTCAAATCCCAATGCCAAAGGCGAGCTCTATCGTCACTCATGTTTTGGCGATCCCAAACTCATGCGATGCCGAGGAGCTTCAAGCTTATTCAGACAAGATTATCTGTGGTCTGGTTCAGCGTGGGCTCAAGGTTATATCATACACTTGCGACGGCACGGAGACAGAGCGCAAGGTACAGTGCTGTCTCATCCGAGATTCACCTTTCCACATTACATACACAATCCAACACCCCAACCCAGCTGTTGATTTCGAGGACATGACCGTCATCATTGCGACTAGGGAGGCCCAGCCAATCGTCATGATCCAGGACTCCAAACACGCTCTCAAGACAATGCGTAACAATAATTTCAGCGGTGCCAAACTCCTTGTTCTAGGCAACACCACCGCAAAATATTCTGATGTGCGTGATGCAGCGTTTGGTCCAGGTATTTCACCCCTCTACCCCCGCGATGTCGAAAATCTTGACTGCCAAGACGACAATGCCGCAACTCGATTATTCTCTGCTTCCTCACTGGAGTACCTGGCAACACATTTCCCTGACCATGTCGGGGAAATCGTCCATCTATTCATATTCGGAGAGCTCGTTGATGCATATCAAAATCGCAAAATCAGCCACCTTTCACGCATCAAAATGGTCCTGCGCACTCATTACTTCCTGGACATATGGGCACAGTTTCTAGATAGAGCAGGCTATGTGAAGTCGAAGCATTTCATCTCTCATGAAGCTACTGATATTGTCCAGATCATCATCGAAGGTCTCATTGGCCTCGTTATCATCCACTGAGACTATATGGATGACAAAATCTGCCCGTTACTCCCCTGGATGCATTCTAGCAAAGTATGCAAGCATGTCTTTGCAGAATGTCGAAAACTGGTGAAAGACTTTGCTTTTACAGATCTCATACAAATGATGCCTCGTCTACATGTATCTATTCGAGCCATAGTTCTCCTCGATGTTATGACAGATCCGAAAGCGCGCGCATCCGGCTATGCCCACACCTACTTCAACTCACACGGAATCAATCTCGGAGTGCTTGCATGTTTCCCTACCGACAGTGAGATACAGTCAGCCACCAAAGATGCCTGGGAAGAGGCAGAAAACTTGTTTAATATACTCGGGGTATCACCTTCTGATTTCCTGTTGGCTTCTCATCCAACTCTGCCTAGTATCAACTCATGGTACGTACCAGGTATGGGTCCAATGGCTGACAAGGCCGGTAGTGACACCGACAGCTCCGAAGACGAACAAGACAAAGGTGATGATGAGGTGGGTGACACGGATGAACTACGGCAGCTTCTTGTCGATATACGCCGCTCGGGCTTCCATGAACATTCTGTGGATGAACGGCTGTTGAACTTACAGTGTGCCACTGTTGCCATGGACATAGATGATCTGGTTCAGCTGTAAGTTGTGTCACCTCCAATAGTTCACTGTCAGCGCTCTCGTACTGATATTGAATGGATCCAGAAAAGATATGGCTCACAAGCTTTCCCAAGAAGAACAAGAAGCCAACCTTGAGAATGACCAATCCAATATATTGGCAGTGCTCCACGCTGCACAGCTGCCTCCGGTCAACTTACCTCCAGAGCCTCGCCACGCGTTTGATGTCCATTTCTCTTCTGTCGACACACTCGACTTCTCCCTGCTGATTGAGATCCAACAAGCACACAAAACACACCGCGCAGCCCATGGTGTTCGAGAATTGGCCGTACCAGAGTCAACACCTTCCCAGAGCAAGAAGCTTGGCAAGGAAAGCTTGCAGAGGCAGATCATTCAAGAGATGCAAGCTCTCCTCTCGCAGCAGCAGGACTAAGGGATCGGCACTGGACTTGAGCATAAGGAAAGGTGGAGGAACTCAGGTGCACAAGGTGCCCTAGCAGGTAACTCTGCCAACGCGGCACTGGCAGCTACCCAGCGTGCGGGAACCGTGCGTTAATATTAACGTTTCTACACCACTCCTTCGATGAACAATATCTTGCAGGTCACCCTACGGTGAGGCAAGGTCTTTGGAGATCAGCGGTTGCCCACCGCTCTGGTTGAAAAGTTGACAAGTGCTATGGTCGACACAGAGAACAATGCGCAGCTTCCTGGACGACATGTATTGAGGGTTGGGACGTATGGCATCATACTTTGCCTCGTTGTGGGCCGTGGTGAGTACAACAATTACTCAATATATCTATGGCTGATGATCTTTGTTCCTTACAGTCATGGCTCTCTACACTCAAGGTGGTGGCAAATCCAGTGCGCATTTGTGGCAGGAAACATCACTCAACATCGGCGCAGCGTCGTACATCTCTTTGCAATCATACGAGCCTTCACATGCTGTTCTATTCCAGGCTATCCATGGTCGTGTCGCTTCCATGCAATCTTATACTTTTACTCACCTCCATTCTGACTACTTCTTGTGTATCCTACCCAATGATCCATCCATCAGCCAGGACAGGCGGCACATACATCTTGATGAAGTCTTGCTCCAACTATTCTCACATTTGAATAGATATCTCTTGAACCTCGTAGCAGTGGTCCAACGTCTCCAGGCCTTACGTTGGCGTGGGGCAGGGGGCAAGAAGGACAGTAGCGGCACAAGGAAGGACGGTGATGGCTTGGTGCATGAAGTATAACGCTCTGTAACATCTTTTCAATATCTCATGTGCTCTATGTGTTTGATTCTGATGGCCAATGGCCTGATAAACGCTTTCTGGCCTTTCTGAGCATCAAAATAGGCCTGAAATATGTGATCCAGACAATTTTGAGGGCTTACAAGGCCGGATCTGGCTAATCCGGCCAAAAAATATGGTTTTGGAGGCCTGGCAGTTCAATCCGAACATTTTGACTCAAAATTTGGCTAGGCCTGGTTTTTTCCGGAAAAATTTCGCCGATTTTGGGACTTTCTATCCGTACATTTTGGCCGGCTTTTAAGAAATTTCCACCCGGCCTCCCCCCCTATATTCAGGGGTCCTCCCATACCATGCAGAAGCTTACCAAGCTCACGTGTAAAAAACTACCACACCCATTCGACCACCCTCATGATAAGTCCCGCACCTCTAGTCTCTACTCCGCAGCCCTCGCCTTCGATGCTACCACCCAGCCGATGCAACATGCCCTCCCACAGCTTCTCTGGGTAAACCCTTTCCATGCCGAGCATCGTATGCTCAGTAACCCCGCCGATAAGATGGAAGACTACACGCGCGCATTCAGATGCGAGGCGCTCGCGCTTGGAGACATCGCTACAATCCATCCCTAAATAGAGGGCGACAGTGAAGAATTGTGGCAAAACTCCACCGGCTAATGTCGCATGTTGTCGCTTATGCTCGCGTGGGCCACGTAAGAAACCACGCGAGCGAAGCGAGCGCCATGACAAATTTGGCAAGCGGAGCGAGCTGTCCCTTTAGCCGCCCAGCAACCTCCGCAACTGGAGCAGGCCGTGTCTCGGCAGCTGTCGGGGTTCTACATGGCATCCCAGTCTGCCCGGCAATGCCAGCAACTGGAGCATGCCGTGCCTCGGCAGCCATTGGGGCTCAAAATGGCATTCCGGCACCCCACAGGGAACCTCACGGGGGAGCCTCATAGGGCAGAATCTCATAGAGGAGCCTTATGGGCAGGACCTTTTATGGAATATGAAAAGGGAGCCTAATAAAAAGGCCATATAGGCAGGATCTGGCAGAGGAACCTTATAGGGGAATCTTTTGAATGTCATCTTGCAAAATCTCATAGAGGGGCCTTATAGGGGAATCTTATATGCAGGACATTATAGAATATCATGGGAACTAGAATTTATGGGCACTAAAAGTGATATTCTAGCACCTTATAGAAGAGCTTCACAAGAGAGCCTCACTGGCAAGATCTTATAGAGGAACCTGACAGAGGAACATAATAGGTAAGCATAATGGGGAAACCTAACAGGGGAATATAATAAAGGAATCTATATAGGAGAACCTTATATGGACTATATCTTGGCAGCTATTGGAGCTTGAAATAGTATCCTAGCACTTTATGGAAAAGCCTTATAGGTATGACCTTATAGAGGAACTAAATAATGCTTGACAAGAGAGTCTTATATAGAGACTATTATGGGCAGGACCTTATAGAATATGACAAGAGAGCTATATTAAGGCAAAATAATTTATGGGCACTGGACTTTATAGGCACTAAAATTTCCAGGCACTGGGCTTTACGGGCACTGGACTTTACGGGCACTGGACTTTATAGGCACTGGACTTTACAGGGACTAGACTTTATAGGCACATGAGACCAAGCACTGTAACAAAAACTCAGATTAAGCATGGTTGCGCCATCACAACGCGATGGGTGAAAAGCTAGTCCATAAATAGAGGGCGACACTGTAAAATTGTGGCGCTTAAGCAATGGCTATGCTCGCGTGCTCCTTGCTTATGCTCGTGTGGGCCATGTAAGAAACCACGCAAGACTACTGTCCCATAGGCTTTGGAACGCGAAACGGAGCGTGTCGGAGTTTGAAATTCGATGAGTCAGCGCTTCCACGCGAGGCTTGCGACATTGGATCTCTGCCACCAACCACCATCATTTCTGTCTCAGACCCTCCACCCACATTTCCCTCTGCTTCTCACCTTTCTAGCTTTTCTCTAAAACTCTACTCTGCTCTACTGGGTGTCTCTGAGCACGGATTCTGCTTAGAAAGAGCCTACAGGGTGTGAAGTCTACCAGCACGGCCTTAGTTTGCTGTAGCCAAAAGCAGCCTTTTCATAGCTGCCTGGACCTCTCTCATCCTGCAGTGTTTCAGTTGCTCAGGTACCTTTTACCACAATCTCACAGTCACAACAACCTGCTTTGCAGACAACGGGTGACATTGAGTTGTCAAAGAGCATTAGGAATCCTCTTCCCCTGGCACTGTCTTGCAGCAATTTCTTCAGGTGAACTGTGAGGGGGCATTCAGCGAGTGCTTAGCTTGACAACCACTCTTGGCTCTTGGTTTTGTTTGCAGGTGTTTTTTTTTATTTAGCTTTTCACAATGAGTGTTCCACCTTTGTAAGTCTGTGTTGCTTGCATCATGTCTATTGTGCCCAACTCTTTTTGTAGGCCTCCTAATGAGGGTGTGGTGGAAGTCTGGATGCCTGCATTGGCACCTTTGTGAGTATTTTTGGCTTGCTTGGATACTGTTTCAGTGCTAAAATTCTCTTTAGAGATGATGATGAGGATGATCTCTATATGACACCTCCACCTGAGACTGTACATAAGTATGTGTTTTACTTTTTGCTTGGTGGTTGTGTGTACTCATATTTGCTATAGTGAGAATGCCAATAATAGTGAAGATGAGGATGATCTGTATATGACTCCTCCACCTGAGAATCTCAATGGGTATGTGGTTTTATTTAACCTTTTTATGGTCATTGGCTAAAAAGAAGAAACTATAGACATGTTGAGAACCAAGAGGCTATTGAAGAGGCTGCCCATGTGGATGTGACTATGATAAGGTATGCAGTTTTTGTTAAATCACACAAAATTTGTTTATTAATTTTGGGGTTTACAAGAACACCTCCTAGGACTCCTGAGCATGAGATCCAGACTGTGCAAGAACAAGAGCATGCTGAAAGGCTTCAGATGACTTCTCCTACTCTTCAGCGCAAGCGTTCTGCATTACGAGGCTCTATTCGTCAGCCTATCTTTGAGGATCTCTCTAGACCTTCCCATTCTGCTACTTCTAATCCTGCTCAGCCTCCTATTTTTCTTGCACCACCCATTCAGCTTTATTAGCCTGCCACACTTGCTCCTCCTGTCCAGTCAGACTATTCTGCAGTTGCTGCTTCCTTTGCTCTATCATATTATCCTGCTCAATATGTTCCTCCCCACTTTTATCCTGCTCCCATGTTCCAACACTCTGTCTATCATGGTGCTACGGCTTACCAAATTCCTGAACAGTATCCTATCTATGCTCCTCCTCCAATGCCTGCACCACCACCTCATTATTGGCCTGTGAATGTTTCTGCCTATCCTAGTCTTCTACAACACTTGATTGGGAATCATGATAGACAGGCTCGCACACGTCTTGCAGCAGCTAGCCATCCTGACTATGAGCGCCGCATGATGAATAAATTTGAACAGAGCCATGCAGAGCGTAGACGGTGTTGTAGAGAGAATACAAGGCCTGAATCAGATGTTTTCCCTCATAATCCAGCTTCTTCCTCTTATCGACCACAGCCTCCATTGCCACCTCAGTTAGATGTACAGGCTTTGCAATATCAGCATGAGCAACAGGCATTTGATCAGCATAGAGCATTCCTTCATGAGCAGCATCTTGAAGAGGTCCGTCAGCAGCTTTTGCAGCCTCAGCAAAGACATCAGCAGCATGAATTGCAAAGACAGGAGGAAGGAATCCATGAGCAGGCATTTTTTCAGCAACAACATCTTGATGATCTACAGCAGCAGCAGCACCTTCAAAATCAAATACAAGTCCATTTAGAAGAGCAGGAGCATTATGCCAATCTAGCCATCCAGCAAAACTACCATGCTTTGGCTCAAAATCAAGTGATGCAACAGCTACCTCTTGGTCGTCGTCCTTATCAAGAGCCTGACGCACGCTATAGTGTTGGCCATATGGATGTTGAATGTTCCCACTGCAAAGCCCTTCACTTTTCCTCTGAAAAGCTATCATCTTCTACTCACAATCACATCCGCTTTGGCATGTGCTGTTTACAAGGCCAAATTAGGCTGCCTGTGTTATTGGACCCTCCTCAAACACTGCGTGATCTTCTCTGTGGAGACACTGAGAATGCCAAATCATTCAGGCTAAATATCAGGCAATATAATAGTGCATTTGCATTTAATTCTATTGCTGCCAAGCTATCAGATCATGTTACCACTACTTCTGGGCCATATGCATTTAAAATCCACAGAGAAATTTATCATCAAATGGGTACCTTGCTACCACCCAACCATCTTAGACCTTCCTATGCTCTGCTCTATGTTATTGATCCTCAGGCTGCACTCAATGAGCGCAACAATGCCAATCCCAACTTGAAGTCTGAGATCATGAATAACTTGCAGGATATGTTTCATGAGCACAATCCTTATGTTCCCCTGTACCGCCATGCCTATCAAATCATGGCAGACAAGAATCCTGGAGAACGAGACAAGCTTGCAGCCCGTATTGCTATCTTGCCCAATACTGATCATTGCTGCTATAATGAGCCTACTGCAGGTGGAGTTGCTGCCATCATTCCTGGAAGTGGAGATGAGGAAGTGGACTTGCACAGAGATATTGTTGTCCATTATAACCATGGAGGTCTAAAGCATTTTAGCCATCTTCATCCTCACTACAGTCCCTTGCATTATGTGACATAATTTCCACATGGCAAACAAGGCTTTCATCTCAATATTCCTGCTCATCCTGGACCTAATAGCCAAATGCTCTCATCCAAGGTGTCTCAGCGCTGCTATTATGCCTATTGTCTTATGCGCCGTCTGCTTGATCCTAAAACTATCTTTAGAGCTGGCAAGTTATTCCAGCAATATGTGGTTGATGCTTGGGCATCTATTGAGTCTAGCAACCTTTTCTGGATCAGGAACCATCAGAAGGAGATCAGAGCTGAAAAGTACCAGTCATTGTTTGATGCTATCCATGCAGAAGCTGAGGTAGACCTAGGCCAGTGGGAAAAGCATATTGTGCTTCCCTCTACTCATGTAGGCAGTCCACGTTATATGTATCAGCTTTTCCAAGATTCTATGGCTATCACTCGCCATTGCCATAAGCCTGACATCTTTATCACCATGACTGCAAACCCTAACTAGCCAGAGATCACTGAAGAGCTCTTAAAATATGATGGTGGTTCAACTCAGCAGCCTTCTGATCATCCAGACTTGGTTGCATGTGTGTTTGCCTTGAAGATGAAGGCTCTTATAAAGGATATCAAGGAGGGCCTGTTTGGCAAGGTGGCAGGGATGGTTTATACCATTGAGTTTCAAAAGCATGGTCTTCCTCATATGCACCTTCTTCTTTTCCTTGATGCACAGGACAAGATTCAAAGTGCTGAAGATGTGGATAGGATTGTCTCTGCCCAGCTTCCAGATCCTGCTGCCCATCCTATGCTTTATGAGTCTGTCACAAGATACATGCTCCATGGATGCTGTGGCCCTGAGTTTCCTCAAGCACGTTGCATGGAAGAAAAAGATATTGGAGGCACAAAAGTCAAGCTCTGTAGCAAGCGCTATTGGAAGGACTTTACTGAGCAGACCCTCTATGATGAGGATGGCTATCCTACATATGCTAGGCCAAACAATGGGCGCACCTTCACTCAACATACTATGCAGTTTGACAATCGTGACGTTGTTCCTTATAATCCCTATCTCCTTGCCAAATACAACTGCCATATCAATATGGAGGTCTGTGCATCCATCAAGGCTGTTAAATATATCCACAAGTATATCTACAAAGGTCCTGATCGTGCTACACTTCAGATTGGAGACATTGATGAGATTAAGGACTATGTGGATGCTTCCTATATTAGACCTATGGAGGCTTGCTGGAACATTTTTGAATTCCCAAGGCATCTGGAATCCCCCACAGTCTATCGTCTTCCTGTCCATCTCTCTAATGAATAGCAGGTCTACTTTGATGCTGATGATAATCCTGAAGAAGTCTTAAACAGAGACAGGTCCCAGAAAACCAAGTTGACTGAATGGTTTATTGCCAACCAAAAGTTCCCTGCTGCTCATGCTCATACCTACCAGGACTTTCCTCTTCACTATGTCTGGAACCAGTCAAAGAAAATATGGACTCCACGTCAGCGGGGTTCTACTATTGGCAGAATGTTATTTGTCCACCCCTCTGCAGGCAAATGCTTTTACCTCAGGGCGTTGCTCACCATTGTTAAAGGTGCCAAGGACTGGAAAGATATCTGCACTTATGAAGGCATTGAATATCCTACCTATCGTGATGCTTGTTTTGCATATGGCCTTTTGGAGGATGATGGAGAGTGGGATATGGCCTTGGCTGAAGCAGCAGACATGCAGACTGGAACTCAACTTAGATCCCTCTTTGCCACCCTCCTTCGCTTCTGCATTCCTTCACAACCTCTTATTCTTTGGAATCGCTACAAGGACAAAATCTGTGATGATCTGCATGTGCGTCTTACTGCCATGGGCTTTCCTAATCCTACTCAAGAGGATGTCTTTGATTATGGCCTCTATCTGCTAGACAAAGTCCTTACTGGAATGGGAAAGTGCCTCATTGACTATCCTCCTATGCCTTTGCCTCTGCAAGATTGGAACCAAGCGGCAAATGTGCTTCTTCAGGATGAGCTCAACCATGATTATGTGGCTCTTTGGGAACAGGTCAGTTACCATGCATTCTTCAAAGTTGACCTTGAGCTGACCTTGCACTTCAGGTGGAGACTAATCTATTGACCTTCAATGCTGAGCAAAGGAATGCCTATGATGCTGTCATGCAGTTAGTCCAGTCCAACCAGGGCCAAGTCTTCTTTTTGCACAGTGCTGGAGGTGGTGGAAAGACCTATGTTTGCAACACCATTGCTGCCTCTGTCTGCTCTTAAGGCAAGGCCGTTCTTTGTGTTGCTTCTTCTGGCATTGCCTCCTTGCTTCTGGATGGTGGTCGCACTGCTCACTCTCGCTTCAAAATCCCCATTGAGGGTCTCAATGAGCGCTCCTCTTGCTCTTGGGAGAAAAACTCTGACTTTGATGGTCTTATTCATCAGACTAGGGTGGTTATTTGGGATGAGGCACCAATGCAGCACCACTATGGAATTGAAGCTGTTGATCGCACTCTTCAGGATCTTATGGGCAACCCTGCTCCTTTTAGTGGTGTTACTGTGTTGTTTGTTGGAGACTTTTGTCAGACCTTGCCTGTGGTTCCTAAAGGAAGCAGAGAGCAGATTGTGGCTGCATCTTTGCGCAAGTCCTCACTCTGGAATCACATCCAACTTCTTACTCTCAAACAAAACATGCGTCTAGACCAGATTCCTGAAAGCAATGCCTTTGCTCAATGGCTCCTCAATGTTGGTTCTGGCCATAACCTTTGTCGGCTCTCTATAGGCCTGACCCTAGTTGTCTGTGGCGAACTGTGGAATCTAATTAGTTCACACCTTTGTATCTGTGGTATCGTTAGCGCTGAAGAATCCTTGTTCAATGTCCACACCAATCAATCAAATCATGTTCTATTGCAGTATTAATAAGGGGAACACGACAGCGGTGGCAAGAAAGAGCTAACACAAGATCAAGAGCAGTAGCCATGAAGACAATACAACAGCGAATTAGAGGATACATGAACAGGTCTGGTCCGAAAGTCTCTGTCAGAGCCCAAACCTTCTGGTGGCTCACTCTGTGCCTCCCTACTCCGGAGGGGAAGCCATGTCCGCCACTTTGTCCTAGTCCGACGAGGCACACTCCGCAAGGCCCACCAACGACACATTTGCCCACTGGATGGCCTTACCCAAGTCCTGGCATTTGGTCACTCCCTCCAGCTGCCCCAGGACGGTATGCTCGCCCTGTTCCAAGGTCAGGACCGAGCTCATCGACAGTGCTTCACCCCATTCACATCCTGTCCGGTTCCATCGAGTCCATCGGACATCCCCCCCATGTTCAATCATCATGTCCTGCACCTCGCGTTGCATACCAGGCGCAAAGCAGCCCTGCCAGGCCTCAAAGACAAAGATCTTGGGTATCCTACCAGTCTAATGCCAACTGGTCAGCATCACACGCTGATGAGCGCGCCACCTCTCTAAGCGCCGGGACCCCGTTTTCGCAGTTCTACGAGCACGAGCATGCTGACCTCAGGGGATACCCCAGACACCACCGGGTGGCCCCGCCGCCCAGAGCGATTCCCTCCGATGCCCACGACCTCAGCATTATGGTATCGGGCCGACACGGTCTTGTCTCGCACCCCTCAGTCATCGCCTCGCATCATCTCACTCAGCCCCCACGCGTATCGCACGACGGCCTCGAGCCTGCTGCACCCGCAAAAGACCTCGCCAAGCTCTCGCCATACGCCTCGTAAGCATCGACTGCACGGACCGCACCGCGAGCAGCTCCGCGACGCGATATCGCAGAGAGCTTTATCGCGTGCGCTTATTGGGTAGTACAGGTCCCGTGATCCATGGCCCCTCCACCTTCCTAGAGTTTACCTCGTCTCACCGCTACACCTCTTTACTAAATATCGCTTTGTCTCGCGACCGCGGCGCGACAGAACCTCGCGGTCTGCGAGCACCTCTGCGCGTGGTTTTTCTTTATCTTTCTATGTTACGGTCTTGGCGCGATATCGATTTACTTTACCTTACGAGTTCGCGTTTACTATACTCACTTTGACTTACTATAAATACCTGCCTACGACACTGCAATACACCAGTTTCGAACACCCCTCTGTTTAGAGCTCAACTTCGCACGAAGATCTCGCTCATATCGCATCGTACCGACATCGCACTCGCTCGATTTAGCACTCGTCGCCTTCATCGCCGCTATTGTCAGGGCCTTCGTCGCTGCCCTTGAAGTTACCTTGGTCACTCGCGCCTTGGCCCACGGTCCACCACTTCGTTTCACACGAAAGTATTCTCTCGTGACCTCGCATCACCTCGCTAGATATCTCGATATCTCGTAGTACGTATCTCGCGCCCCGTCTCGCAACTTACAAGGGTCCCTCGATATTTGTAGTGAAGTCAGCTCCCCGCCTACCCTGTGTTTAGTGGTGTGTTTTGTGTTGTGTTACGCACACAGAGCCATCGCAAGCGCATCATTTTGGAGCCCACCGCGAGGGGTTGACTTTCAAAATTCCACCGAGGGACCTCCGACGATCTTCCCGACCCACCGCCGAACGCAACGAGATCCAAGAACTTATCGCCAGCTTCAGTAACCTCGGACTCGACGCCGATCTCAGCCTATTCACGGACGCTGACATCGTGCCTTACCACCTCTCCCACCATCATCTTCTTGACTCAGATAACTCGCCGACTCCTTTATTGCCTTCACCCCCACTCGAAACTTCATTCTTCCTAACACCTCCTTCATCCCCAAATCGTACTCAACTTACACCCATCTCCCCATCGCTCGATCTGGCCCAGCTAGAATCCACTCTGCCATCCCCGATCTTATCCCGCCATCACTCGATATCTTCATCGCTTAGTCACACTCCCGAGAACTCCACCCCAACTTTTCCCGCGCCCACTTCTACTCCACTCACAATTCCACGTCCACTCATAACCTCTTCACACCCGCCTCACATTAGCGCTATGACTACCCCTTCCATGCCAGCCCGCGGCGATAGAACCGCACCCACTTTCGACCCTCGCCAACCTCGGGAACTCCGGCGATACTTCTCGGACCTCGAATTCCACTTCAATCGATCTACGGTCGTCGACACTACAGAACGCAAAAAACACGCCTGCCGATTCCTCGATGTCGACACCTGCGAGCTCTGGGAAACCCTGGCCGAGTACACCAACGCCGCAATGTCCTACGAAGATTTTTGCAAGGCAGTTTATCGCCTCTACCCAGGATCAGAAGAAGAGAGGAAATGGTCAGTGGCGGATATGGACAAGTTGGTCGGAGAAAGTAGCAGGATAGGGATTTTATCGCTCAGCGATCTAGGCGAGTACTACCGCCAGTTCCTCGTGATCACCTCTTTCCTCCTCAGCAAGGATCACATCTCCACCGCCAAACAAGGTCGCGCCTTTACCCGCGGATTTCAGCCCGAATTATGGGGCCGCATCTCGCAACGCCTCCAGCTCAAGTTCCCAGATCACTTTCCCGACGACCCGTACCAGTTACAAGACATTCACGACGCCGCGAGATTTATCTTACATGGCACCTCGTCGACATTTCAACTGGCCTCCGCCGACAGTTCTCGCGCGACTCGCAGAACGAAGACCGAACCATCGATAAAAACCGAGGACCTCGCCACCATGTTTGAACGCATCGCTGAAACCTTCATCAAAGCACTCGCAAACCAGCCCGCACAAGTCTCGACAATGTCACAGCCACCACGCGCGCGTCGCGATCCCAGTAGCTCGGACCGCTGCATGTTTTGTGGAGGACCCGATCATTTGTACGTGAATGCGGTGAGGTTGCTGAATATATCAGGGTTGGGAAGTGCAAGAAGAACACGGAAGGAAGGATCGTATTATCGACAGGCGCATTCGTACCGCGAGAAATTCCGGGTAACAACCTCAAGGATCGCGTCGATGAATGGCACCGTCGCAACCCCGGCCAGATCGCCACCGGCTCGATGATGTTCACCGTCAACGCCCCACCAGCACCATCGGTCAGCATCGCCTCCCGACACGATTCTCCCTCGCTCCTCGACGCAACTGCCATGTACCAGTTAACGGACGTCGAGAGGATTCAAAGCCTTGAACGCGAGCTTTTCGCGCTACGCACCCGAGGAGGCGTCAGGACGCGAGCCCAGGCCCAGGTCGACCGCGACAGTCGGGAAGATACGCCCGAGGTAGACAACCGCCACTCGATGTCTCCTACCCCGGCGGTACCTCGAGAAGCGCCAGCCCACCAAGCCGCAGCCTCGACAAGACCTCGCGCACCGGCGCCGGCAGAACCTCCAGTATACCCATTCGCCAACGCCCCCGACGCCACCTACGCGCCGCCTCGCGATCGCAACATCGGGGCACTACCCAATGGTTCCGCATTCAAGAAAGATGGTCCGGCATACAAGACGACGGTACCCATCTATGATGAGAAAGTCGCCTCCGAGGTCTATAACCGGGCAATGTCGACACAAGTGACGCTTACTCAGCGCGAACTCCTCTCGCTCGCCCCAGAGGTAAGATCTCAAGTTCGCGAGGCAACATCGGCAAGGAGGACACCTCCCAAAGACCCGAATCAAGTCAGGACGTTATACCAAGACGCGGAACTTCCCTACGCAATCGACGACCTCGACCCACCGACATCGACAGTCTCCTCCTTCGCGCACATAATCCACCAACCAGAGACACCTCCGCCGGGATCTCTCGTGGTGCCCGATTGTTACGAACAATATCTCAGCTCACTCTCACCCGGTCAGATTCCCCAACCGCTCGTCGTCGCTAAAGAATCTTCTGCTTTAAGATCGATCATACCCCTCGTCGACCACCAGCAACTTGTCGAGTGCGTCATCGACCCAGGCTCACAAGTCATAGCAATGTCGGATGGTATCTGCAACGAGCTCGCCCTCATCTACGATCCAGAGGTCGTCCTCAATATGCAGTCGGCTAACGGAGAGATCGACAAATCCCTCGGTCTCGCGCGTAACGTCCCCTTCTTAATAGGCGATATCACTCTTTACCTCCAGGTACACATCATTCGCAACCCCGCCTACGATGTACTCCTCGGTCGACCTTTCGACATTCTCACCGAGAGCATCGTCAAGAATTTCGCCAATGAAGATCAGACGATCACAATAAGCGACCCGAACACCGGACGGAAGGCAACGATCCCAACGGTTCGACGAGGCCCACCGAGAATTCTCTACCGCGACAACTCGGGTTTTCGGGACTCGAGGAATTGATCGACGATCAAGGAGAGGCCGTGTTGGTTATTGCTGAAGACCCATATACCCAGAACTCCTTTCATATCGAAGCCATTTCTCCATTCTCGCGCTCACCTCGTCTCCTCGATATTAGTCTCGCCTATCTCTCAGCCTGCGATCCGCGGCACGAAGCCCTCAAAAACATCTCTCCATCTCTCCTCTACAAGTCTCTCCGCGCTACGTCTCCCGGTTCTATTCCGTCCCCCACTTCTCTCCCGCCCCCGTCTACATCTCTATCTCGTATTGCGTCTCGCCGCTCGGTTCCCATTTTGCCTCGCTCGACGTCACCACTGAATCTCTCTAGCCCAGTCGCAATTTTTGCGGCCAAAAGAAAATACAAGCCTGTCGCTTTAAAAGTCCGCCCGGTACTAGCCGACCTTCCCGACAAATTTCGCATCGTCCGCAACATTCGAGGCGACCCCCTTGCAGACCTACCAACCCTCACGCCCAACCCCCCTCCATTCAAACCGACTGGACGATATACCTCCGAACGACGCGACCTGATCAACCAAGTACACTCCTCCGACTTCCTCTGGCCGGCAGAGCGCGAGCTTATGCACCACTTCATGTGTCTTCAACATCTCGGGTTTGCCTGGGACGACTCAGAACGCGGACGTTTCCGCGAGGATTTCTTTCCCCCAGTTAGCATGCCTGTTATCGAGCACAAACCGTGGGTCCAGCGCAATATGCCAATCCCGCCAGGAATCTACGATGAGGTCTGCCGGTTAATCAAAACCAAGATCGCGGCCGGCGTTTACGAGCCCTCAAACTCCTCGTACCGATCTCGTTGGTTCACGGTGGTGAAGAAGACCAACAGCACCGCGACCGGGACCAAACTCCATATCGTCCACAGCCTCGAACCGCTCAACGCGGTCACCATACAGCACTCAGGTGTGCCTCTGTATACCGATCAAATCGCTGAGCAGTTTGCAGGTCGCGCTTGCGGAGGGATTCTCGATCTCTACGTCGGGTACGACGAACGAGGTCTCGACGAGAAATCACGCGATTACACGACATTCCAGACCCCGTTCGGAGCACATCGCCTCGTCACCCTTCCGATGGGATGGACAAACTCGGTGCCTATTTTCCATGACGATGTTACTCACATCTTGCAGCCCGAGATTCCCGACACAACAATACCCTTCATCGACGATGATCCCCTCCGAGGTCCAGCCACGCGATACGAGACACCTGATGGCGGTTACGAGACGCACCCCGACAATCCTGGCATCAGGCGATTTGTTTGGGAACACTTCCAAGGCGTCAATCGAGTCGTCCAGCGCATGAAATACTGCGGCGGGACATTTTCGGGTCATAAGGCGACGCTATGCGCGCCCGAGATCATCGTCGTCGGGCACCGCTGCACCTACGAGGGCCGACTTCCCGAGGAATCTCGAGTTGAGAAGATAGTCAACTGGGGACCTTGCCGCGATCTCTCGGAAGTACAGGCATTCCTTGGAACGATCGGCGTCGTCCGCATCTTCATTCGTAACTTTGCCCATCGAGCACACCCTTTAACAATGCTCACTCGAAAAGACTTCCCTTTTATCTTCGGACCTGAACAGATCGCGGCGCAAGACGATCTCAAATCAGCACTCCTTTCCTCGCCCGCCCTCCGCCCGATTGACTATTCCTCACCAGCCAATGTCATCCTCGCAGTCGACACCTCGCACCTCGCGGTCGGATTCCACCTCTGCCAGTGCGACCTCGACAATCCGCGAATCCGGTACTACGCCAGATTCGGCTCCATCACCCTGAACGACCGCGAGTCAAGATTCTCGCAGCCAAAACTAGAGCTCTACGGCCTGTTTCGCGCTCTCCGAGCTCTCAAGATGTACCTCATCGGGATCCGTAACTTGGTCATCGAGGTGGACGCGAGATATATAAAAGGAATGCTAACGAATCCAGATCTCGAACCAAGCGCGAGCATTAATCGCTGGATCATCGCCATCCTCACATTCCATTTTACCCTCGTCCACGTTCCCGGCGCCTCGCATGGGCCCGATGGTCTCTCGCGTCGACCGCCGCAGCCAGGCGACCATCCCGAGGCTGACGACGACTTCGAAGACTGGATCGACAACCTCTACAGCTTTATGCACCAAATAAACAACCCTCAACCACCGCCATCAGCGCGCCAGTGCCTCACCATTCTCGCGAACACCATCACCGACATCGACGATAACATCCCTCCACCTCTCAATTACTCCAACATTCCTCGCACCAGCACAGCGATATCGGCGGACGACCGGATCATAGCAGTTAGGAAATGGCATTCCAACCTCACACGCCCGAGCGGTCTATCCGACGCTGAGTACACAACATTCCTCCGATACTGCGCTGAATTCTTCCTCGCCTCGGACAAGCTATGGAAGAAAGATGCTCAAGGCCGACATAAGCTCGTCGCGCCGCCCGACCACCGTGTTTCCATTCTCGCCTCGGCCCACGACGACGTCGCGCACAAGGGCTTCTTCGCCACTCGCGTCCTCATCGCGGAAAGATTCTGGTGGCCGCTTATGAGGCAAGACATCGCTTGGTTCATTCGCTCATGTCATCTCTGCCAGATTCGACAAACACGCAACGTCTTGATCCCTCCAGTCGTCGCATTGCCGGCGCCTCTCTTCGCGAAAATGTATATGGACACGATGCACATGCCGATGGCAGGAGGCTTCCGATACCTCGTTCAAGGTCGATGCTCGATATCGCACTATCCCGAGTTCCGCATGCCCCGCAACGAGACCAGCGCCGCCCTCGCCGACTGGATCTTCGAGGATATTCTCTGTCGCTGGGGCACCCTCGTTGAGATCGTTTCCGATAACGGGCCAGCCTTCGTCAAAGCTCTCACCCATCTCGCCAAGAAGTATCACATTTCGCACATTCGAATATCGGGGTACAATTCTCGCGCCAACGGCATTGTCGAAAGGCCGCATTTCGATGTCCGACAAGCTCTCTTCAAGGCGGTCGATGGGGATCAGTCGAAGTGGAATAGAGCGGCACCGTTTGTTTTCTGGGCCGATCGCATCACTGTCCGACGTCGCATGGGTTGCTCACCATACTTCGCCGCGACAGGAACTCATCCCCTCCTGCCCCTCGATATAGCGGAAGTAACGTACCTCCTTCCACCACCATCCGAGACAATGTCGACCACCGACCTCATCGCCCGCCGAGCAATCGCACTCCAAAAGTGTCGCGCTGACCTCGCTCGCCTCCGCACCGCAGTCATCGCAGCACGAGTTAAAGCCGCCATCCGATTCGAGACCGACCACCAGGCGACAATTCGAGCATTTCATTTCGATCTCGGAGACCTCGTCCTCATCCGCAACACCGCCATCGAGAAGGCCCTAAACCGCAAAATGCGACCTCGCTACTTGGGACCCCTTCTCGTTATATCTCAGAATCGCGGCGGTGCTTACATTCTCGCAGAATTAGACGGCTCGGTACTTGACCGACCGATCGCGGCCTTCCGCGTCATCCCCTACTTTGCTCGCAAGAAGCTCGACATACCCGACCTCGACGCACTCCTCGACATCTCTGCACAACGACTGCGCGAGATGAAGGCCACCGTGGACGAGGATCCTGAAGAGGAGGGCCTCCGCGGCGACGAGATGGACGACTCGGAGGACGAAGCTTCGCAGCGGGATATCGACACAGTATCCGATACCGACGAGCCCACCCACCCTCCCTTCTCGCGCGGGGCGATGTGACTGAGGACAGCCCAGATTTCAGTAGGGAGGAGAAGGACCAGCTATGATACCCTATTTTTCGCATCCCGATCTTTCTCGCAGCAAAGCTTACGACTATTTTACACTTCAGACTCGGACTAGCGAATATCGCACAGTTACTTCGACGGTTCTCGCACCCGGCATTTCCTCTTCATTTCAAAGTCGCATTAACGAACCTTATCGGATTTGCGCAAAACCGAAGGGTTTTACGCCTGTGATGATCTACTGAGGCTTTCCCTAAATTCTATATTCTCTCAAATTCCAGTTTAGAACGTTATCGCTTACCATCGAGACATCTACAACAGATCCCTATTATACGACGACTTCAACCCCACACGCGATACGTCTTAATCTATCTCCGACATTTCTCGCTCACCAAACAACTTTTAGACTCTAGCGAGACTTTACTCGAGTGTTTCTTCCCGATTTTTATCACAAATATTGCTAAAACCAAGAAAGAAGTACTTTTACATTTTGCATCGAAACTTATATATTACATCTAAAAGCGTCCGAGGTGCTAGTCGAGCACCAACTCCACGCTACCCTCGCCATCCTCGTCCTCGTCCTCCGACCCCTCCGGCAACGACGCGCGAACGCGCTCCAGCTCGGCGAGCTCAGTTCCGCGCGCCTCGTGCTCGGACAACAAATAGCGGACCTCGCTCTCGGTCCGAGCCATCCGCCAACGAAGGATTTCGATGTCGCGGTCCACCGTCCGACGAGTCCGGAGTTCACCGCGCGCCGCGCGCGCCAAGCGACGAGCAGGCCGACGAAGGTCGTCGGGAAGGAAGCGGGCGGAAGAGGAAGAAGCGATGGGCGGAGGAGGAGAGGAAGGGAGAGGAAGAGGGACGGTGTCCGAAGGGGTCGAAAGGAGCTTCGTCCATCGACGGGGCCCGTCGCACGACTTGCGATTGCGACGACACTTGAGGCAGTGCGTCGCATCGCCCGGGACGCGGAAACAGACGAAGGGGGTGACGAAGTGGGAACAATAGGTGCAGGGAGGTTCGGCCTAGGAAAGTCTGAGGAACAGGAGGAGAGAAAAGGAGAGGGGAAGGAGCTCACCTGCTGCGCGCCGGGAGGCAACTGACCAGGGACGATAGGACGCCCATCCGTCTTTCGCTGACGTTTCGCAGCATGCTCCTCTGCTTCTCTATCAGCTTCGGCCTTCTGCTGCGCCGGGGACTTCACAGACATCCGCGCAGGAGGGGCGCGACGCTTGCCCTTCCGCTCTTCATCCACGACCTCGCGCCGCTTCCCTTTCCGATCCACTTCCACGACCTCCTCCTCGCCATCGGGAAGGAAGAGCCCAGTCCCGGAAGGCACAGGACCCTCCCCTCGCACGGACAGCGCAGCGGTCGACGCCCGCAAGGAGTCGATGGCGTCGCCCGTCCGTAAAACGGGCGCCGCCATCTCGACATCGCCATCACGCCCCACTACCCGATCCTTGGCACTCACCACGCTAGGTCCCGACTCCGTCTCCAGCGGCTCGGCCAGACGACGCTCACTCTCCTCTCGCGAGATGGAACCACGCACATACAAGCCCATGATCTCCCGATCACGAGCCCTCCGACGCGCCTCTTCAGCGACTCCGCGCGCAACGCACTCTTCATCGGCCAACCGGCGAGCTTCCACCTCGGCGACACGAGCAACCTCGGCCTGAGCAGTAGCGGCGGCGGCGACCTCAGCCTGGATGCGCTCGTCACGACGCGTCGCACGCGTCCGCAGGATGCGTGCCCCCCACGCTAACCAGTCATCGGTCGCGTAGGTCTCGAGGGTGTCCTCGGCGCTATCGAGCCAGAGCGCGAGCTGCGAGGAAGGCACAAACGAGGGGATCGCCTCCAGGCTGGCCTAGGAGAGAGGGGTCAGCACGAGAAAAAGAGAGGAAAGAGAGGACGCACCAGGGTACGGGCAAAGTTTTGACCCCAGATCATGAAGTCCTCCAACTCGGCGGGATGCTCGGGAGACACGTCGATAAGGTCGGACAGGGCGGAGACGAGGAGATCGACGAGGGACGATGGCATCGGGAGAGAGTTTTCGCGGAAGCAGAGTACGATCGAGAAAGGCCGGATTGGGAGGGAGCAAGGGACGCTAGGAAGACGGGAGCAGATGGTGCGTTGAACTTGGGTGACGCGTACCCTGACCAAACAGGAACGAGTCCCAGCCACATCGGCAACTCGGGCCCCGCGCCGACCGGCTACCTCGACAGCCACAGCGTATTTTTTCCACGCCACTGGCATCTGTCCGACATTGCTTACTGTATCCGCCACCGAGTCACACCTCCGCTCCCACGCCACCACGACGATCCCACGCCACACCTTGACGCCACCGAGCACAGCCGACTTCTGCAGCACACGTGCATCTCAGCCACTAGGTCACACGGCACGGGACTGACTGAGGACAGTCAGGATTTCAGTAGGGAGGAGATGATGAGCGCGCCACCTTTCTAAGCGCCGGGACCCCGTTTTCGCAGTTCTACGAGCACGAGCATGCTGACCTCAGGGGATACCCCAGACACCACCGGGTGGCCCCGCCGCCCAGAGCGATTCCCTCCGATGCCCACGACCTCAGCATTATGGTATCGGGCCGACACGGTCTTGTCTCGCACCCCTCAGTCATCGCCTCGCATCATCTCACTCAGCCCCCACGCGTATCGCACGACGGCCTCGAGCCTGCTGCACCCGCAAAAGACCTCGCCAAGCTCTCGCCATACGCCTCGTAAGCATCGACTGCACGGACCGCACCGCGAGCAGCTCCGCGACGCGATATCGCAGAGAGCTTTATCGCGTGCGCTTATTGGGTAGTACAGGTCCCGTGATCCATGGCCCCTCCACCTTCCTAGAGTTTACCTCGTCTCACCGCTACACCTCTTTACTAAATATCGCTTTGTCTCGCGACCGCGGCGCGACAGAACCTCGCGGTCTGCGAGCACCTCTGCGCGTGGTTTTTCTTTATCTTTCTATGTTACGGTCTTGGCGCGATATCGATTTACTTTACCTTACGAGTTCGCGTTTACTATACTCACTTTGACTTACTATAAATACCTGCCTACGACACTGCAATACACCAGTTTCGAACACCCCTCTGTTTAGAGCTCAACTTCGCACGAAGATCTCGCTCATATCGCATCGTACCGACATCGCACTCGCTCGATTTAGCACTCGTCGCCTTCATCGCCGCTATTGTCAGGGCCTTCGTCGCTGCCCTTGAAGTTACCTTGGTCACTCGCGCCTTGGCCCACGGTCCACCACTTCGTTTCACACGAAAGTATTCTCTCGTGACCTCGCATCACCTCGCTAGATATCTCGATATCTCGTAGTACGTATCTCGCGCCCCGTCTCGCAACTTACAAGGGTCCCTCGATATTTGTAGTGAAGTCAGCTCCCCGCCTACCCTGTGTTTAGTGGTGTGTTTTGTGTTGTGTTACGCACGCAGAGCCATCGCAAGCGCATCAACGCAATGAAGGGGTTAAAGCACTCACACCGGTCCACAACATGAACCGCACCCATCTCACTCTCTTCTCAAACTTGACACGCTTTTCCCAATCGGTGTCTACTTGTAAATGGTGAAGACCGAGGCCATGGGTGTCCTCGGAAGGGTTGTCCAATAGATACTATGGTGAACTTTTCCTCTTTTGCTCTGCAGTTAACTGAGATGACGCTGACTTCACTGCCAGACGTCGGGGTATGGGGTCAAGTTGAGAAATTGAGTACATGGTGAGTGGGGACTAAGATACTGACTGGCGCGATGGCGATTATATAGCCCTTGTCTCACCTGTGGGGCGTCTTCCTTGCCAAACTTGATGCTGCTCTGGAATTCAGTAAAGGCCCTCCAAGCCTTCACATTGCCAATCTGTTAATGCATCGAGTCATCAGGGTCGAACGGCCGCGCCATGCAAAGTATGTTCTATCGCTCAAGCCACGAGTTCTTTGTGTTTCTATTTATTTATAAAGATAAGGTTAGACTCTATGAAAGGGCAATGCAAGGTGCTTACATACAAATCCTTGCCTCGTACCATACTCGAGGTGAAACCCACTCCGCGCAGACATGCCCCAAGGGCTTCAAAGGCAATGCGGACACGTCATATTCGTAACCCCCGCTTGCCATCACGCCTGCCTGCAGATCGGCGCTCAGCGTGGCAGGCCATGTGTCGCACCTGGTGGGATTAGGTGGTGGCCATCGCACCCGCATCAATGATGCCCGTCTATCCCTCCGAGCCACAGGCCTATGGCTATATCATGTTGTCATGTCAGCTCAATTTTGAGCGGCAAAAAAATAACTGAACTCACCGACATTGAGCTTCTCCCATGGCATAGGGGTCCGTCACAGATTGTGCGGAGACACTGACGAACGAGACCGACCATGATGTACAGCCATCTACCCTCAGTGCCCAGGTCGGACTCATCGGAGCATTTGGCATGCCATGCATGTGTCGTTCATGCCGTATGTGACGTCCACGTCAGCCACGATGTCCATGGCATGCGGATGATTTCCACATGAGCTTGAGGGTCACCAGTGGAAGGGAGGACGTGCCTCTTCAGCTGTTCGTGCAGGGATGAGATTTATGGAGGCGTATATCTCGGGAAGAATTGGCATAAATGACGACGTACCTGCATCCTCAAAAAGATTCTGGGTCTGTTCCCCCTATCCGCTGCTAGAGTCTATTGTCCTCGTCCTGGCCTTCCACCAGGTGCATGGTCAGTGAGCCGGTCGTTTGTCAAAGGCAGCTCACGTCCGAAGGACGGAGATGGGTTTTCACGCCTGAAAGGCAGAAATCTCAAAGAGAACAAGAGGGAGAGGGAGGTATTTGTGTGGGCGGGTAGGTTGTCTGCTGCCAAGTGAACATGACACTGAGCTTCTAAGGAAAGCTATTTGAGTTTGCTTACCGATGGGAAAGATCCTAGCTGCAACAGCTGGAAGTTGAAGCAATAAGAGACCATTGGGGAGAGCGTGTGGCGATGAAGAGCGACATGGGGCAGGACATGAAGGAGATGGGCAGAACTGAGGCAGGACAAGGAGGTGGGCAAAGCATCGCCGTGACACAGTCACATTGTGTCCCACGACACGATCACACCAAATCAGATGCAACACCACAATCTACTGCAATCTTGCTGAGTCGACGGGCGCTAATCCATCCTTGCTCCATCCACACCTCATCCATCAACCTCAGACTTTCGCTATGATTCTTGGAATTGCCTCAAGGTAAGTACCTCCGTTGTTGATTTATTTTCTGCCCTTACTAAATATATCTTCCCTCAGTTTCACTCTTATCCTGCTTGTCGTTGTCACTGGCCATTTCCGCCCCTCGGGCGTGAATTCTATCCTCCGTCTTTCAGATGTTGAGGGTGCGGCATTGACGCATCGACTCATCGGCACACACACATCGCCGGTCCTATCGTGATGCTCCACAAGACACTGTGAGCGAGCTTGGGCGACGACTGGCTCACCCTCTGCCTCTGCTCTACTACAAGTAACAGGTCTGGGTAGGGTCTTGTTGGAAATCATGTGTCTTATCTCACAAAATAATTGACAGAGCACCGACCTCGCAGAAGACCTGGGTCCGGCTTATAGTAACCTAAGACAATCACTCAACTGTCGCAGTGACCTCACGAACACTGTAGCGTGACAATACGATCATAATATTATGACAGTACGGTCACAGTATTGTGATAGTACTGTCCCAGTGCAGTGGCGGTACAGTTGTGTCTTTGAGAGCTGTGCATGATGAACCAATTTTGGCTTTGATAGTGGGTCCCCACAAATTTGCTCTATAATGAAGAGACGAACATAATACAACATTTTTATTTTGTAAGATTAGGAATAGGGGTTGGAATAGATTATCGCTTGACTACAAGTCGTTGTATTCAGCACTACAAGGACGACACGGGCGACTCAGGTTAGACTTACAGGGTAAGGGCGTCACAGGCGACTTGTTGCTGAACCAAATGTTTGCTCATCTGTTCTGCCATCACGCAGGGTTCACAGAGAGGCGACATCGCAGACGACTCGGGTCAGGACATTGCAGACGACTTAGGTGAAGACATCGCAGACAACCCGGGTCAGGATGTCGTAGACGACTTGGGTCAGGATGTCGCAGACAACTTGGGTCAGGACATCACAGACAACTCGGGTCAGGACGTCGCAGATGACTTGTTGCTCAATCAAATTTTTGCTTATCTGTTCTGCCATCACGCAGGGTTCATGGAGAGGCGACATCGTAGATGACTCGGGTCAGGACGTCACAGACAACTTGGGTCAGGACGTCACAGACAACTCGGGTCAGGACGTCGCAGATGACTCGGGTCTGGGCTACCGGGTAAGGACGTCACAGACGACTTATTGCTCAATCAAATTTTTGCTTATCTGTTCTGCCATCACGCTGGGTTCACAGAGAGGCGACGTTGCAGACGACTCAGGTCAGGACATCGCAGACGACTTGGGTGAAGACATCACAGACAACCCGGGTCAGGATGTCGCAGACGACCTGGGTTAGGATGTCGCAGACAACTTGGGTCAGGATGTCGCAGACAACTTGGGTCAGGACGTCACAGACAACTCGGGTCAGGACGTCGCAGATGACTCGGGTCTGGGCTACCGGGTCAGGACGTCGCAGATGACTCGGGTCTGGGCTACCGGGTAAGGACGTCACAGACGACTTGTTGCTCAATCAAATTTTTGCTTATCTGTTCTGCCATCACACTGGGTTCACAGAGAGGCAACATCGCAGACGACTCGGGTCAGGACATCGCAGACGACTCGGGTCAGGACGTTACAGATGACTCGGGCCAGGACATTGCAGACGACTTGTTGCTCAATCAAATTCTAACCTGAAAAGCTAGAAGGTTCAGGGTAGGACACGGGTATGGCAGGGCTAAAGAGGCCATTAAGAGGTGAAGAAGCCACCCATGCCAATACACAGCTGACATGACGAGCCTGTCCACGGCTGGAGAGGCTCGTCATGTCAGCCGCGTATTGGCAGAGCTGAGTCCCGATACGCACCTGACATGACGAGCTTGGCTAAGTCCTGATATGTGGCTGACATGACAAGCCCATCTGCAGCTGGACAGGCTCGTCATGTCAGCCGGGTATGGGCATCAACAAGTCCTAATACGTGACTGCCATGACAAGCCTATCCAACCGCTGACAGGCTCGTCATGTCAGCCGCATATTACGATCCTCGATGCCCTTTTCCGCTTCAACCTGGCTCTTCAGCCCAGTTGTTTGCAGACGACCGTGACGTCTTTGGCACCGGTCTGTGGTACTCATGGACAATTCAGTGCAGCCTTGTAGCACTTCCCATGGACCTGGTTGAATCACCGCTCCAGCACACAACTCTCACACCCCATTCTTCTTTCCACTTACAACACCATCAAACATGGCACAGACCATCTCAGTGAGTGTACCGTGTACCGACTTTGCCTTCTCGTGTCTCTTGCTCATGTCAACCCAGAGTCTCTCAACCACTTTGCTTGAAGATCAGGAATTGGAGGCTCGAGCGAAGGTGGCATTCCTGGGCTTCACAAAAATGCGCCTTGACATTTACGATGGCAAAACCATGATCTACAATGTCTACAACAATCGCCCACTAGCGAGTAGCACGGTAAGCCATCTGAAGCAGTCAATGGTCAAAAATGGGATTCGGTGGTGGGATGAACCCATTCCTGTCCTCGTCCGACACGATTGGATCAACATTGGGCAACTCAAGGCAGACTGCCACCTGCGAGAAGCCCTGCCTCTCCTGGAGCGGGCCCCGGGGGCTCAAGCCATTAATGAAGTGCACATCCTCGGCGGCCAGCACAGGCTGGCCGCCCTTCAAGACTACAGAGCAGACTTACAGGATAAGCGGGAGAAGATACGCGAGCGACTCAAGGGCGGGGTATCAGAATTCGACGCTCAGGCTCTCAGGCAAAAGAGCGATGTTGTAGAGTCCAAGATGGAAGACATTCTGTGTTGGGGTGTATCTGGTTTTTCAGTTGTCTGTTTTCTAACATTTCGAGCTATCTGCAGACTTAGCGGTATTGGGTGTAGACCATTCCATTGCACGGTTCCTTTCCAGGAACTCACGCTTCTTTAACTTTGCGGAGACGGCGGACAAGCATCTGTCGTCACATATCTGTCGCTTCTATCGCAAGGGGGTCTCCCCAGGGAACAATTTGGAGTTAGAGACTAAGCGCGCCCTTAGCTCGCTCCATGGCAACTCACGGGCAAAGTCTCTCATTCAAAACTGGCAGACTATGAGCTTCTTGATGGAGTTCTACGTAGTGCCGTACTACAGCACGTTGCCGATGTTCTCCGTGTGATGGCTCACAGACCACCTCTTCAGCATCTTTGGAGGGGTAAGTGCTTCCATTCCTTTTTGTTTCGATATTTGCTTGTCTGCTTATGTACTTTCAGATGTTCATCGGTATTGTGCGAACAATGTTTGCAAACCTGTCAAACTTGGTTCATAGCGGGAAATTCCTCTCTGAGGGGCAGGTGATGTGGATCATCTCCCTCGAAGATGAGCCAGCGTTGTCACATAAGCAGCAAGAGGAGCTGAATGCTCTCATTGAGAAAGGGGACTGGCTGCTGACGCAGGGGGAGATCATGTACGAACTGTTGACCCTCGAGGTCATGACAGGCATTGATGACGCGTTGATGAGCATGCACCCGCGCTAGGGTCCGAGGGAGGTATTTGGGAAGCTTTGGGGAGATACCGAACAGTGCTAGACAAGTACCGAAGACGCTGACTTTACCGAACACGGTTGGTCCCTACCCAACCAACAACAAGCCACCGAAGGACGATTTGGCAGCACTTGGGTCAGTTTGCCCACACTTCACGTACTTACCATGACCGCATAGGGGTGTTACGATAGGTGTTTACCAGATCGGAGCCAGTATTCTGTATCGGCCGATGTCCTCCGTAAGTCGGTCAGTCCTTATCGCTTATCTTCCCGACTTCCGCATGGTCGGTCAAACACAATCTTGCACCATTGCTTGGCCATCCTAGTCGTACAATACCTCTTCTTTATTTTTCATTGGTTCTCCAACGCCTGTTCCTGCTACCTACGCTTGGGCAACGGATCCTGAACGTTTGGGATTTTGACATCACTGATTACCTTTTACCTTATCACCTTCAGAACCCATATGGACATCTCACCTACCTTCTTATCTTCTCTGATCACTGGGGCTTGGCGTCCATTCGACATCTACTCTCATCTCAGGTTCGATATTTTACTTAGGGGCGCTGTTTACTATAAAAACCTACATACAACTCTGGAATAAACCAGCTTTCGCACCCCACAGTTTAGAGCTCATTCGCACTCGTCTCAACCATCGAAATCATCTTCGTCAACTCCCGAAAACTTGTCATCCTCATTGTTCGGCCTTGTTCGCGTTCGTACTCGTCTCTTTGCTCATACCCCTCGTCCTCCCTTGTATATTGTCAGAGTCCCGTGTGGCTCTTGAAGCACGTAGTTGTCGGTCGCGACACTACCTTCTCGTTACCGACCGAATCCCCGACTCGACCGACCGAACGTTCGGTCGGTGTTCGGCGCAGTCCCGAAACCGTTCGGGCGCTATAATCTCATACTCCCCGTTGCTTCTCAGTACGCCATCAATTTATCAAGTCATCACTAACAATTCCTTGTGTATCAGATACTAGCTCCAGCACCCCTGCATTAGAGATTGTTTTGGTATTGTGCTCGGCACTTAGAGCCACCTCTAGCGTATCAGTGTTTGTGACGGCCTATCAAGATACCTTCTGGTTGGGCACCCTTGAAGATCCTGATTGGCAGACCCAAATATATGCAGTGATCGTGCATTCCCACCTCAGAACATGTTGGAAAGACTGGCAGAGCTCCGAGGCGGCTGCGGCGGCCATATCTCAGGCCTCCCTTCGCGCGCTGTATATGTTCAGAAAGCGCAAATACAATCCTTTGCTCCTGCTTCCGACAGCTTCTGCGCTGCAGGCCATCGTGGACATCCTGGACCAGTTCCCGAACGCGCTGAAGGAGGTGAGCATGGGGCTTTCTACAAAGTTTCAAAATTTATCACTGAGATTGTTTGTAATTCGAGATATCACGATGGATCGAGCCGGACATCGACTCGGGATTGGCATCAAAGTATTTTAAGGACTTTACCCTCGCGGCAAATGCGCAATTTATCAGGCAGCATGCCCACTGGCATGGAGAAGTTGACTTAGCTCGCTTTTGGATGGACCTCTTCGTCCATTGCGCGCTAGTTCTGATTCAGCTGGAGCTCAGCATGATGATGCTTGGCAAGATTGAGCATCCCCGGACTGTCCCTCTCAGCACTCTTCTATCGATTGTCAACGAGGGACCTGTCGCCTTCAACGTGTTCCTTCAGCCAATTTGGATGGAGCAGGAGTCGCCAGCTCAGACAGCAACTACCGTCACTGAGATGCTCCATCAAATGCTACTACAATCTGAGAATTCTCATCAATGGGGAGAATATCTCCGCTATCCTATGCTGAGAGTGATTCAGTACTTGGCCTGGGCCCAAGATCGTCTAGCATTGGCAAGCATTCACCGACGAGTAGTGATGGGGATCACTCAATGGGCCGTTCGCAAGGCGACGATTCTCCACCTCGTGAAGGAGGTGCTGGGGGTATTCCAGACAGGGCGTGACCTGGTTCATCGTGCAGTGGTTGCGGCTCGAGGACCTTTCGAGAATGTGGGAGCGCCTTACGACAAATTCGACATGGAGATGTGGGACGAGAAAATTGTGCAGGAGATCGTGGCAAGCCATGCAAGTCCTACGGACGTGTTGTGCCTGCGCCCAGATCATTGTCAGACCTGCGCCTCTTGATGGCGGTCCAAAAGAAGGTGAAAGAGGACTGCGACAAGATTAACAGGATTGCAAGGTTGATTCAGAGCAAGGGACAAGCCCTGATTGATCACGGGGCCACAGGTGCGGATCGTCACATGCCGGAGGGAGTGGCATCGTTGTTGAGGCAACTGCTCCGGGTACGTTGATACGCTAGAGGTGGCTCTAAGTGCCAAGCACAACACCAAAACAACCTCTAATGCAGGGGGTGCTGGAGCTAGTATCTAATACACAAGGAATTGTTAGTGATGACTTTAGAAATCGATGGCGTACTGAGAAGCAACGGGGAGTATGAGATTATAGCACCCGAACGGTTTCGGGACTGTGCCGAACACCGACCGAATGTTCGGTCGGTCGAGTCGGGGATTCGGTCGGTAACGAGAAGGTAGTGTCGCGACCGACAACTACGTGCTTCAAGAGCCACACGGGACTCTGACAATATATGAGGGAGGATGGGGGGTACGAGCGAAGTGACGAGTACGAACGCGAATGAGGCCGAACGATGAGGATGACAAGTTTTCGGAAGTCGATGAAGACGATTTCGATGGTTGAGACGAGTGCGAATGAGCTCTAAACTGTGGGGTGCGAAAGCTGGTTTATTCCAGAGTTGTATGTAGGTTTTTATAGTAAACAGCGCCCCTAAGTAAAATATTGAACCTGAAATGAGAGTAGATGTCGAATGGGCGCCAAGCCTTAGTGATCAGAGAAGATAAGAAGGTAGGTGAGATGTCCATATGGGTTCTGAAGGTGATAAGGTAAAAGGTAATCAGTGATGTCGCAATCCCGAACATTCGGGATCCGTCGTCCAAGTGTAGGTAGCAGGAACAGGCGTTGGAGAACCAATGAAAAATGAAGGAGAGGTATCGTACGACCAGGGTGGCCAAGCAATGGTGCAAGATCGCGTTTGACCGACCACGCGGAAGTCGGGAAGATAAGCGATAAGGACCGACCGACTCACGGAGGACATCGGCCGATACGGAATACTGACCCCGATCTCGTACACACCTATCATAACACTCCTGTGCGGTCATGGTAAGTACGTGAAGTGTGGGCGAACTGACCCAAGTGCTGCCAAATCATCCTTCGGTGGCTTGTCGTCAGTCGGGTGGGGACCGACCGTGTTCGGTAATAGTCGGCGTCTTCGGTACTTGTCTAGCGCTGTTCGGTATCTCCCCAAAGCTTCCCGAATACCTCCCTCGGACCCTAGCGTGGGTGCATGCTCATCAATGTCCTTGATCATTGCCTTTAACGTTTTCCTTCACTTGACACTCCCTCAGGGCCTCACAGTGAACGCCAGCCGGCTGAGGTACTGGTCGCACTCACAGTTCTCGCAGGCGTTTGTTGTCCAGGACCATGTGAAGGACCAGGAGTATGAGCTGCTTTCGGTGGGTGATGTCGAGATGACGCCAATGAGTGTGCCCGGCGTCCTGTCGATGACAATAAGCAGCTCTGCCGTATATCTTGAGGAGCCAAAGGATGTTGTCATGGCCAACGCCGACATTCGGAAAGACAGAATCAGCGTCAATGATGCCTTTACCGGGCCATCTGAGGACGATGGTGATGGTATGGAGACTGAGTCGCAAAACAGTGAGTTGCACCGTCCCTGATGGTTCACGAAAGAGTCGTTTGATGTCAGCTGCGTATTGGCATGGCTCGTTCCTGGTACGCGGCTGACATGACGAGCCTCTCCATATTGTGTGAGGCTCATCGCGTCAGCCGCGTATTGGTATGGCTGAGTCCCGATACGCAGCTGACATGACAAGCCTCTCCACACTGTGTGAGGCTCGTCGCGTCAGCTGCATATTAGCATGGCTAAGTCCCCAGCTGAGTCCCGATACAGGACTGACATGATGAGCCTCTTCACATTATGTGAGGCTGGACAGGCTCGTCACGTCAGCCGCGCATTGGCATGGCTGGTTCCTGGTACGTGGCTGACATGACGAGCCTCTCCATATTGTGTGAGGCTCGTCGTGTCAGCTGCGTATTGGTATGGCTGAGTTCCGATACATAGCTGACATGACAAGCCTCTCCATACTGTGTGAGGCTTGTCGCGTCAGCCACGTATTGGTATGGCTGAGTCTCGATATGCAGCTGACATGACGAGCTTGTTCCGGCCTCAGAATTCTCATCCTGTTGTCTGTCATTTTGAATGGAAAGAAACTGATTGTCTTTGTACGCAGGTTTCAGTCAGCTGCCGTTCACGCGTGAGTTCCTTTTCCTATGATGTGTTAGCTTCAACAAAGGACTAACATTGACGGTTCAGAGGCGGTCAACCTTTCCCCGGCTCATCGTCAGTCTTTCTCGTTCAACCCTCTGTAGCGGCGCTGACTTATTTTCTTTATGCCACAGAACCTGGTAAGTGATCCCGCTCATCCTCTACCCCCAAAAGCCGGCGAGGAAACAAAAGGCCCCGCGCCAACTATGAGGACTCGGATACTGAGATGCGAGAGCTTGTCAGGCCAATCGCAAAGAACAGGCTGTTGTGATAGGCTCTGACTCGCATTCCACAAGATCATTATGCCACGTACTGTCGCTTGCGTCATAGGCTTCGCACCTTTTGTTTTGTTGTCCTTCATGCTGTTTTCTCAAAATTGATGGCGGTTATTTGTACCTTGGACTTTTCAATATATTACGTCTTAATCCTGCAGGAAGTGGGCTTGCTCCCTGTCGGTCAACGAGGACCACTCGCGGTTAATCATGTGAAAGGTTGCTAAAAGCCTCTCTAAAAGCCCTTAAAAGTTGCTGCCCGCCAGTTTTCTCTTTCGTTCACTTACCCAGACCATTCTCTTCAATTCGCTCATTCATTCTAAGTTAAACTATCTGTCTGCCCAACCTACGACTGAACCCACTCCTGCCAGCTGACATGACAAGCCTCTCCAGCCGCAGCGAGGCTCGTCATGTCAGGCGCGTATTGGGACTTAGGCCTGCCATACGCTGCTGACGTGATGAGCTGGTGCAGCCGCAGCGAGGCTCGTCATGTCAGCTGCGTATCAGGACCTAGCCATGCGATACACGGCTGACATGACGAGCCTGTGCAGACATCTCAGCGATGTCAATACGTGTCTGATGCGACGAGCCTGTCCAGCTGCAGACAGGCTCGCCATGTCAGCCACGTCTAGGCTACAAGGTTCAGGCCTGAACCTTCTAGCTTTTCACATGAAGAAATACAAGGGTCTGGCTTGTCAACATTTCGTAAGTACAAGTATAGTGGCTCTTACATCGAGCATATTCTGGTCGTGCTATATACTCTGGGCTGTACGTGCCACAAACAAGAAAAGAGTTTGTATCATTTTCTACATGCCTGACGTACGTGGAGTTCAAACATAACGGCCCTCCCTTGCAGGCGTCACCTCCCTATGTCCTATTGGATGGGCCAGCATAGCCCTGCGTCACCAGCTGCTGTTGGGCCAAAGCTAACTCATCCTTCAGCATGCTTATTGTTGCGTTTGCTGCCTGCATACTTCTCCAAGCCGTGCTCTCGAAGTCCTTGAGATGGCGTATGTAATGTAGCAGAATATTGTCTAATGGTGGGTCTTCGGGCTGAATGGTAAATATGGTAAGAAACCGTCTACGAATGTCTCTAAAATGAGGAACGTCATGATCCACTGAGGTAGCACCGGGGACAGCGCAGAAGACATCGTAAATGGTGGCTGCAAACCAGTAATATTGTCGTGAGATAAGGTCATAGTTAGGGGAGTACTCGTGGAGGGCCCGCAGCAGCGCGGCGAGGTCATAGTCAGTCGGGGTCGTGTCCATGGGGAAGGTTAGCGTGCGACAGACCACGTATAGCCTTGTTGTTTTCTCATTGATGCTCCTAATAGGCGCCCCACTGAGCGGGGTGGTTATGTAGTCAACCGCGGGCATACTGATTGACAGTGACGAGGAGGACGAGATGGAGGCACAGCTCAAAGAGGCCCTGGATGACCTGACTGAGGCACGGGACAAGATCTCAGCGAGGCCTGGCTGGATCATGTCGGGACGGAACTGGCGGATCTCCATGGTGTGCTCTACAATGACGGGAACGGTGCGCTTAGTTGTGGGGGAAGTGGGGTAGGTGAAGTCAATGATGAGGAACTCATGCATGACACGGTCCTCCCACTTGCAGTGCTGGATTCTGGTGATGCGCGGGCGGTGATAGCGAGAGGAATGGGAGACGATGAGCGCCGCCCAGTGGAGCATGCTAAGCTTGCACACTGAGCTGTCATTGGGGAAGTAAACGCCATCCTCGGGGTTAGACATGGCCCAACGGAAAGAGAAGCGAAAGAGGGATGGGCTAGAGAAGATGGAGTGCACGAAGGATATAAAGCCCATGGTGGCAGAGAGCATAGAACTGCTAAATGTGTGCAAGGGCTAAGGGCAAGATGATTTGGCATATGGCTACCTACTTCCTCTTGTGCCATAATGCAACCTGCCTGCACATGAATGATATTTTGAGCTTTCTCGTGACTGGCACATGAGCTACATTGCACGCGAGCAAGCTGAGTTTCAAAAAAATCAAATTCCAGCTGAAATGCCTACTACCCACAAGGTTTTGTGATTTGGATGTACACTAGCTAAGGTTAGGCTTCCACCGTTTTGAGGGCACATTGTCCTCCTCATCACCATCATGTGCTCGTCACGTCTTTGAGGGCCCTGCGTCCAGAGCAGCACTGGTAACCACTCGCTGTTTGCATCCACAATGTCCACTGAAGAGGCATGAGATATTTCCATAAGGTATAGTGGATCGTTGAGATAACCTTCCGAGACTGACAGCTCATGCATGTAGACTGCCCCCCGAGGTTATCCTGCTTATATTCAAGGTGTTGTCAGTTGATCTTGCCGATTACTATGGATGGACACCGGGTAGGCTTGGGTGGGCCATTGTGACACATGTGTGTCGACGTTGGAGAAAGATCGCTTTGTAAGACGGCAGTTTGTGGACGAGATTGACAACCTCTAGAAGCAAGTCCTGGACAATAATGGAGCTTACGCAGTCGAAAAAGGCGCCGCTTTCAGTGGACATCTCCCCCAGATTCTGTGCACCAAAAGTCGACTTTTTTCCACAATATACTAACCTATTCATACCGGAGCTCACGCACATCAAGGACCTTACTCTCCACATCAACAGCGATGATCCCAGTTGCCTAGTTGACTTGATCAGGTCCCCTATGCCAACTCTGGAATACTGTGAGCTGACGATACCGTTCCTTATTTTCAATGGCCCCGATCCCTTTGATATATTTGATAGACAAGCACCTTGCCTCATAACGCTGATATTATGAGGTAACTTCTACATCAATAACTTCTCCTCATTCCCAAACCTCATCTTCTTGAAGTTGACCAATTGGAGGAATGGGCGTATGACCTTTGAAGCTCTCGCAAAGGGCATTAAGCAGTTATCCCTTCTGCAAATGCTGAGCCTGTCACATGTCTTCACATATACCCATGTCTCAAACAATGTAATGGGATCCATTGCCGATGACTCGATCGATCTCCCTTGTCTACAGAACCTCATCTTTCATGGTCGAGCACTTGAGTGTGCACGATTTCTTACAGCACTCCAGTTGGAAACTCTAAATAGGTCCGCACTACACTTGGAGGCTGAAATCGAAGCACCAGTTCATGTGGAAGACATCATCCTGGTGGTCTCTTCTGCAGCGCCCTACATATCAGGCAAGCGGACAGGAGTCATTGTGGTGAAACTTGCATTTGATCAAACGATTTGGGGTGTCCACATCACTTTGTGGAATGAAGAAGAGTATATCCATGGCCACGGGATTACCATCTCTCTCAATGGAGTGTGGGGAGTCGATTTTGAATCTCTCTTTACAGTAATATATCCAAAACTTCGAATAATTCCCAATTTGACAATGACACTACTGGGTATACGCTCGTACAGAACCTCGGAGTTCATTAACACTCTTGCTGCCGGTGTAACAATAGAATGGGTAGATGAGGAGGAAGAAGAAGAAGAGCTATAGGACATAGCGTGCGGGGCCTTATGACCCATATGAAAGGTAAGCAATGGCTATCTGGTTTCTAGACTGGACTCAAAGCAGATTCTTCACCAGGATTCTGTAGTGAGAACGAGAGAAAATTATGGATGGGATCTAATATTTACCGAGCGAAGCCAATAGGTCATAGTGGGGCAGTGATTGGGGACTGTGATTTGTGATCGCTATCATGGTGTCTTATGCATGTGGCAGGCAACTGTGTTCTGTATGCATGTTCATGTGTGATTTCTGTGCGTTTGGTGTAACGTTGCATACTGCGTTAAATAGACAGTGGCTTGTGTTTCTGTCTTGTAGAAGGCCGTGTCAGTCCATATCAGAACAGGGGTTGCGGGTACAAAGACGCGGCTGACATCGACGAGCCTGGCTGGGGCTAGACTGGCTCATCATGTCAGACGCATATCAGGACCTAACCATGCGATACGCGCTGACATGACGAGCCTGTGCAGCCACAGCGAGGCTCGTTATGTCAGGCGCATATCAGGACTTATGCCTGCCAATACACGGCTGACATGACAAGCCTCGCTGCGGCTGGAGAGGCTCGTCATGTCAGCTGCGTATCAGGATTCCGCTGTGCCAATAAGCACAAAACCTGCACAAACTCGACTCTATATGAACGAGACAGCCTACGAGCATTAACCTTACAGATGCCCGTGCTGTGAGTATGTTCTTATTATATCTTATTGTACCCTTTATTTCTTGCACTCGGCTTTGCAAACGGACAATGGGCCTCTGCATCGCCGAGGACATGTACTGATACATGATGTTTCCTTCACTTTTTCTCTACTTCTACTATCTACAGATCCTCAAGGGACTAACCTTTCCCTTCCCGACCGTCTGTCCTTGTCTATGCTTACACCCCTGCTCAGCACTGCCTCTTTCCCCTGCGCCGCTACGATGTTGGCTGCGGAGGCGTTTTAAACCTGAGACAGCGGGGATCGCGGTGGGGGCTTTGCCTGGCTTCTTTGCGTCCTTGATGGCCCTCAGCTTCGCAAAGCGAGCTGGATGGACGTTGGCTTTGATGTCGCACAGGACGATGGTGCAATCGCGCAGCCCGACCTCGCCCTGCCGGATTTTCTTGACAATCTCGAGGCCGTGCATGTCCGCGATATAGCGCTGCTTTGCGGGCGAGGTGGTGCTCTTGGCAGCACCGGCCACATGGTGGTGCGCGTAGCCGGAGGCAGAGGACAGGGTGCGCTCGTGCGATGCGTGCGCAGCGTCAAGTGGGCGTGCCCGGAGAAGAAGGCGTCGGGCAATAGGGTACCGGGGAGCGTGGTTGTGCCCTCGCCTCCTAGGAGAGAGCAGGGGAAGAGACACAGCGTGAGAAGCCGCTTCCGGGTGTGCGCAGGTGCGCAGGACAGGCAGGGCCGGGCAGGGAGGGGCAGGACTAGGGCCGGGGGAGGACTAGCAAAAGTAAGTGATACGGACCTTTTTTATGGCATTCCTCTTTGCACCTTCTCTTCTTATTAGCAACGCTCCTTACCCTCCCCATCAACGCGCTGAAGCACGGGCAGCGTGACGATTGCGACACGCTGTGCGCAAGGGCAAAGCACGGGTGCGGCGGCGGCAGGGGCACGTGAGGGAGCAGTCGAAGGAGTTGTTGTGGCCAAGTGGACGTGTGTGCATGGGGCCGAGAGGATGGGAGGACGAAGGCGAAGGAAGTGGGTGGTGGGTGTGCATGGTGTCGAGGCGAGGGCGAGGGGACGACGGTTGAGCTTTGTACGCGGACAGACTTGAGTTGGAAACGGGTGCAAAGGACTCAACTACGCGTCGCGCGCACGCGACCACAACAATGAAGAGGAGCACAAGGAGGAGCACAGAAGAGGGAAGGAAACGGTTGACGAGGATATCTACAAAGGTACGTCGTCACTCACCCCAGTTCCTCCCCCGTACACACACACCTCCCGCCTTCTACCTGACTCTCCATGTTGCCTTCAACAATCTACCCCTCAACACTACCCGCCCCCTCCTCTCGTCCGCTCAACCTCTCCCACATCCGACCCGCTCTCCCGTCCGACCCGCTCTCCCGTCCGACCCGCTCTCCCGTCCGGGCCTCTCGACCCCATCGCTCGCTGTACTGCCCTCCCCGCCCTCCTTGCACAATCTCATGCCCACTGGCCCGCTTGCCCACATCATCCACATTGCCTCGCGCATCGCATGGGTTGCCCGGACCTATGCTCGACTGACCCGCATCTCCCGCTCGATGCCGCTAATACGCTAGTGATGCCTTTGAGTGTGAAACACACCCAAGAAACACCCCTACAAGCGCAGGTAGGCAGGAGCTGGTTCTAGTGTGCAAGGAACTATAAGCTGTGCAACAACAAACAAGGGAGCATACTGAAAGTGTTCGGAGTGTAGCGAACAAACAACTCCCAAATCAAAATATTTGGTAGGTCGGTAGGTCGGTCGGTCAGTTGGTCGGTCGGTCGGTAGGTCGGTCGGTCAGTTGGTTGGTTGGTCAGTTGGTCAGTTGGTCGGTGTTTGATCGGGATGCAAAGGGGAGGGAATGGGTGCAAGGCCACACTGGACACTGGCAGAGGATGACAAACTAGATGAGAGGGAGAGAGCAAGACGACGAGGGCTCTGACGGAGGGCTGCAATCGAATGCAACAACACAAACAAAGGGGCAAAATACGAACAAGGATCGGAAGGCAAAGACTCAAGGACTCAAGGACTCAAGTGCATGAATGAAATTAGAATGAGGGGGGAGCCAAAGCTGCTCTATTGCAAGGCCATAGGTGCCCTTTTATAGTAAGTCCAAACAGGTACAAGATAAGGAGATCGGCAGAGGCATAGAGCAATCGGAAATGCGTGCCAAGAGTGATCAAAGGCAAAAAAGATAAGGGAGTGATGTTGCAAACACTATAAGATAAGAAGCAATAACTCTAAAGTCTAAATAAGTGGAGAGATTGCTAAGGTGAGTGCACATGGACCTGAAGATAAGAACCACATGCCACATGGGTAAACCATTTAGAAACTTGGGAGCTCTGAAGATAATGAAGGATAGGTCAACAGAAGGCATAAGGACGATAAGAGATAGAAAGGCAGATCCATTCTGAGTCAACAAAGTGTTCGGCCGCCTCCGATTCGGGACACCGAAGCCGACCGAATGTGCCGACCATGTGAAGTGTACCGAACCGATCGGCGATCGGCCGCGACAGTCTGTGGAGAGCCCCTACTGCTGAGAGTGATGATAGATGGATAGGATGACTGTGAACAGCTCCGAACGACTGTGCGGAGGTCTAAATGGAAAGTCGGCACCTGAAAAATGGCTAAGATCGCCGAACGGATCGGGATCGGTCGGTCCTAAGTGTGCCAAACAGTCAAAGAATACTGAAAAGCTGCGAAAAGTGGGGTATTGGTGCCTAGAGCATACCCATGCTCATCACCACGCTCGCCTGCTCGCTCCAGCTCAACACCACCGCCGTCCACCACCCCGACACGTCCTCCGCCTCCTCCACCTTCCCTCTACCTCCTCCGCCTCCTCCACTGTCGCCACCACCACCACCCACACCACCACTACCACCGCTTCCTCCACCTCATGCCGCTCCTCTGAGTTGTGGCACACCATGCCCAGCGCTGGCGGCCAAGACTGCACCATGCAGGACCACTCCAAGCCCATATCCACCATGAGCACCGCCCTCCTCCGCACCGCCCTCCTTCGTGCCGCCCTCCTCGACCAGGCAGCAGCTGCCCTATCCGCATCCGCATCCTTGCGCACTGGCCGGTGCTAGCGACGACATCAGGCTCGCAGTTGCTGCCTCGGACGACACCGACTCGACGACACCGACTCGACGACACCGACTCGATGACACCGACTTGACGACACCGACTTGACGACACCGCCTCGACCTTACCGTCTCGACGCGGCCCTGTCCCGACCACGCTGCCGCCTCGATGCTTCCGTCTCTATCACCACTCCCGATGACGACACCAGGTTCGCAGCCACCGCTCAATAGGGCACGTGAGGATTGGGAGGTGTGCGTGCGGGCTGCCGAGGAGGGGTTTGATGGCACCGTCACGAAGGTGGATGCCAGGCTCGCGACGCTGTAGCAACACCAACTCAAGGTGAATGGGAACATGCGCCATGGTGTCAGGCTCGTCACACCCCCCAGTCCACGCAACATCTCATCTGACTCGGGCGAGCGCCATCGGTGGAAACGATCGACAATCTCCTGAGGCCAATCGCGTTCACACTTGGCCGAGTCAAACAAGGATGATGGTGGGTATGCGAGCTCATTCGAGGGCGTGACACTGCTCGATGACAAGCGCCAGTCAGCTTCCAAAGCACGCACGCATGTGCCCTAGGCGTAGGATGATTCGGATTTGGACGTGCATCATGCAAGCAACGATGCAAGGCTCATGTCCTTGAAGCACTATTCCATCACCTCAAAGTCGTCGGTCCAGAAGGCATCGACAGGGTCCACGACGGCAATGATGACGGAAGATAACGCTGCACACGCCTCGTTTGCCACCGCCGCCAATCTGAAGAGCGCACACCTGGCGCCAGTGAGCTTTGTTCTCTGCATTTTTGTGCATTCGCTCACAGCACTGTGTCGACAGATGGTTCAACATTCAGCACAGATGTCGACAGCGGTGGGCGTGCTCATGCTCAGCATCGCCGCCTTGGCAGCGCTATGGTATGTCAAAGGAGAATAGTTACCAGAAAATTCTCGCAGCTCTTTTATGATTTGACCCCTGTGCATGTCTGGCTCAGTGGCGATCCTGTCCCTCCTTTTCCCGACCTCATGTTCCTCACTGCTGCGCCGCCTGCTTTGTCGCTGTGTGTGTCTCATTTTGCCTTCGTGTTGACCATATCTTCTCTCTATTTGTTTGATGGTGAATACCTTTGTCTGCACACTATGCCGCCTGCTGCCCTCCTTGCATCTCTTGCCTCTTCTTGTTGTGTGTCTTTTTTGTCGCTCATCTCTCTCGCTTTGCGCTGCCTCGTCTCTCATCTTATGATCTGTGACAACACTGCCCAATTAGCATCTGGAACGATGTGTTTATCCGGACTTGGATATGGTTGCCCTTGTGCGTTTGCCAATGTGGGTAATGCTTTAGACACAAATCCAATTTTGTTGAAGAGCATCCATCGATCTAACCATACCACGCGACATCCATGAGACAAGTGTGGCCTTTCTTGTGTCCTCGTCAATACCTGCGCCCACGCCCACTGCCGTCTCTTTCCCCTGCGCCATCCACGATCTCCACTGCAGAGGCATCCTGCTCTACTAACGCCCCTACGCCTACGCTGCCCGATGACGCGCAAAGCATTGCGACCATCTGAGCCTGTCTGAGCGTCAATGACGATGACAACGAAGACCATACTGACAATGACAACAACAACAACAACAACAACAACAACAACAACAACAACAACAACACTGAGGAACAGTTATGGCGGAAAGACAAGCTGGCAAGAGATAGGGCACAGATGACAAGGATATCCATGAGGTATGTTATCTTTCTTTGTGCCAGTCCCTTCTCCGATGCTGCCATCCAAGAACTCGCTGCAAGACTGGCCCCCGCACGGGGGCAGTCTCAGCTACCTTGCGCACCACCCCTGTCCTCCCGGCTCTCCTCCACTGACGCCTCCTCCTTGCACACGATCGACACCCACACCGCATTCTCCTCATCCATGTCCACCGCATCCCTCCACACTGTCATCTTGCCCTCCTCCCACAAGCGCTCCATGACTATCTACAAGGGCAAGTCCGTCTCCACCGTGCTCATCACCTCTGCCATCGACACCGTCGCCGCCTCCTGCAAGGCAAAGTGCTCCGCCCCACTCAGGGAGAGCTTTCACATCGCCCTCGAGATGGTCTGCGCAGGCATGGGCGGCAACCGCCCCCGTGAGATCTTTGAGCCCCTCCGCCTCGCCTGTGAGACCCGCAATGAGAAGCCTGTAGTCGCCAGCCTTGACTGCATCTCCAAGCTCATCTTCTGCTCCTTCATTGAAGCCAACCCTCCCGAACACGCGTCCCTCCCGTCCCTGTCCTCAGCCCTAGGCGCCTGCCACTCCACCTTGAGCGCCTCCTAGAGCAACCTCCCCCCGCCCTCGTTCGTGGACCTCATCATGCATACCATCACCACCTGCCACACTGAGACTACTGCTGACTCGGTTAGGCTCCAGGTCAAGGCCCTCCTCGCCCTTGCCCTTGCCCTTGCCCTCACCCTTGCCCTTGCCCTCTCCTCCACCATCCTCATCCACCAGTTCTTGCTCCTTAAGGCTGTCTACACCATCTACACCGTCTTCCTCATGTCTACCGACCCCACCAACCAGACCGCCGCCCAAGGTGGCCTCACCCAGATGGTCCACCACATCTTCTCATGCAGCAAGGTTACCCCGCCTGTCGCTGCAAAGTCCATTGCGTCACTTGCGTCTAAGGCCAACAACGCTCCATCCGCAAAGTGCGACTCGTTCTCGCCGTCCATGCTGGACACCAAGCCACCGCGCACGCTGCCGTCCTAGGATGAGGCGCCTTTGGCAGACAACATCTCACTCGAGATCCCGCTCCCTCTTTTGCCGCCGGTAGCCGCCCAAGACGACTTGCCTGTCCTCGAGCTGCCCTTGTCAAATGGGATTGAGCACGGCGCGGTGATGTGCTTGCGATGGCTCTGCGTGCGAAAACACAACACAAAACATACCACTAAACACAGGGTAGGCGGGGAGCTGACTTCACTACAAATATTGAGGGACCCTTGTAAGTTGCGAGACGGGGCGCGATATACATACTACAAGATATCGAGATATCTAGCGAGGTGATGCAAGGTCACGCGAGAATACTCTTGTGTGAAACGAAGTGGTGGACTGTGGGCCAAGGCGCGAGTGACCGAGGCAACTTCAAGGGCAGCGACGAAGGCCCTGACAATAGCGGCGACGAGTGCTAAATCGAGCGAGTGCGATGTCGGTACGATGCGATATGAGCGAGATCTTCGTGCGAAGTTGAGCTCTAAACAGAGGGGTGTTCGAAACTGGTGTATTGCAGTGTCGTAGGCAGGTATTTATAGTAAGTCAAAGTGAGTATAGTAAACGCGAACTCGTAAGGTAAAGTAAATCGATATCGCGCCAAGACCGTAACATAGAAAGATAAAGAAAAACCACGCGCAGAGGTGCTCGCAGACTGCGAGGTTCTGTCGTGCCACGGTCGCGAGACAAAGCGATATTTAGTAAAGAGATGTAGCGGTGAGACGAGGTAAACTCTAGGAAGGTGGAGGGGCCATGGATCATGGGACCTGTACTACCCAATAAGCGCACGCGATAAAGCTCTCTGCAATATCACGTCGCGGAGCTGCTCGCGGTGTGGTCCGTGCGGTCAATGCTTGCGAGGCGTATGGCAAGCGCTTGGCGAGGTCTTTGCGGGTGCAGCAGGCTCGAGGTCGTCATGTGATACGCGTGGGGGCTGAGTGAGATGATGCGAGGCGATGACTGAGGGATGTGAGACAAGACCGCGTCAGCCCGATACTATAATGCTGAGGTCGTAGTGGGCATCAGAGGGAATTGCTCTGGGCGGCGGGGCCACCCGGCAGTGTCTGGGGTATCCCCTGAGGTCAGCATGCTAGTGCTCGTAGAACTGCGAAAAATGGGGTCCTGGCGCTTAGAGAGGTGGCGCGCTCATCAGCGGACAGGCTGGGTACCCCTCACGCGTGGGTCTCCCTTGCACAGTTCTGCTTGTGTCCCCTTTTGACTGACCCACACGCCAGTGAGCCCACTCATCGCCCGAGCACCCCCGCCCAGGGGCATCATGCTCCCCTGGCACACATGATAATGATCAAGACCTCTTCCTCAAGGATGCCTTCCTTGCCTTCTGGTCCTAACCATACGCGCAGCCCACGCACGCAACTGGCGCCCTCTCTCCCCCACCACCCATCCTTCCCACGCCCCCGTTTGTCATCGCACGCTTATATTTAGCACTTCCTGCCCCGGGGCACATACACGCAGCATGACTCACATCACGTCCAGGTCTGTCCTCCCACACAGCCATCTGTCTCCGATAAATAAGACACCATCATCGACCCGCCGTCCGAAAATGTGTGTGTATGTATGTATTCCTCTTTCTTACCACGGTTGTTTCACGTGCGTTTGCCTCCATGCTCCTTTAGTCGGCATTGCAAAATGATTTATTCTAGCCCGGTACATCCACCACAGCCCGATATGAATGAACGGAACCTGCACTCAAATGTCAGTCACTTTCCCACCCAACATTGCGGATCGCTTACCCAGCGGAACAGCTGCGCCCCCGACCACTGCAGTGCGTGCGCTGCCTGGTGCACCCCAATGGCCGTGTTAGACGACCGTGCAGCCCAGGCACCGTCTCGGAACATGTACTTGTACACCTCCCTTGCCGCAACAGGTCCGTCATTGTCCCCGATAGAATACATCTTCGCCACGATCGACCTGAACCTGGTCACCTGCAGCGCCGCTGCCAGGCTCATCGACTCGTTCCGCGCGACAGACCCCACCGCCGTGTGGCATGCGCTCAAGTATGCAAAGTCTGCCTGCGGCAGCTGCACCTGCATCAGGGCCTCGATGTTCAGATGCCTGACGTGGCCCAGGCAAAACGTGCTCAGCAACGGCTGTTGAGCATCGACGGTCGCGTGGCAGCAAAGGTGCACCCAGCTGTGCGTCTACAGGTTGCCTAGCACAGTGGCTGACAAGATCGCACCGTCGACGAGCATGGTCACAGGAAGAGACTCTTGTTCTTGCAGGACCTCGATCTCCATCTTTGTGCAAGGCAGATCACAAAACCTGGCCATTTTGTCTGGGCCATAGCCAGGATCCTGGCAGACTCAGCTCCTGCGGACTTCCTCACGCGGAGGAGGGCCGCGAGCTTAGGCGTGTACGACGACACGACGATGTCGGGCAAATTCAAGCACCTGTCTTTGTATGCTCCCGCCGTGTGTATGGGCATGTCTGCCGCCCCAGCCATGCACCAGAACAGACACTCCGCGATGGGATTGAGCGCATGTAGCTCTTCAATTACGGGCTTGGCGATCATCTTCCAGAGAAGTCGCAAGGTCTTCAAAAGCACACAGTCCATGGTGCGCATGGTGTCCACAGCGGGTTCTTCCTCCAGAGACCCCGCAGCAAACGCCAACTCTTCTTGCACGCATTCGAGCTGCCAAAAGTCTGTGTTGGACAGAGGGACATAGTGGATGCCATAAGCGGCTGTCAGCACGAGCGCGTCGCAGTGGTTTTCACATAGGTTCACGACCACGGCCGGCCCATCGTGCGCGATCCCCTCCAGGTCTGCAAATCTCATCAATTGCATGAACTCACCGAGCCTGTCCAGCCTTCTCACTTCAGCAAGCAAGCCCTCGTACCTCTCCGCGAGCTCGCAGTGGTGCCGCTCCGTGCAACCAGGATCCCCAATGCTGTCGATTGTGGCAAACGTATAGGTCATAGATTGTGTGCACATGATGCCATCGAGTTCACCTATCGTCTTGGACAGTCGACCCGCGAGGGCAGGCAAAACCTGGTGCAACTTGTCCCTTAACGGCCGAAGCCGTAGCGTCTGCTGCCAAACGATGGACCAGCCATGCTCCAGCAGCTCTATTGCATGCTCCAGCTCCCCCTCTCAAATCGCGTGTGCAGCCGCGCGGGAGCTTTCAATCGGGCTCTTCGCAAGAATGTTGTGTCGCGCCTGCACAGACCACCCTATATTCACCATGCGAAGCTGTTGCTGCAGGCACACGTCGAACACCGACATCTGAGGCACAACGGTGTTTCATGGCGACAGCCTCCCATATCCTAGTGTACCGCAGACAGTGTCTGCTCAGAGCAGTCGTCGAGGTCACTGCCTGGGCGTACATGTGCAGGCACTCATCCAGGTCATTCACGTCTCCTCACAATTCATACCTCGCATATACAACATCGCCCCAGGCCACCATCACGCCCGCCAACCCCGGGTGCATCTCTGGGGTCAGCAAAACTGCGAGCTTGGCCCACACCGCTGCCTTGTCGAGCGCGTCCGCGTTGGCTTCTTTTTTCGCGACCTCTAGCAGACACGCGGCAAAACCTGCAGCCCAGAAGGGGTATCGTGGGTACCGTGTGTCCATCTGCGCTTCCAATGCATCTCGACAGAGGCAGACGGCTTCGACGAGATCATCCTTGCCCTCCTCAAGCTGGTACCGTCTCTTCAATGCATCTCCAAGTCTGAAGAGCGCCTCCGCCCTGTCCAGATGTGTCTCGTGCCTTTCTTCTGCCACTGCTCTAAAGAGCGCAATTGCCGCACTCAAGTCCTCCACCTTGCCCCCGTCCTCCCACATCACCAAAGCGCACATCCGTTTGGCTGCCACGGAGTCCATCATGTTCTGGTCTTCGCCTTCAGAGGCCTTGTGGGTCGCCACACATGCAAGTGTCTATGCTGCCTTTAAATCCTCCTCATTCTCATGTACGACGAAGCGCTGTCGGAGAATCATGCCCTGCAGTGCCAGGATCATAGCCAGCAGCAGATGGTCCTCACCACAGAGCCTCACAGCATCACGACCGACGCCCGCTGCCTTGTCCAGCATCTCGCCGTCCCTGGTGGCGTCATGATATGCGACGAGCGCCTTGGAGAGCCGCCAAAAGACGATCATTTGGATCATCGGGTCATGGATTCCACTCTCTGCCAGAAATGCACGACAGGCCTCGATGGATAGCTGTATGTCTTCCTGCTGTCCTAGACGCCGGAAGTGGGCCTCCAGCAACATGCTCAGCAGATTGTAAAAGGCAAATTGCTCGGGGCCCGTGACACCTGCAAGACATATCTTAAGCGCACTCACCGACTGTTTGAGGTCCGACTAAGCACCAAAGTGTGTGTAGCGCATATATGAAGTGTGACTGAACACTAAAAACGCTCGTCTCAGCGGTTCCGAGACAGGTGTAGATAGTTCAGGTCCGTCTCCGAACCCGCGGAGCGCCTCTCAACAAAGCCCAACCACTTGGTCCAGTACATCCACTCTATTCGTCATGACTAGCGCTAATGCATGTGCAACGCACGCGTGTGCCCTCTCTTGGCTTCCATGCTCTACTAGTTTTTCACCCGTCACATTGCGACAGCGCAACCATGCTTAATCTGAGTTTTTGTTACAGTGCTTGGTCTGATGTGTCTGTAAAGTCTAGTCCCCATAAAGTCTAGTGTTCACAAAGTCCAGTGCCTATAAAGTCTAGTGCCTGTAAAGTACAGTGCCTGTAAAGTCCAGTGCCCATGCTTAATCTGAGTTTTTGTTGTAGTGCTTGGTCTCGTGTGCCTGTAGAGTGCACTGACTATAAAGTCCAGCACCCATAAAGTCTAGTGCCCATAAAGTCCAGTGCCCGTAAAGTCTTATGCCCTAATATCTCTATATAACTCTTCTATGGCATTCTATAAGGTCCTTCCTATATAAAGCTCTCTATAAGGTCTTATCCATAAGATTCCCTTATGAGATTCTGCCCTATGAAGCTCCCCCATGAGGTTCTCTGTGAGGTGCTAAGATGCCATTTTAAGCTCCAATGGTTGCAGAGGCATAGCCCACTCTAGTTGCTAGGGTTGCTGGGAGCACTAAGACATGGCTTACTCTGCTCACCCCATTTGTCATGGATGCTTGCTTTGCTCACATGGTTTCTTATGTGGCCTACATAAGTGTGAGCAAGGACATATGACTTGAGCTATTAGCCCAGTGCCACCATTTCTTATTGTCCCCTTTTATTTATTATTTAATTATATATAAAAAATACCTGCAAACAAAACCAAGAGCCCAGAGTGGTTGCCAGGCTAAGCATTTGCTGAATGCCCCCTCACCCGGAGAAATCACTGCAAGACAGTGCCAGGGGAAGAGAATTACCCTATGCTTAGGTTAGCCCTGGGCACGCGCACGCTGACTAACTCCGTTTCAAGCTCCGACATGCTCCGTTTTGCCTCCCAAAGCCTATGGGACAGTGGTCTCGCGTGGTTTCTTACATGGCCCACACAAGCATAAGCGAGGACACGCGACGTGAGCCGCCGGCCCAGCACCACAATTTTGCAGTGTTGCCCTCTATTTATGGACTAGCTTCTCACCCATTGTGTTGCGACAGCGCAACCATGCTTAATCCAAGTTTTTGTTGCAGTGCTTAGTCTGAGGCTGTGTGACAGTGCTTAATCTATGTTTGTGTTATAGCACTTAGTTTGTGGTTGGGTTTTAGTCAAGCAGCCAAGTTAGAGTAGCAGTTTTATTTCAAGCATACATATAAAAAGTTAGAGTGGGGATTGAGAGTCAAAGTGTAAGAAGTTTCCATATAAGTTTTATACTACAGTCCTTGTTCAAGTCTTATTATAATTGTTAGCCATGTCACAATGATTATGATCCAAGACATACTATTGATTATCCAAAATGCCTTGCAATACCTCAGGATACACTATATTGGTGGTTTTGGTCCCTTGTGAGTCTGGTGGGAATAACACCTTGATTCTATCTCCTGATGTGCAGTGTAACAGTGCAACATAAAGTTGGCCATGGGAAAATACAGGCCGCTCCAAATCTAATCCAACAAACTTGACAGACTGTCCTTGTGACTTGTTGATGGTCATAGCAAAGGCAACATGGACAGGGAATTGTCTGCGCTTCAAAGGAATAAGGCAGGCTTCTCCAAATGGCTTTAGGGTTAATCTAGGGATAAACACAATTCTTCCAGCATGTGCTCCACCCAAGATGCGGCATTTTAAGACACGTGTCCTTGCCTCAAGTAAGATGAGTCAAGTGCCATTGCATAGGCCATGAGAGGGATCAATGTTGTGCAAAAGAATGAGGGGACAACCTCTTTTGACATGGAGGTGAGCAAGAGGAAGGCCAGAGATATTGATAGAGTTCAAAAACTCTATAGGATAACCCTCTATGTCCTTGACAGAGTCAATGCTGGTCAGGAGCTTGTCTTCTCCAGGAAACTTGGCTAGAATCTCCTTGTTGATCTCAGCAACAGTGTCATTGCACCCAGGAAGAATCATATGGTCAAGGAAGAAGTGGTCTGGTTTGGGGTGCTGATCAGAGATGTCAGGATAGATAAAGTCAACCAAGGATTCCTTAGTGTTGTTATCAAGACGCATGTTGGGAGGAAGTTCAATAGACTTGTCTTCACGTCGCAGATGACTAGGGCCCGCCTCTGCTCTACTACGAGTAATAGGTCTGGGTAAGGGTCTTGTTGGAAATCGAGTGTCTTATCTCACAAAACAATTGACAGAGCACCGACCTCGCAGAAGACCTGGGTCAGGCTTATAGCAACCTAAGACGATCACTCAACTGTCGCAGCAACCTAACGAACATTGTAGTGTGACGATACGATCATAATATCATGACATTACGGTCGCAGTATCGTGACAGCAGCATGCCCTCAGCTAGCATCAATGATTGCGGATAAGGATCCAAATGTATGAAAATCAGCCCTATCAGCCTTGAGGTAAATTCTTCCATGTTCAAAGGTTCGACCGTCCCAGTGCAGTGGCGGTACAGTTGTGTCTTCGAGAGCTGTGCATGATGAACCAATTTTGACTTTGATAGTGGGTCCCCACAAATTTGCTCTATAATGAAGAGACGAACATAATACAATACTTTTATTTTGTAAGATTAGGAATAGGCGTTAGAATAGATTATCACTTGACTATAAGTCGTTGTATTCAGCACTACAAGGATGACGCGGGCGACTCAGGTTAGACTTACAGGGTAAGGGCGTCACAGACGACTTGTTGTTGAACCAAATGTTTGCTCACCTGTTCTGCCATCACGCAGGGTTCACAGAGAGGTGACGTTGCAGACAACTCGGGTCAAGACGTTGCAGACAACTCGGGTGAAGACGTCGCAGACGCCTCAGGTCAGGACATTGCAGACGACTTGGGTGAAGACGTCGCAGACGCCTCGGGTCAGGACGTCGCAGATGACTCGGGTCAGGACGTTACAGACATCTTGGATCTGGCTTCCTGGGTAAGGACGTCACAGACGACTTGCTGCTCAACCAAATGTTTGCTCATCTGTTCTGTCATCACGCAGGGTTCACAGAGAGGCGACGTCGCAGACGCCTCGGGTCAGGACGTCGAAGACACCTCGGGTCAGGACATCGCAGACGCCTCAGATCTGGCTTCCTGGGTAAGGACATCACAGACGACTTGTTGCTCAACCAAATGTTTGCTCACCTGTTCTGCCATCACGCAGGTTCACAGAGAGGTGATGTTGCAGACGACTTGGGTCAAGACGTTGCAGACGACTCGGGTGAAGACGTCGCAGATGCCTCGGGTCAGGACATCGCAGATGACTCGGGTCAGGATGTCGCAGACGACTCGGGTGAAGACGTCGCAGATGACTTGGGTCAGGACGTCGCAGACAACTCGGATCTGGCTTCCTGGGTAAGGATGTCACAGACAACTTGTTGCTCAACCAAATGTTTGCTCATCTGTTCTGCCATCATGCAGGTTCACAGAGAGGCAACATCACAGACGACTTGGGTTAGGACGTTGCAGACGACTCGGGTCAGGACATTGCAGATGACTCGGGTCAGGACGTCACAGATGACTTGGGTCAGGACATTGCATATGCCTCGGGTCTGGCTTACCGGGTAAGGACGTCTGAGATGACTTGTTCCTCGACCCATGTATTAGCTTACACTCTTCTGCGCTCACCTACTATTCACAGAGAGTCAATGTTGCAGACCACTAGGGTCAGGCCCACAGAGTGTGGACATCGCAAACAACTCGGGTGAGGCTTACAGGGAAGGACGTCTCAGACGACTTGTTGTTCAACCAAAGTGTCAGCTCACACTGTTCTTTTATCACCCACAGTTCAGAGAGCTGCCGTCGCAGACAACTAGGGTCAGGTCTACAGGGCACGCACGTCGCAGACGGCTCAGGCTTACAGGGTAAGGGCATCTTAGACAACTTGTTGCTCAACCCATATATCAGCTCACACTCTTCTGCGGTCACCCACATTTCACAGGTAGACGACATCGCAGATGACTAGGGTCAGGCCGACAGGGTATCGACATCGCAGCTGACTCGGGTCAGGCTTCCCACCGCTCTCAACCTCCTCCTCCTCCTCCTCCTCTTCCTCCTCTCACACACAGGGCACCGACAACTCAGATGTCTTGGTGTAAAACCAGGGTAAGAGAGCCCATGCTCTTCTGCAGTCAACCAGGACTCACAGAGCGCGGATGTCGCAGACAACTCGGGTCAGGCACAGAATCTCAGCGAGAGCTTAGAATCATCTGCGGCCGAGCCAGATCAAAGTGCGCGGACGTCCCTGACAACTCGCCTCAGGCTCCGATAACCAACTGCCTGTCCATGGTGAGCAGCCTTTCTATTGCATGCATCATCTCTTATCGTCATTCTAATAGTGAATTGCTGTGTTGACCATTTGTAAAACCTCTTCTGAACAGGGCACAGACGTCTCTGACGACTCTGCACATGCTGGAACACATGCTCTGAACCAATCTGTGCACATGTCATACTCCTGTCACTCAAGTCTGGCGCCTTGGGCCTTCCTTGTATCAACTTTCCACCATCCCACCCCCCTGCTCACTACTGTCATCAATGGCGGCCAACTCGACGGTGATCTTTTTGACAAGCAAAACCGACGCCAGACAAAGAGTTTTGGGTTCAAACGATGCAAGCTAGGTGCGTTCCTTTGTCTTTTATGCTCGATTCAGAATATTACAGACTATGGCCTTACTGTCAATATCTAGGCATGACCCAAGTCGTCTGGGATGCCTGCACTGTATGAACCCTAGTCGACTGCAGAAGAGGGAGGATGGGGCTGACCGTTGTAGGTGTGTAGTAGCATTGATGCTGCGGCTGTCACACTCTGCTTTATGCACGCACATCGGGATAGAGTTGCAGATCAGGATCTATATGCCAATGCAACCGGTATTGTCCATGACTTGAAGCCAAAAAAATCAGAGCTGGTACGTAGTCTGGTTGATCAAGGTGTTTCACTGGTGCCATTCCCACCCTTCAGTGCATGCTTCTCGAGATCGATGCCCACAGGAGCTTTGGACGATGAATCTTTTGAAGCAATATTCGTAAGCAGGAGTTCTCTGTTTGACTGGCCCTTCTGATCAGATAGTTGATGTCATGTCACACGCAAGGGACGTTTTAGGTGGAACAGCGCATAAACAGGCTGTGCAGCGCCATCTCGCAACGACTACACAGTCAATGCTAACATGATGTATGCAGCTGGTATACTTGTGTACCTGCAACTGTGTCAAATGCCAGGGGTGCCATGTTTCATAGCACGGGGAATGAGACGGCTCAGATGCAGAGCCATGTTTTGACAAGGCGCTATGGCATGAAAGTTAATGCAGAAACAGTATGTCCTCAGCCTATGTCAAGTAAACAACTTTTCAAATTTACTAATGCATTTTAGTAGGTATTTACACGTCGTGTGAAAAAAATATTAGAACTTCAGGTATAATGTGCACGATATTGCAAAACGACATGCAACAGACCTCACAAGTCTTGCTCAAGCAATTATCTTTTCCAATATTTCTCGCAGTAGACCACCTTTGCTTCTTTGTATTACAGTGTGCTCATACTCTGCTGCATCCTTGACACCACTAATTCTAGACTCAGGTGAGCAGGTCATTTACCACAAGCTCACCGAGCAGTTTAAGCCCTCTGAGCTGCTCGCCTTTCACCACCTCTTGAACACAAATCCGACATTCGTCTAACGCAGCGGTGGAAGGTACAATGCAAACAAGCCACCAAAAGGTAGGTGTTGAAGCCGAATCAGTCAGTGTTGCACAACAACGATGGACGTCTTTGTTGATTTGAATGTCTGTAGGTCTCACCACCTAATTGTCACTTGCATGTTGAGACGAGCACGCGAGGCGGCTCTTTCTATAGATGTAAGTTTTCTCTAGATCTTATACGATAATGTACTGATGATACAACGTTGTATTACTGCGCAAAAGGGGCCACAAGAGCTGTACACCAATCCTTGGCTTTGGTGGGCGCACCCGTCGCAATACAGCAGACAATTACACAAGAAAAGGGATATTGAACAGACTGTACTGGAGTTTTTTTGGCACTTGGCGGGAAAGGGAGTAGTAGGGGCAAGCGAGGTCATAATCAAGTAAGTTTTATTGTTGACTACATTATGTTAGTGATACTGATCTCACTAGCTCAACTAAGCATCAATTGTACCCACGCCGCAAGCAAGGGCCTGAGCTGTCCCACCACCACAAGCGTGGGCACAAGTATTTTGACTGCCGTGACCATGTGCAAGTTGTTGTATATGGAAACGACGGTGAGGGATGGGGTGTGTTATCCCCGAAAGGTGTGTTATGGTGGGAGCTCCATATCCTGGAAGATTGAGAGGAGTGGGACGTTGTCGTGTTCTTGGAGAGTCAAAAATAGTGTGTCCAGCTTGAGAATGGTTTGTACTTATTGCTGTCATGTTGTCTTCATTGCTACTGCTCTTGTTCTCGTATCAGCTCTTTCTTGTGACCGCTGATGTGACCGCTGTTGTATTCTCTAGGTTGGTACTACATTAGTTCAGCAGACTGGGGGACAATAACAATTCACTGGGTAAATTTTGAGGTTTTTCATGTGAGCACGGATCCAATCATCAATTACGGGGACTAAGACACATAGGCTCAAAATTGAGCACTGGGAATGTAAACAGTGCGTGTTCCATATCCACTAAACCACTTTTCTGATGGTGATCTTGTTACATAGCATTGGCCGCATGCTTCGGAATGTGTATAGCTGGCATCTAGGGATATTTAGGGGGTCATGAATCGGCTGGTCAGTTGTCTTTTTGTTTTTGTTTCGCTTGTGAGTCTTTTATAACTTGTGACTGGTTCATTTTGCTTTATTGATGGTGTCCTATGTTATGTCAATGATTTCTTGGATCTTGTTAGTGCTGTGTATTGAGATATAGACCCTGCTTGTCGGTCATTCCAAGCTTTGCTTGTGAGTGCTTTTAATGCATATTACTCACCGGATCTCACTCATTGATACTGTCATATGGTATATTAGACCTCTAATATCTCTCGCTTGTTTTTTTTAGCTCTCTGATACATCCTTGATTTTTGTCAGTGATGCAGAGTCTGTGTGTCTATTGTCCACATCCTTGTATGGATGGTCAGGTGCGTTAATGATACATTCTCTAGAGTTGTGGGCCGTCTGTGATGGCCGCATGTTGCCTGTGATAGCTGCTAGTCGTCTGTGACAGCCTTATGCTCAATCTGTTGTCTGAGTACCTTGCCCGTTGTCTTTGATGGACGCATAGTATCTGAGAGGGCTGCATGTCGTCTGAGATGACTACCAGCTGTCTGAGATGGCTGCATGTCACCTGTGATAGCTGCCAGTTGTCTGCAATACCCATATGGGCTGTCTGTGATGGCTGCATAGTGTCTGAGATGTCTGCGTGTCATCTGAGATGCACGTAAGTTGTCAGTGACAACCTCGACCTGCCTGCAATAACCTAAGGTCATCTGAGACATCTGTGTGTTGTTTGAGATGGCCGCACATGGTCTCAGATGTCGGTGTGTTATTAGAGAAGCAGGTCGTCTGTGGCGGCCATACACTGTCTTGGACGTCTGTGTGCCATTAAAGCATCAGGTCATCTGCAACAGCTGTACACCGTCTCAAAGTTCTGTGTGTCATTAGACAAGCAGGTCGTTTGTGGTAGCGGCATGCTGTCTCAGACGTCCACATGTTGTCTGAGATGCAGGCAGGTGCACAATGCATTCATGGTCACCAGCAGATGTGACCTGCAGGGCGTCCCCGTTGTCAGTGACAGCCTCATCCTGCCTGCAATAACCTAAGGTCATCTGAGACATCTGTGTGTCATCTGAGACGACCACACACAGTCTCAGACGTTGGCATGTTATTAGAGAAGCAGGTTGTCTGTGGCAGCCACACACTGTCTCAGATGTCCACATGTCGTCTAAGATTCAGGCAGGTCGTCAATAACGGCCTCATCTTGCCTGAAATGACTGCTGGTTGTCTAAGACATTCACATCTTGTCTCAGATGCACATAGGTCGTCACTGACGACTACATCTTGCCTACAATGACTACCAGTTGTCTGAGACATCTGTGTGCCATCTTAGATGTCCCTGTGTTGTCTGAGACAGATACAGATCGTCTGCGACGGCTGCACACTGTCTTAGATGTCTGTGTGTAGTTAGAGAAGCAGGTAATCTGCGACAGCTACACACTATATGAGATGTCTGCCAGTTGTCTGAGACATCTCTATGTTGTCTGACGGCTGCATGCTGTTTTGAGATACACACAGGTCATCTACAAGGGCTGCACGCTGTATAAGATATCTGCCAGTTGTCTAAGAAGTCCAAGTGTCATCTGAGATGCACACAACTTGTCTATAAAGGCCACACACTAACTGATGTTCACATGTCATCTAAGATGCATGCAGATGGTCTGCATAATGTCCGAGACAGTTGCATGTTGTCTGAGATAAATGACAGTGGTCTGCAATGGACACACAATGTATGAGACATCTGAGACAGCTATGTGTTGTCTGAAACCTCCTCATTTGCCTTCTAGACTAGTACCATGTCTGACTCCTCACCTGCCTTCTCACATGTCTCCTCACCTGACTCCTCACCTGACTCCTCACCTGACTCCTCATCTGACTCCTCACCTGACTCCTCACCTGGCCTCTCACCTGGCCTCTCACCTGGCTCCTCACCTAGCCTCTCACCTAGCCTCTCACCTGCCCAACATCTTGGATTTTTTTTGTCTCGCCTACCATCTGCCTACCACCTCTTATAACCTAAGTGCTGGGCCCGTAGCTCAGGGGGAATACAAAGTGCACATTCTGCACTGTGTACGCGAGGCTGACGTTGAGGTCAAGCATGGGTGCAAGGTCCGCCGTGAGTTCTCCTAGGACCTCGAACGAGGGCCCAATCGTCGCTATCCTGATCAACTGACGGCTCGTGAGCATCGTTGCAGATAACGTGCAGGTTTTTGGTTCGCTTACCCTAGGATAACGATGTTCACACCCGGGATCGGCACGCACGAGAGAAGCGAGATGCGCCCGGAGTCGTGACTGCCTTCGATATTGGCTTGGATGTGCATGGAGTCATTCAAGGTCGCATTTATATTTGCGCTCAAAATAGCATCTTGGGACGAGTCATGAGTAAGAGGTCAGATCAACAAGGCATACCAGCATACAGCATAAAATTGGTGATGATCAAAGGGAAGAAGCCGCTTAAGTTGAAGCTGGTCTCGGCGTCTACCTGCACCCCACATCGACAGCAAGCGATGCGTTGAGCGGCGCTGCGTTAAGGGCACATGCCAGATCTTTTGATGAGTCCGACCAGGGCACTGAGGGAAGATGGCTGTTGAACTGCATACACACACTGTTTGTATCATCTGTATTGTTTGAGTATTGTCTATCCAACTATATTGCTTGCCTGTTGTCCACATTGCCTGCTAATCATCTATATCCCCCTGTGTGGTCTCTGTTACTGGTATGTTTCCCTGGTCCTTCCTAGTATCTATTGTCTAGGACACCTAGTGTTGCCTAAGATGGCTGCATGCTGTCTGAGACACCTGCTATCGTCAATGCTGACTGTATGTTGTCTCAGACACCTGCCATTGTCTAAGACAGCTGAAGGCTGCCTTAGACATCTGCAGTCGGCAATGCCGAATAAGTACATGCTATCTGAGACCTAACCTACCTCACCTCACCTCACCTCACCTCGTCTGAGGGACCTGCTGTTGTCTAGATGGCTGCATGATGTCTGAGACGTTGTGTCTCGTCTAGGATGCAGGCAGGACGTCTCTGACGACTGCCTGATGCCTGAGACGTCCCCCCCTTGTCTGTGGTGAACAAAAAGGTGTCTGTGACGACTGCACGACGTCTCAGACGTCGCGTCTCGTCTAGGATGCAGGCAGGACGTCTGTGACGACTGCACAATGTCTGAGACGTCCCCCCCTTGTCTGTGGTGAACAAAAAGGTGTCTGTGACGACTGCACGATGTCTCAGACGTCGCATCTTGTCTAGGACGCAGGCAGGACCTCTGTGATGACTGCACAACGTTTGAGACATCGCGTCTCGTCTAGGACGCAGGCAGGACATCTGTGACGACTGCACGATGTCTGAGACATTGCATCTCGTCTAGGATGCAGGCAGGATGTCTCGGACAACTGCCTAACATCTGAGACGTCCCCCCCTCGTCTGTGGTGAACAAAAAGGTGTCTGTGACGACTGCACGACATCTCAGACGTCATGCCTCATCTAGGACGCAGGCAGAATGTCTTTGACGACTGCCTGACGTCTGAGACGTCCCCCCCTCGTCTGTGGTGAACAAAGAGGTGTCTGTGATGACTGCATGACGTCTCAGACGTCGCGTCTTGTCTCAGACGACTGCTAGTCATCAGGGACATCCTCATGGCACCAGCACTGGCTGCACGACGTCTCAGACGTCGTGTCTCATCTAGGATGCAGGCAGGACATCTCTGACAACTGCTAGTCATCAGTGATGTCCTCATGTCACCCGCACTGGCTGTACTCTCTCACCTAGGCCTCTCACTTGACCCCTCACCTGGCCTCTCACCTGTCTCCTCACCTAGCCTCTCACCTGCCTCCTCACCTGGCCTCTCACCTGCCTCCTCACCTAGCCTCTCACCTGGCCTTTCACCTACCCTCTCACCTGCCTCCTCACCTGCCCAACATCTTGGATTTTTTTCATCTCACCTACCATCCACCTACCACCTCTTATAACCTAAGGGCCATGGGCTGTGGATTTGTGCTTAGGAGCATGGGCAGGGTCAGGGTCAGAGAGAAGAGGGAGGCGAGGGGGATGTGAAGGTATTGTTGATGATATTGACCGAGACAGCGCCGGAGCAGGCAAATGTGATTCTGTGTATATGCGTGCGTGCGTGAATGAGTGTGTGCATTTGTGTGTGTGCGTGTGCATGTGTGATCAGGTCAAAGGAGTGAACAGACGAAGAATGGCAGCAGGCGTACCTTGCACAGGATGCTGATCCGCGCTTGGAAGCTCTGGAAAGCGAGGCCGTGAATGGCACCGAGGGTAGTGATGGATACATATGGACAGGTGGCAGGGGTGCACGCTTTTGCAGCCACACAGGCCGGGGAGTGGGTAGTCAGGAGAGTGCGCGTGATAGAAGGGTGTGTGGCCGCATTTTATTGAGTGAGATGAGCGGGAGTGCTGCAATGCTGCTTGGCACAAGGTTGTCTGTGGCGTCATTGCCTAGGCGGACACGAGCAGGGTGGGGGGTTTGGCAGAGAGGGGAGGGGAAGCCATACGACAACAAGGGCTTCTGAAAGCTGCTGTGCGGAGTGGGGCTGCATGCTGCAAAATTTGTGTGCTGCTGCAGCGGGTTACAAGCAGAGGACGGCGACGAGCGTGTCGTTCATGGCTATAATGTTGAAGTAGGGGCGAAGATGAAGGCGGGAGATGTACGCGTACAGGGGAGGAACTGAAGGTGAGTGATGACATACCTCTCGTTGATGTCGACTGTTCCCAACCGTGGGTGTCAGCATGAGCGAGGGATAGCCATAGACAAGGACAAGAAGCTGGAGGTGGAAAGAAGATGAGTGGCCGCGGCTGATACGCGGCTGACATGATGAGCCTCTCCAGCTGCAGCGAGGCTCATCATGTCAGGCGCGTATCGGGACTCAGCCCTGCCAATACGCGCCTGACATGACAGGCCTCTGCAGCTGTGGACAAGCTCATCATTGTCAGCCGTGTATTGGCATGGATGCCTTCTTTAGCCCTGCCATACCCCTGTCCTACCCTGAACCTTCTAGCTTTTCAGGTTAGAATAGAATCAGCATGTCTGGCAGGCGCGCAGAATCGACTCACACTGTCCGTCAGCGCCAGGGCCGATGCCCAGCGCACCATAGATCCCGTTCGCGATGGCGGTGGTGGTCAGGATGTACGGCACTCCCGAATCGAGCACCGTGGTGGGAAATACGGTGCCCGTATGTGAGCGCCAGAGCATGAGCGGGCAGCTCTGACCGTCGACGTACACAGTGACCCCGCGAACGTTGGTCTTCCAGAATTTGCTGCCCATGTTGGACGTGATCACGGGTGAGTATGTGATCTTGGCCAGATCCGGGACAAGCGCGGTGGGGTGCTGGCCGATGCCGAGCAGCGAGGTAACCTCGAGGGAGTCGGGACGGGAGAGTGCGAGCGAGAAGAAGCGCGCGGCGGGGGCAGAACCGACAGGGGTGATGCCGAAGAGGTTCGAGGCAAAGACGGTGCCATAGGGAAAATTTCCGGTCGAGGGCGGGAGGATGCTAGCGATGATGGAGTTGAGCGGAAGCGCGAGGCCGAGGAAGCCATCAAAATCACGCTCGAGGGGCTCGTCTTGGATAGTCGTGACGGCAGCTACAGGGCAGCTGACACATCACGAATAGGGAAAAGAAGCAGGAAGGTGGGGACGTACCCAAAGCTTAAAATTCGATGCCGTAGCCACCAATCTGAATTGAGTCCCAGTAGATGGGCCCGCTGACGCTTCCCTTGAGGTATTGGATGGAGAAGGTGGCACCCGTTGAGGTAGCTTTGGAGGGGCCGTAGAAACAAACACTATTGGAGCAAGCGGAGGAGGAGCAAGATCTGGATGCTACCCACTTGGAGCAAACACGTCAGCGCCGGTAGAGTGGGTGAATAAAGCAACATACAAGGTCGGATGAGCCCATGTCAACCTGGAGTGACAGACTTTGATTGTTGGAGCCGATGAGAATCGGGACGGTATACACGCTATAGAGTGCCGATGTGAGCAACCAGTCATTTGCCGAGAACAATACAAAAAAGCCAAGAATAAAATGAAAGAAATGCGACAACACCCGGGTGCGTCGAGATCGATCTCGGATGCTCGGAGACGAGGGCTCAGTTGCCAGCCGCGCCTCAAAACAGGCAAGCAAGATTCAATTAGTTGCATGCATCCACAGAGGAGGCTACCGCTATGTCTCTGCACGGGCAGTGACATGAGATTGAAGATCCGATGAATGGATGGGCACACAGGGATATGAATCCTGTCGGTTGTGAACACAATCAGAAGTGTATGGAGCCATGCATTTGCACAAGCGATGAATGGACGTCACACCGAACGCTTGCGAAGGGACGACGAGAGAGAACAAGAGAGGGAGATGGGGGGAAAAAGGGAAAGTGGATGAAGGAGATGCATGCTTTGTAAAAGCCGAACCAGCAGGGTCGTCACAAGCGTGGAGAGTGCGAGTGCACGCATTTTGGCGCCGACGCTGGTCACGTGGGCAGCGATTTTGTGCACAGAGGAGCCCATCGCGGACGGGGGGCGTGCGCACAGGTATGCTCTCAGGTGCGGTGTGCATGGGGACTGAGGCGTGTAGAAGGCTCTGAGCACACTAGATGTGCACCTGGGTTGCGTGGTTGGAGAGCTAAGGTGGCCTGGGCGAGACTGTGAGTGACGTTGAGCACGTGCGCAAAGGCCAGGCATGTTGCCGCTCAAGAATGTGCACGCGGAAGGCCTCGGCGACACAGGAGAGGAGTGCAGGGTAGACGATGGGGGTGCGTCAGCCGCCGCGTCTCCTCCTTGCCGATCTTCTGCGTCGCACGTCATGCGAGAAGCTCCCCGTCCTATACCGCTCATACAGCAGCCAAGGGTGGATGGGGGCGTGACGCCGGGGGAAGGCAAGGCCGGCCAGTGCGCGAGGATGCGGATGCGGATGTGGCAGCGGCGGCCTGGTCGAGGAGGGCGGCGCGTATGTGAGCGGTGCTCGCCGCGGACATCGACTTGGAGCAGTCCTGCGAGGTCCGGTCGCGGTCGCGGCGGTTGGCACTGGGCATGGTGCGCAAGGACTCGGAGGAGCAGCATGAGGAGGAGGAGGAGGAGGTGGTGGTGGTGGTGGTGATGTGGGTGGTGGTGGTAGTGGTGATGTGGGTGGTGATGGTGGTGATGGTGGACGAGGCGTTGGAGGCAGAGGTGTTGACAAAGGTGGAGGAGGTGGAGGATATGCTAGAATGGTGGGTAGTGTCGAGCTGTAGCGAGCAGGCGAGCGCGACGTCGAGTGGGAGATGCAGGTGAGTTGAGCGTGGGTCCGGGCAACGCATGCAATGCGCGAGGGGATGTGGACAATGTGGGCGAGCCGGCCGGTGGGCTAGTGGGCATGAGATCATGCGAGGAGAGCGGGGAGGGCGGTACAGCGAGCGATGGGATCGAGAGGGCCGGACGGGAGAGCAGATCAGATGGGAGAGCGGGTCGGATGTGGGAGAGGTTGAGCGGACGAGAGGAGGGGGCGGGTAGAGTCGAGGGGTAGATTGTTGAAGGCGACATGGAGAGTTAGATAGAAGGCGGGAGGTGTACGTGTACAGGGGAGGAACTGGAGCTAGTGACAACGTACCTTTGCAGATCTCCTCGTCGACTGTTTCCTTGCCTCTTCTGTGCTCCTCCTTGTGCTCCTCTTCGTTGTCGTGGTTGTCCGCATCGTCGAGCCGTGCAAGTACGCAGGCGCTGGTGGAGCGGGACACCATCGCCATGGAAACCGTGCAGCATGCCAAACGAGACAGTGATAGGCATAGGCGTGGGGTCGAAGGGGCGCGTGTGCAAGGGGCTGAGGGAAGGAGTGAGGAGTTGGTGCGGACCGTTGAGGGATTGAGGGAGTGTGCGTACGTGCGTGCCGTTGAGGAGGTTGAAGGAGGTCGAATCTTGGAGCTAGGTAGCGGGCATGTGTGGCACGAGGGAAGAAAGGTCAAGCGTTGAAGGGGTTATGTGTATGGTCGTCGCCGCTTTATTAGTGGGCACTGGTGGAACCATACTATATGGACTGCCCATGGTTAATGATGGAAGAGGCGAAATGAGATTCGTCAAGGAGAACGAGGGTGTGGTGTCGGAGCGCATCGAGCAGGCTGGCAGGTGTGGTGGAGAACAGGTGAGTGGGCATGGCAGATAGACGAGATGAGGGTGAGGGATACGAATGTCCGGGAGAGGGAGAAACTGGCACGAGAGACGACAACGTACCGGCCTGCTCAACGAGTTTACAACCATCGTGAATGTCCTCGTTGTCCGTTTCAATCCTCTTTCCAGTATGTCTCTCTGCTATAGCCATTCCTTATCCTTGAGGTAGGGTCTGGGTACGATCTGTGGGCAGTCGATAGTTGGGAATTTGAGGGAGTGAAGGTCGAGGGTTTTGAGAGGACGAGTAGGAGGGCAGGAGTGGTGTCGAGGAAACAAGTGTCACCCCTGCAACACTCACAAACCGCCCGTTCCGGTGTGCGTGCACCTCCACCCCCCTAGCCCCTCCTTCTCTACTCCCACCATGCCTTCCTTCCCGTCCATGCCACCGACGACCTCTAACTGCTCGCCGTGGTCCCACCGCGCATTCTCGCACCACAGAAAGGTATAGTATGTAATCGAGGTGATGACACCAAGCTCAATGTACATCAGAACAAGCCCGTGCCCAAAAGTGTACCAGGGCTGGTCACGCATGCGGTACGAATTGGCTAGGCGGGGTAGGAGGATATTAGTCGCAGGCAAAAGCAGGCGCTTGAACCTGAGGGGACAAGGGCAAATGTGGGATCGACAGTCGAGCGGGGCCAGCACTCGAGCACACGAGTGCCCATAGTGTCAAGCAGGAAGTCCGGGTGTGTCGAGTAGGAGTCTGGGCAATGCAGACAATGTGCGGAGGGGACGTGGACGACACAAGCAAGTGGGCATGGTGTCGAGTGGGTCGAGCACAAGAGCGAGCAAGCAAGCAAGCAAGCGGGCTGAGAGGGTCAGGCAAGCGGGTCGAGAGGGTTGGGCGAGCAGGTCGAGAGCAGGACTGAATGAGAAGAAGAGTGGGCGTGATGCCGGGCAGGGGCGGGCAGATAAGTCAAATACAAGAGGTACATGTGCGGGAGAAGAACGGGAGTAAGAGACGACAACATACCTACATCCCTTATGGATAGCCTTGTCATCCGTGCCCACTCTTCTCAGCTCGTCTCTCCGACGCACTTGTTCCTCATCCTCCGTTGCCAGCTGGGTCTCATCCTCCTCGTCGACACTAGAATGGTCGCAATGCTTTGCGTGTAGCACGCGCGCGGAGGTGTCAATGGAGCAGCTTCGCAATTCAGCCCTCAGTGATTGAAGATGTTGAGGGCGCTGTATTACGGGGGTGTCAGGGGTATGGGGATGAATGCGTATGGGATTGATGAGACGAGCAGGAGGGCGCCGGGTAGAGGCTGTGTGAGTACCTAAGGGAACGAGTGTGTGTGGTTGTACGTGACAGGATGCAGGCGAGAACAAACACATGGGGTCAAGGGGACGGGCGACATTTGATGGGATCAGGGCCACCGGGGGCTCTGGGTGGCGAGTGTTTACGATGTCGAGAGTGGGGACATCGACAGCAGAGGAGATGAGCATGAGGGTTCTGGGCGCAAGTGTGTGAGGGTGCTGGGTGGCAGGGTGGCGTGGGCTGAGCGGACGACAGGGTGTGGGGTCAATGGCAGGAACATCGCCATCAAAGGGGTCGAGGGGACTCAGGTCAAACCGAGCACTCGAGATCCGTATGCATCTTCTGCACGTTGCCCATCCGATCCGACAGATGCGACCACTCAATCGAAAGCGCCGCGTTCTCTTCCAATAAGCGGTTCTGCACACCCTATTGACATAGATGCAGTCAGCATATACGCACCCACCCAGACGGTTGATTGATGTCCATCCAATTAAGAACATAGAGGAATAAACAGTAAAAGGCGCAACACACATCTCCCAGATCCGCTTCTCCACGCGCAAGTTTGCGCGCTCATTGACAAGCTGCTCAACCTTTCCGTTCGCACTGATAACGTCCGCGATCGCGCGATTGCACTTGATATCCGCTTGCGCGTACTTATCGTGCAGCTCCTACAGCCAGACACTCATCCCGCAAGTCCTCCGCCTGGTTTGCATACTGCTCCAGCGCCATCTTGTGACGCTCTACAGCGACCATGTATAAATAAAACGATGAGCACGGTCGACGACACACACGCGGATGAGACACAACGCACCCACCGTGTACTCGATCTTTGGGTTAGCCTTGGCGAGCAACGCCCCGAGCTGCCCGTTCTCCCACTGCAACTTCACGAGCTCATTGCGCACCCGCACGCTGTCGACCCCCATCTCCATCTTATATGTATCGAACTAGCTCTAGATCTCCGCCAGCTCCAACTCTGGTACGACCTCCTGCAGCTCCGACGTGACGCTCTCCGCTGCGCCATTCACACCCCTACTCCCAATCCAGCTCCCAGTTCCGTTGACATACGGTTCCGCACTGGCGCCGTCCCTGGTGCGCGCGAGCATGCTCTTCGAGGTGTCACGCTCCTTTGTGTATGCCTGCATCGCCCCTTTGTGGCTCATGCGCTAGCTCTCCAGCTGCCTCTGCAGCTTGCGGATTGCCGCCAACATGGGCGAAGATTTGGCATGTGGGGTAATGAAGGCAGCGGGAGCAGCAGCAGGGACGGGTGATGGGGACGGATGGGTGAGGATCTATAGATGGCCGGGGGTTCGGCCATCGCACGGACAACGGCGGGGTGTGTGCCGAGCTCGCTGTCGAACACGCCGAGCTCACCACGTCTGACAGAGGCACGGATGCGTCGTAGACAGCGTCAAGCAGCTGCAAGGCGCCGCCGGCCATTGCGCACACCATCATCCATGACATTAGGCCCCCCCAGGCCCCAAGCATGTGCAACTGCACGTGTGCAATCATACATAAGACCTGTCCGCTGCCCCCCGCCGCATTTGTCCAAGTGACGGATGGATTACACACCAAATGCACGTAAGGGGACAATGAGAGGGGACGAAAGAGACTCAGATGGAAAGAAGAAAAAAAGGGGGCACAGGTAAAGGGGAAATGGGCAAAGGAGACGCACACTTTGTAGAAGCCACCGCCGATCATTTTGAGGGCAAGGATGCAGCCCTGCAATCCGGCAGGATTGTAGCGAGCGTGCAGAGCGCGAGTGGGCATATTTTAGCGCCGGCACTGGTTGCATGGGCGGCAATTTTGTGCGCGGAGGAGCCCGTCGCGGACGGGGAGTGGGCGCGGGGGTCTGCTCTCAGGTGCGGCGCGCATGAGGACTTGGGCATGCAGAATGCTCCGAGCGCACTAAACGCATGCGACGAGGCGACCCCATTGCATGTTGTCGGATGAATTCGATGGGTATATGATCAGGACTTCAATTATGTGCTCCTAGCTTGCGTGCTTGAACAGCCGATGTGACCTGTGCGAGACTAGGGGTATCGTCGAGGTCAGTGATGGTGGACCAGGCGGGAGGTGGGGGAGGAGCTAAGGTAGTTGGACAGCTGGGCTGTCAGTAGACTGATATCAAGGGGCTAGCTGTGGCTCTTGCTCTGCCGCCAGCCAGTTAGACTTGATCAAGAGCGGGATGGTTGACAAAAGAGAGGTCGAGCGTGCACGGGGTGGAGTGTGAGGCCTCGGCGATGAGGTAGGACGATGGAGGAGTGAATGAGGGTCGACAAGAGGAGGGGCCGAGAGATTGTGCGTGCATGAGGGGCTGGAAGAGATGTGTGGACGCAGATGTTGGTCGCAGGCGAAGATAAATGCATGGGCCCAAGTGGTCGAGGGGGTTAAAGGCACTTGGCGGCAGGCGGGTGTGTGCTAGAGGAGACGGGTGTGGGATCGACAGGACGCATGTGGGTGGATGTGGATTGCAGGCAAAGGCGGGTGCGTGGCATTGAGGGGTCGCATATGCACGCATCAGAGGTGGGATTGACTATCAAGGAGGTCGAGTGAGTGAGCGGGCATGGCATTGAGGAGGCTGCAGAGACTGCAAGCAAAGGGCGGGCCGAAAGGACGAGATCGGGTTGTACGGACCTTGATAATGCTCTGCCTTCGTCTTCCTAGCTCATCTCTCTGCTGCCTCACCCTCCTTGTCGACGCACTGAAGCGCGCGTGGCATTCTCTTCATGATAATTTATGCGCGGGCGCGGAGCACAAGTGCGGCGAGAGCGGGGCAGCGTGGAGGTTCTAGGCGACGCACGAGCGTGGGCTGGAGGCGATAAGCGGAAGGGTACTGAGTGGTGCAGATGTGTAGCGTGGAGAGGAAGACATGCGTGCGCACATGGACTCGAAGGCAGGAGCGTGAATGTCAACATCAACGGTGTAGAGAATCGAGGGTACTAAGTAGGCGGCGGGCGTGGGCTCGAGGAGATGGGTGTGGGCTCGAGGGGACAAGGGAACATACACATGTGGCTTCGGATCGCAGGTGCAGGCGGGTGCGTGCACTGAGGGGGGACGGGGGCGAGGAGGGGCGAGGCGTGGCGAGGCTCATGGTGGAACGATAGGGCGGGCAAGAGTGGCATTGAGCATGCACAGGGTCTTGGCGGTGACATGGTCTGGGACGTCTGGACGAGCGACTCAGGTGAGGAAAACTTCGACTTCAACATGGAGATGGTGCGTTGCGCGGCAGCCTATCGGGCGTGGAGCTTGCGCGAGGGCTCCAGCAGAGATTCGAGCCAGGAAGCAATAGCATTAATACGCTCCTCAGACATGGAAAGCATTAAAGGCTGAACTGCTTAGAGTTGAACAGCCTGGAATTCTGACGCATGTATACATCGTTAACCTCCTCACTAATTCTCATGTCTGCTTAGCAACGCAAAGAGAACTAAGCCACAGTCTGAGTGCTCAGCACATTTAGTGGAACATCAGGCGAGTTTGCTAGTGCAGTTGCACGGGATCCACATGTGCATGCAGCCACTCATCCAGAGTGTGACGTCTGCGTCGCGCTCGAGCATCCAGCTTGTCACTAGGCACTGCGCAGTCGGTTATGCGACTGGAAAAGGGCAGAGGATGGCGGCGGGGGCATGATCACGGGCAGAGACAACTCGCTGTATTACTGCGAGGATGCGGATATGCTGAGCAGCCAAAAGAACTTAGCATTGGAGCGGTCGTTCGACAGCGGCACTGGACTTGCGAGGTGTGCAGTCAGCAGTAGGCCGACAGCGAGCGTGGCTTCCAGATGGACGACGAGAAGACAGATGGAGAGATGAGCGTGGGCATAGAGATGGGGATAGGGATGGGAATGACAGGAAACACGCTTCCGAGCTCGACGTCGAAAATGCTGCCACGCGGAGTCACACCTGTCCAAGGTTGCGTCGTGGGAGTGTTGCACATGGCCTGGACCTCACTAAGCTTGTTCATGTGGTTGCTGAGCTCGCGCAGGATGTCGTTCCCCTGCTGCACCGACGCGGGCGGGAGGTTGTTGTGGCAGACAGCGACGATACTGGACACAATCTTGATGATCTGTGTGAGGTTCTCGTTGAGCGTTGGCGAAGGCGTCAGGGAGCAGCCACCGGACAGAACACTCTAGATGGCGTAGACGCTCGAAACAGTCTGCGCCTTGAGGTAGGGCTGCGAAAAAGCGTGAGTGCGGGGGTGAACGACGCACGATACGAATATTACCTTGAGCTCCATCCAGGCGTCCTCGGAGCCCTCTGCGACCTCCGAGTCGTTGCTGAGCACGCCCGTTGTGCTCCCCGTGGGCACCTAACCAAAAATCGGTGGCGGCAAGCGGCCTGCGGAGCTCGAGCGCTCCGACGACGCTTTGCGGAAGCGGCCGTCGCCCGACGAGCGCCCTGAGAACGGCAGACGCCTCAATGGCGACTCGGCCGAGTAGGGCAGCTGCTAGCGGAGCAGATTGGGCTGCAGCGGGTAGTGGGCCTCCTCTGGATGGTCCACGCGCCTGTTCGAGGCCAACGACAAGCTCGTGCGCTGCACAGGCGCCGCCGGCTTTGCCTCCTCGACCGAGTACAGGGTGGGCGAAAACTCGTTTGATGCTGATGCCGGGGTGGGCGTGTACTGCTCTAGCTCCTGTTTGGTCGCCCTGCGGATGGACACCACGTGCCCGATCTCAGTTACCACAGCCGAGATGTGGCTCGCGGCGTGCGCCCCCAATCAACTAACTACCCTCCAAAAATGAACCACACAATGCATGTCGTCGCATGAGCACCTATCACGAGCACAAAGGGCTGCGAACGTACCTTCAAGAGGAACCGCTGCCCCGCACATCGCGCACATCTGCTCCCGCACCTCTCAACAGTTCATGTAGACCAACCAACACAGGCGGAACCCATATGCCCACATCGGCTCTCACGCGGGCACGCGACCGCAACTTCGGACTGTGCGATGACGGCCCCCAGGACGGAGAAGATCGAGAGATTGAGAGCGTGCCCATGGAGGCTGTATAAGCGGCGAAGAGGGTGTCCGCGCTGGCAGTGCTAGGGTAGGCAGTCAAGGACTTGGTGATAATGTTGATAAGGTAGAGGCGGCAGGATCATACTTGGACAGAAAGATGCCGTGCGACTGGGGAGTGATGGTGGATGCGTTGAAGTGGTGTTTGAAGGCGGGTGTCGAAGAGTAAGAGAGCAAGATAGACCGCAAAAAGGAACGCGAGGAGAGGAGGGGTGGGGGGCTGGGTGGATTGGGACGCCGGCTCGTAGTTGTCGACAAGGGCCCCTGTGGTTTGCAGATCGTCAAGTGGGATGGATGGCGGACGAAGACGGAGACTTACCGGTGGCGGGAATGTCAACAAGGTCCTCCATGCCGCCCGCGTAACCTCTGTCTCGTCCATGTCGCTCACGTCAGTCTCACGTCACCCTCGTGTTGTCTACCCAACCTCGTCTGTGTCGTCCGCGTGACTTCTATTACCTATCTGCTCTGTCAGACAATGTCTTGCCATGAAGGCCTTTGGTAAAGTCAAAGGGCAGCGTGACAGGCAGGAAAGAACAGACTTAGGCCGGCAGCGGCGCCGCGCCTAGGGCAGCCCGTCACGCAATTTGGGTCTGTGTTGCGCGACGGGCTGCCCTAGGCGCGGCGCCGCTGCTTCTGCATGTATGTCGAGCTTGTCCATTTCAGCAGTGGTCATTTGTGCTGATCACACAGGCCACATCGCGATCAGTTTTTGTGTTCACACATACGAATAATACACTTGAAAACTACAACAAAGGCTATACATGTTACTGAGTGTCGAAAAAGACATCAGCGGTCAACGCTGCCTACTAGCTAACTTGTAATCACACAGAAATCTGTCGCCTTTCCAGTAACCAGACGAAAAGGCGCAGCATGTTGTTAAACCCCGTTTTGGGAGGAATGTCCATATCACGTGGAGCCTCGAGGAGCCAGTCTTGAAAGGCATTCAAGGAACCTAAGCATTCGGGAATGACGAATTCACAATCAGTGAGTTTGAAGTCGGTTGGTGGGTAAGTCCATAGGACATAAATTGCGGCTTTGATAAGATTCGCATCCGGGCAGACCATGTCTTTTTTAACATACGAGTGCCAGCCACCTGTGCTTTTCTAAATAGCTGTGAGAGGGTTGAATGCACGAGACAGGGAGGAACTTACTTGGGGTACACAGCATTTATAACACCAACCTTCAGAGAGCCTGAGTGCATTGGCTTGCCATTGCTGCCAATCCGAGTCACCAAGGGAGCATACACCATGTTTGCAACGTGTCATGGAATGTTCCTGCCAGTCTTCTACGCCTCGTACAAAGCAAGCAATATGGGTGTCCCGAAGTGTATTGAAGGCCGCTGCTATAGTGTCAGCAAGGTCTCGGTACCTCTGTTCCTGCTCTTCCCTTTTTTGTCCAGTGGTCATCAAAACTTGGATCCCTGTAGGTGTAAGCGGAGTGGGTGCGAATGACGTGATTTTTGGATGAAATGGCACTGAGCGAGTGTTAGGAGGAGAGGACGACGGTATCAGTGTTAGGGGTGGTGGAGCTGCCATGTGACCAGAATGAGGCACTGGCACTGTTTGCATAATGCGAGGCAGCTCCGTCTGCATGGACAAGAGCGAGTTTAATGGGTTGGATACTAGTGGTATGTTGCTGGGCTGGCCAACAAGACCGTGGAATGTCAAGGATGATGAGCTTATAGGCGCTGCGTCGACCACTAAGAATGGGGGTCAATAGAAGGGCCTTGCAATTGTCGCATAACTGTGCTCCAGGAATTCCTGTGCAGGGATCTGCCACACCGTCAATAAAATAACCTGGGATCAGTCACTGACATACTATGTCCTTGGCCCACGGAAGGAGAATGCCAGTGCCAAAATCACAAGTTTTTCAATCGGGTAGAGCTCCGCGTGAGGAATCAACAAAAGTGACGGCATTGGCGGGCTTGCCATCGCGGCTGGCGCAGTTTTCTTGTTGGTGCTTGTCGAGGGCAGTATAAGGAAGATCAAAGTGGATGACATCCCTTACGCATGGGAGATCAACACCGCAACCTAGAATGCTCGTACACACCATGATTTTTTGTGACCCTTCAACCCACTTGCAAAATACAGTATTGTTAGCATCACGCAACTCTTTCTCAGACTCGGCAAAGAATGCCAGCACACCGAGGGCGCTAGCGACTTTCTGAGTGTTGGCCTTGGAGTGACAGAATACCATGGCTCGGTCATCTATGTGGTAAGACGTCGTACGTTCTTCGACATAGCGTATGAGTTCCGAGAAGACCTGGTCTTTGGGTAGTAAATATACAGCATAAGCGAGTTCCGGGTGGGCTGTCGGCATGCGAATGATGTCGAGGTATTCGAGACCGGTGAACTCCCAAAAGGCAGCTTCAAGCGTTGGAGGAAGACAGCCACAGAAGAAAGTGAAAGGACACGGTAGGTATTGTAAAAGGATCTTGACATGGTGAAAAACATCCCGATAATTGACATCGGTGAGGACTTTGTATGCTTCATCAAAAACGACGCGCGCGAGCTGCTTTTGGTTGATGAGGTCCTTTCAGTAACTAACCACACATATGAGTTTGCGACGAAGGAATTAAATAGAATGACTCACATAATGAAGGAGGGGAAGCTTGCGTGCTCAATGCTCATATAAACAACACTGACGTTGGGGTTAAAGTGACCGTCTGGGAGCCATTCGGAGTAACTGACGGAATGTTGATCTGCTCGTCGGCGTGGAGGCCGGATAAAGGTAGGAGGAGGATGGTGACCTTATTGTAGTCATATATCTTGGCCTGGAACAAAAGCATGAAAGTCTTGCCAATTCCGCATGGAAGAATCGCAAGGAGATGATTCTGCCGTGATTGCATCTTTTCGACAAGTTCTGCTTGCTCAGAATGGCAAAACGAGGCATTTGGATCACCAAGGAAGATTTGGAGGTCACGTATATGCTGCGGATGGACGAGAACCATGGATCTTTGCCTCAGGGCATCAGAAGGTTGCAGAGGCGGAGGCAGAGGAAAGTACCGATTTGTGAGGTCTGTCATGATATTCGTTAGGGTCGCAGACATGAAAGTTTCTTGCTGCAGGCGGCTTGCGGCCGCGATAGAGTTGCAAAAGTGTGTGAGGTAAGTGCTGGCAGGAATCACTGCGTGCACCGCACGGTTTTTCCCAGGATAAACTGTGGATAAAACCGTGGATATAAATAAAGTTTTTGCTCGGGTTTATCCACGGGAATTACCGAAACAAAAACTTAAAGCTTATCCAAGGTTTTGTCCTGGGACAAAACTGTAACATAACGTTAAGTTTAAGCTCAGACATGTTGCTTAAGTTTGTCCTAGAGTAAATCCCGGGATAAAACTCTGGATAATCTTTAAATCTTATGTCACAGGATTTATGTCACACATGAAAAATTGCAAATAATACCATCAAAATCAGTAATTAATTCAGTGTTCATTACACAGCTCGTTGGGCACTGCCTAGCACCAAATGTTAGATAGCCGTTTTATCCACAACATCTCTTGACCAACATCAACAAACATGGCCTTCTGCAAAGGCCACCTTGCTATAAAGAGTTTCTTAAAAAAAACAATGTGTAATTGTAAATACAAAGCAAAGCAGCATGGACAAAACTGGAAAAGTGATAAACAAAAATCATACTAGCAATGACAAATCATCAAGGCAATTCAAGGGCTAGCTTATAACAAAATTCATCATAATAGTATCTAGTCTTAGAAAAATAGGGATTGTTAGTATTGAATTAAAAAATCAAAGAAAAAAATAGTAAGCTGTGCATATTGTCTGATCCTCTAATCTATTAACCATTGGAATAATTGTCTCTTGTAACAAGTGACAGATACTGCTACAAACCACTGTTGCACCTCAAGCCAAGTGTCCAACACTGACAAACCACTGTTGCACCCCATGACAAGTATCCAATGCTATGACAAACCACTGTTGCACCCCATGATAAGTGTCTAATGCTGTGACAAACCACTGTCGCACCCTGCGCCAAGTGTCTAACACTATGACAAACCACTATCGCACCCCATGACAAGTGTCCAATACTTGGCATAGAGTGCAACAGTGTTTGTCACAGCGTTGGACACTTGTCATGGGGTACAACAGTGGTTTGTCAGTGTTGGACACTTGGCTTGAGGTGCAACAGTGGTTTGTAGCAGTATCTGTCACTTGTTACAAGAGACAATTATTCCAATGGTTAATAGATTAGAGGATCAGACAATATGCACAGCTTACTATTTTTTTCTTTGATTTTTTAATTCAATACTAACAATCCCTATTTTTCTAAGACTAGATACTATTATGATGAATTTTGTTATAAGCTAGCCCTTGAATTGCCTTGATGATTTGTCATTGCTAGTATGATTTTTGTTTATCACTTTTCCAGTTTTGTCCATGCTGCTTTGCTTTGTATTTACAATTACACATTGTTTTTTTTTTAAGAAACTCTTTATAGCAAGGTGGCCTTTGCAGAAGGCCATGTTTGTTGATGTTGGTCAAGAGATGTTGTGGATAAAACGGCTATCTAATATTTGGTGCCAGGCAGTGCCCAAAGAGCTGTGTAATGAACACTGAATTAATTACTGATTTTGATGGTATTATTTGCAATTTTTCATGTGTGACATAAATCCTGTGACATAAGATTTAAAGATTATCCAGAGTTTTATCCCGGGATTTACTCTAGGACAAACTTAAGCAACATGTCTGAGCTTAAACTTAACGTTATGTTACAGTTTTGTCCCAGGACAAAACCTTGGATAAGCTTTAAGTTTTTGTTTCGGTAATTCCCGTGGATAAACCCGAGCAAAAACTTTATTTATATCCACGGTTTTATCCATGGTTTATCCTGGGAAAAACTGTGCGGTGCATGCAGTGAATAGTGAAAGATGAATTGGGGGCCATCATGGCTGAATTAGGAACAAGAGATTCGGATGGAGCCATTTTGTTTACTAACACAGGACCCCTGAAAATAGGTGGGGAGGGCATAGGCAAAATTTTGTAAAATGCCCAAAAGGTTTGGACAAAATTACCAAATTCCGCCAAAAAAAGTTTGGCTTTGCCTAAGGTTTTGGGTTTATTTTCCCCAATGTGGCCGGATGTGAGAATCAGGCATTCTGAGGGCTCAACATTGGTCAGATGCTAAGATCAGGCCTTCAAAACCCAAATTTTCACTCAGATTACTAGAATTAGGCCTTTTGAGGCCAGTATTTTGTTATAATATACATGAAAAAGACCTATTGAAGCTGTAACATGCAAGTACAATGTGAGATACCATTTATAAACCATCCTACAAGCCTTTGTTGTCAGCCACATCATCTTGATCTCGTGCCGAGTGCTTTCCTCCGCGTCTCAGCTTCTGCAAATCCTGCACAGCAATACCAAGACTCCAGAGATGCTTGTTCAGATTATTTTAAGCAGTGAAAGTGATGTCATCAAGCTGGAGGTGGCAGTTGTCGGAGTCCGAGACTAAGCTGCCTGGCATTAAACACAAAAATGAGTCTAGTGTAAGATGCTCATATGTGAAGGCCTGGAATAAATCCAATTGCGTGTGAACTACCTAGAAGGTCACTAAATAGGATTGCTTGTAAGGCTGCATGGATAGATATAAGATAACACCAATATTGGTGACAGTCTTTGCAGATCACTGTAGAGTATTATTGACATGGTAATGGGAGCTGACAAATCAGAATGCTGTACTATACTACAGAATGCTTGTACTATACTACTGAGGACTTAAGGAGTCTGGCTAGTCAAGGATGGCAGGTTGTAAAGAACTTGATGGGAGAAAATCAAACAAGAGGGATGCACTCGAGATGAATACCAAGAAGTACTTATTTCATGTAAGAAGCTGTAAGAATGAGGTGCTGAAAAGTGATGCAATCAGCACATGTGCCTTCAAAGGCCTTCGAAGACCCAGAGTTAAACTCCACATCCTAAGATTCTGTTACCCCACTGCCAGCAACTTCTACCACTAAGCTACAGACAAACTTTCTGGTTGGACTCAAAATTAGGCCTTGACTAATATTGACCCCTAACGTCTGGACAGCCCCTCAGGCCTACCTCCACAGATGGGCACTTTTGTCCAGACTCAACTGAGCTTTTTGCCCTTTTTTCCCAAATTTTTTTTTGGATGGGGGTTATGCCCTCTCCACCTATTTTCAGGGGTCCTGATTAATGGAATCACTTCTCATAAAGCACCACGCCCCGATCAGGGCCCCTCGCTAGCACTAGTGTTGTCCGCTACCTTGCCTTGTCTGCCATCTGTTTGTGTTCATCTTTTGCTTTGTCCTCTCTTGATACATATACCTCATGAGCGCAAAGGCAGTTTCTCATTCCAAACTTACTGCCACACTCGCAGGTAGGTTTTCACTTTCCTAGTACCCACATTCCAAACTCACTGCCGTGCTCGCAGCATGCACTATGTACATCTAGTTTTTTGCCCCACCCACCATTCCTCTCCACTTAGGCCTCTCTACACCACACTAGTCTAGTCTTCTGTATCTACATAAGCCCTCCTAGAGTTGGCTTGAGGTCGGCCCCAGGACCTAGTTCCAAGGCTTGCCTTGAGTTCTCAGGGGCCACAAATGTCATACATCTGTCATGCCTGTTGAGCCCGGAGAATTTCACTTCCTTTCTCAATTTAGTCGCTTCTTTCTCGATTTAGATAACACTTCTTCCTTTGTCACTCAGTCACATTGACTATAGTTGTGCTTATGGCCCTAGTGTTTGTAGGTGTTCCTACATGAGACAAATAAACAAGCGTTGCATATCTCGGAAAGGTGTCGGCATGGGTAGATGTGCAAACAGTTAATGCCTGCATGCTCAAGTAATGAGACAAATGGCATGTCTAGGCGCATAATAACATGCCGGGGTTAAAAAATTGAGCAGTCATGCAAATCAAACATGATCAGAAACGTCTTCATACTGGACAATGACATGGAAGAAAATTTAGCAAAAATGGGCTTGATCCGAAAACATCTCTGAGAAAATCGGAGATACTAACCCTGGGTCCAAAAGGCTAGACCACCGGAAGCAAGTCGCCGAGAGGGTGTATGACCGCAAAAATCAAACTGAGTATTTTGTTCCTCATTACGCCACGCTTGAAAAAAGAGCAGTGCTGGGCTTATGTCGTCTCGCAGTAGACCTGCATCAGGCCGTAACCGAGCGATAGGTGTTGGACAAACTTTGTGAGATTCTGATCTGCACAAAGCATTGACTGAGCCTGCATATATTCTATAGCAAGCGAGCACTGGATTATAGTGAGAAGCATTTGCAGGTACAATGGATTAGCCCATTCTGCTATGAGACACAGCAAGAAAGAAGTGGTCGAGGGTATTTGAGCATACAAGAAGTGTGATGCTAGCTGAGAAGGCCTTACATGATTCACGAATACCAATGAGCATAGTCAGAATATATCATTTTCACTCACCAACCTGTAAGTCGGTCGTTCCATTGCTACTATGACACATGCCGAAGTTATCGAGATATGCATCTAATGAGTGATCAAGTGATTAATACTGTAGAGGAAGTTGAACCTACTGATGAGCACATTTGAGAGCAAGGAGTACTATCACTGGCCCTATGTTTGGACAGTACCGATGTTCGGACAGTCTATGTTTCTCGCTCATTGCTCAACATATCAACCTCAATATTTTGACCATAAATCATGTTAAATAGTGTAGACTTGGTTTCTGAAACTTTGAGATTTTTTAAAGGTGATTTACGTTCCTAAATGTTGAAAATGTGCCTTTGCAAGCCCAATGTCATGCCTTGGATGAGTCGGAGCACGTGAGGAAGGATCCTGATGATCCAATTTTTTTTATGTAGTCTAGTGTAGCCCATATATATTGGTTCCGGTATGTGAAGAAAATGCACGGTATGTTGTTGCACTCGTATGAAAATACAAGGTATCAAGCATGACATTCAGACACGGAGCATCGAAGAAGGGGAGTGCAAATTCATTCTCCGCACATAGTTCTACCAGCAACAAGTCGTGTCCGAACATTGTCCCCAATGTCTCCCCTCCTCAACCGTGCCACAGACTATACTGAACCTACAGCCTCCTAAGTCACAAACTTCCCCCCACTTCTATGTTTACCCAAGGTGACACCCTTGTCTCACAACTGTTCTCCACACCAACCCTGCAGGGTGGCAACAAGCATAAACCTCAAATCTAGCACACTGAAGAGCAACCCCAAGTAGCCATCAAAGAACTAGGAAATGACAGCCTTAGCCTTTGCAAGGCTGGGAAGAAACATGATGTCCCTCCTTGAATCCATGATCATGTGTGCACTGTGATCCTCGTCCGAACACAGGTGCAAGTGTCGGAGTCTAAAATTAGAGGCGGCCGCTTCGGCTGTGCGATGCGGATTCGTGACCCGGTGTGACCAGACTGTCCGAACAACGGTCTCTTTTTTTTTTTTTTTTTTAAATCAACGTATTTGTATCCCGCGCGGCGTAAGGCCAGTGGCGGCAGTTAATAAAGGGGGAAGGTATAAGCAACGTGTGTCGGAGCGTGTAAAGGGTTCAATTAAGACCCGGAATGTCAGCCTCGCAGGCGCGGGCAGTGAAGATGGAAGGGGGGAAAGTGGACATATTGGTGTCTAGGGCAGGAGGTCCTCCGCATTGCGAGGGGCATCTTCGAAGGTGAATGCAGACGGGTTGTCGCGTAGGAATTGTATGAGCCCTCTAAGAGGGTTCCTGCTTGTAAGGTACTTAGCTACTGTGAAATCGGGGGGACGCTGATAGTGCGTGCACCAGAAGAGGATGTGGGTCCGGGTTTGTGTTTCTCGGCACCAGTTGCATGTAGTCGTCTCATAGGGGAAGAATTTTGTACGATATTCGCCTGTGGGGCCGTGATTTAGGATAAGACGTGCAGCGCGTGCTGCTAGTGAGTTGGAACCACCGACCATTAGGAGGAGTTGGCTTTTGGTGGACGAGACTTTGCGGAAAGCTCGTTGTCTAGGAAAATCTCGACCACTGTACTTTGTCGAAGTCATAAGTAATTGCCAAGAAGCAAGTAAGGACGTGTAGGCTTTCTGTTTAAGGAAGGATGCGGATGTGAATGCGGGATGATTGCCTTTAAGAGCAGATTTGGCTAAGGCGTCAGCTTCCTCCTGATGCGGGATGCCACTGTGGCCTGGACACCATGCAATTGTCAGATGTCTCTCGGGTGATGCAGAGAACCATGTCCTAAGTCGCTGGCACGCTAGAAGCGAGCACATCTGCGACGGGTGTACTGTTGGGTTTAGAAGGGACTTGAGAGCGGCTTCATTGTCCGCATATAGTACGATCTCGGTGGTGTGCGGAGTGATGGTTGCGTGGTGTAGGGCTATAGTGAGGCCCATTATTTCGGCATCGAAGGCTGTTGTGTGTCCGCAAGCTAGTTTGCGGATGATAGGGTGAGCATTGTTTGGGGGAAAGATGAGGCTGGCGCATCCTGCATGCTTGCCGTTGTGAGGGGAATATGAGCCATCGGAGAAGCAGACTGTTGTGTGCGGGGAGTTGAACTCCGCCGCCATCTGTCGCTTGAGATCTTGCACCCAGGTAGGGAACTCTTGGGCAGCTTTGGATGGGTGGGATATTCTGAAGGATATGCGGTCCGCGAACCTGTCAAGGATGCGGTGGCCAGGGCGAGCCTCTGGGTGAAGAGGAGCGAAGGATTCTGTGTTGGTGGGGATCATGCTGTTGATAAGGCTGATGGGGAGGTTGGTGCTTGTGCATGGGCGACGCAGTGGGAAGGGGATGTGCGGAGAGTGCTCATGGTGGAGTTGGGGATATAGAGCGGCGTTAATGGGATGTTGGGATGGGAGGCGAAGTGTGCGTACCGCTGCACGCTGTATTAGTTTTTTGATATGTAGGTGGAGGGGGGGTATGCCGGAGAGCACTTCCATGCCTCCGATGGGGGATGTGCGAAACGCTGAAAGAATCCAACGTACTCCCTCGTGCTGTGCCTTTGACAGGATGTTCATTAGTCCTTTGACGCCATGTTTCCGCCACCAGACGCGGCAACCATATGTGAGTAGTGGGACAACGCAGGACTTGTAGAGTGTGCGTCGCTGTAGGGGTGAGAGGCCTCTGAGTGAGTTGCCAAGGCGGAGAGCGCACTTCACTGTGCTCAGGGCTCGTGTCGCATAGAAGCGTACATGCTCTTTGAAGGATAGCCGGGGGTCAAAGATGAACCCCAAATATCGCCATGTTGTTGAGGGTTCGATAGTGCGTCCAGCAAGGGTTATTGTTGGTAGCTGCGAGGTGTTGCCTCTGCGGGGAAAGTGCATAAGTTCAGTTTTATCATGTTCAATGGTTAGACCAATGCGGGCGAGGGACTCAGCGAGTGCTTGGTATTTATTGGCAAGAACTGCGCAATTGTGGGCTAGTGACACGGACGATGTGACCAGTAGTCCGTCGTCTACGTAAAAGAGAAGGGAGTCCCAGTCATCTCTTTGTCCGACTGGGTCTATTAGATGTAGTATCGCAGCTAAATAGAGGCCAGATAAAGCAGGAGAGAGGGCAGAGCCTTGGCCCACGCCAACGTCAACGGTAAAAGGGTCTGAGACCGCGCCGTTCCATGAGAGGGCCGTTCGGCGGTCTGGGAGGAATGACCTGAAGAAGTTCAGGTATGTGGATGAGAAGCCCTGTTTCTGTAAGAGGGCGATGAGCATGCTGTGGTTGATTGAAGGGAAGAATTGGGCAATGTCGAGAGCTATGCATGAGGTATGCAGGCCTAGGCGCCAACCAGTGCGAATGTGTTGCGTGAGCATGACACCTGCGTCTTCAGTGCAGTGGAAGCGTGTGCCGCCGAACTGGTTTGGGTGGAAGATGTTGTGTTTGGCTCCTTCAAACTGGAGACGGTTAGCGAGCACTTTTTCCATGAGTTTTCCTAAGCATGAAAGCAGTACTATAGGTCTGTATGATTTGAGTAGCGTGTAGTCTGATTTCTTGGGTTTTGGAATGACGATTGTGGTGGAGGTTTTGAATTGCGAGGGCCAGTAGCCCAGGCGGAGGCAAGCATTGTATAGCGCAAGGAGGACAGTGCCTGATTCTGCGGTCGTGATGAGCAGTTGGACTAGGGGCCACGTAATGTGGTCGGGCCCTGGCGTTGAGGATGCGGAGCATGTTGCTATGGCGTCTCGGCATTCTTGTAGAGAGATCGGAGGGCAGTCACGTTCTGGGCGCTCGGGGAGCATCTCTATGAACGTCAAGTCTATCTGTCGATTCATAGCGGAATAGAATTGGTTCTGGAGCCCTGTGAAGAGTTCAGTTGTTGATGTGAGGGGTGCGCCGTTATGAACGAGATTGTGGTATAGCGGAAGAGGGCGTGGGCGGGTCCATGCCATGAGGTCCCATACACGTTTCTTGTCTGCTGTTTCACGGATGATTGTGTCGTAGTGTTGACGCTGCGCGGAGCGGATTGTGCGGCGGTAGGAACGTTTGTCGTCTGGTGATCTTGTAGCACGGTATCGAGCGAGGGTTGCGGAGCATTCCTCAGTCCACCATGTTTTGGCATGGTAGCTGCAAGATGGGGTGGATGCGTGGCGGTCGAAGGCCTGTGCAATACAAGAAAAAATTGAGTCACATAGTGCTTGTGTATCATTGATGGTATCGAGAGGTGGTGGCGGGTAGAGGCCGGAGATCTCCAGTGTGCACTCTGCAAAGAACATTTTCTCAGCGTCAGAGTTTCTCTTGATGCGGGGAGATCTCGGGGTAGGTTCGATGTCAGTTTCGATGGTAAGGAGAAGGGGGTTGTGATCAGACAGTAGGCGTCCTGAAGGGTCTATCGAGAAGGAGGTGGATGGTGATGTAGCGATGCGACCATCTACAAAGATGAGGTCAATGACTGTGGAGGCACGCACTGAGTGCCTTGCGTGGGGAATGTGCGTAGGATGGCCCTCGGTGTTGAGTAAGATGAGGCCTAAATTGTCCGTGAAATCTAGGAGATCTGTGACAGCGCGGTCGCTGTGTCCGCAGTTTGGGTCCCAGATGTTGCTATGGAGGTTGAAGTCCCCCATCATGACGTCGATGGTTGGGAGGGAGGGCAGGTGCGCGCTCAGATAATGTAGAGCCGAGCAGTCTCCGTCGTTGTAAATGTTCAATATATATGTGAGTCGAGGACCTTGTGGAATGGCGACGAGAAGAAGGTCGGGGTGGTTGACTATGTGGGAGCATAGTTTGGGTTGTGTAGGTGCTAAGCGCTTGTTGATGTATGTGACTACTCTAGTGGGCCCCCCGCGTTCGAAGAGGGTCCAGTGGGGGTGTGTTTGAGTGCCCTGGTACTCCTCACCAGCCCCGGACACAGAAGATGGTATGTTTCTTAAGTAGCCCCAATAAGGCTCCTGCAGTAGTATGACGTCGTACTTCTCTGCTTGGGTTTCAAGCAGAGTGTGGGTGACGACTGACGAGCGGTTAACATTCTGGCACAGGATGCGTAGTAACATGAAGTACTACGTTAATACGGGCGAGACGCGCCGGCGCTGGCCTGGCTGCGATGGGCAACATGGGCACGCGCAGGGGTGGGCTGCGGGCCGGGGAAATCAGCGGGTGAGGCGCTGTTGTTTATGACGAAACGTACTCGGCGATTCCTCGAAGGGCCATAGGGTCTGACTGGGCCAATGTGCGTGTCGCGCCGGCTGTCGCTGGGGCTTGGCGGCCTTGTGGTCGGGGCGCGTGGCTGGTGCTGGTTGATCCATTCCCGGCTGTGGCGGTGTTCATAGAATGGGCAAGCGCGGTCGTTGGCCTTGTGGGCAGCTCCACAGTTGACGCAGGTGGGAGGGTGGGGGCACGGCGCGTCGCCTGGCGTGGGGTTGGTCCCATGGCAACAGGCGGCCCATTGGCGGTGGTCTTGTTCCAAATGATTGCCACCACAGTGGTTGCAGCGGTAGGTCTTGGAGTGGCAGATCGGGCTGGCATGGCCCCAGCGCAGGCAATGGGAACACTGAGGAACAGTGTCACGCTTGTGATACTTGACCGGATACACCGCCTCCCCTTGTAGGAGCGCCGGTTCACGGATGACCTGGCGTAGAGTGGACAGCGCCCCGTTGTCGTGGAAATCCACGTACAGGGTGCCAACGTGGGTGTCTTTGTCTGGGACGAGGCGAGGGGGGCGTGGTATACGAACCTCCTGCCATGCTACGGAGGCTTTGAGCTCTTGTGTGTACTCCTCAGCTGTGATAGGGGAGCCGTCTGGGTAAGTAAGGGCGAGGCGGTGGAACATTACGGTGGAGATGATGTGCCTTTTGTCGACAGAGTAGGTCGATGGCGGGATGTTGGGGAACAGGGCGCCGAGGGCAGCGCGTACCGCATTGATCTCCGAGTCTTCCGGGTTCTGGGCAAACTGTATCGTGACGTTGTGTCGGGAGGACCAGTTGGCTGAGGCTGCGCGAAATGCAGCTCTCGCCGCAGGGAGGTAAGAGTTGACGGCCTGGACGACGACGCCCGGGCGCGGAATTGGGTCGGGCTTGATGCCCGTGAAGATGACGTGGACCGCGCGTCTAGCTCCTCTCGGTAGGGTGACGCGATGGGGTCTTGGGGGTCGCGTTGCAGCAATCTGGCGTTGTAGCGCTAGGAGTTCGCCTGGCGAAAGTTCCGGGTGTGCTTGGCCTAGACTGATAATTTCATCCACAAATGCGTTAGTGGTGGACTTGGACTGACGTGACGATGTGCGGGATGTCGTCCAGTTTGTGTAGTTGACAGAGGGGGCCTGCGAGGACCGTGAGACTGCACTTGCGTAGGACATCGCGCCGGGGGTGTCCGGGCGGGTGCTCGTGGCTGAGGTTGGGTGGGTCGCTGGTTGCGTCATGCGTGACGGATTGTTTACCCGGTTCGGCTGAACGGGCGGAACTTGTAAGTCGGGAACTTTGGTGGATCTGCCGGCAATTCCAGCGTTGAGATACCGGATGACGCGAGTTGCTGCGCTGGCGAGTGGGGTGGAGTTGAGGGTGGCAGCGTCAAGTGGGTTGCGCCCAAAGATGGTGTCCCAGTCGACTGTCTCTAGCCAGTCGGCAATAGTGTGCAGTGAAGAGGTGACGATGTTGGCCTGTTGCTCGAAGGAATCAGTGGATGCGAGAGAGATTGGGACGGAGAGGATCCCCAGTTGGGTGTCGTCGTCCATGTCGATGGGCGATAGGGGCGTAGCGGGAGACCCGGGATGGTCCTCGTCTGGACCGAAGAGCTCCATGTCGAGGTCTATGGGTTGTGGGGAGGAAAGATCTGGATGAGCGGAGGAGTCAAATGACGGGGAATCGGTAGGGAGCATCCCCTGGGGGGTTGAGGCCTCCCGCATTGAGTGGGAAGCAGAGGCCCGCACCTGATGGACCAGACGGTCACCAGGGTCTTTAGGCATGGTGTGAGCACGGTCGGAAGGGAAAGATGAGGAAGGGGAAAATTCGAGGACGATGGGTAAGGCGGTGGTGGTGCGGTGTCCGAATTAGGAAGGTAGTGGTACCGGTGCAAGGTTGTGCCGAACAACGGTCTCGTTCACAAATTTCTACTTTTCTTCCCATTTCCACCAGAATAAAGTATACAGGCTTCGAAAAGGTCTAGCAGGCATTGTTTGTGCAAATTTTGGGGGTACAAGGCGAAGTCTACAGAGGGCAGGATTTTTTTTCGTCCAGTTTGTCCGAACATAGGGCCAGTGATAGTATATTCTCGAGCATACGTTTCAGCATGGGAACCAGATTCCTGATCGAGCAGCGTGTTGCAGGAGACGTGTCACCGACACTGCCATGATGCCATCGCGCTCAACGTTGTGCATAATATCATTACCTCCACGTCCACGTCCATTTCTATCTTCCTTTCCTCCGGGCCATATCCACTATACAAGATAGAAGGGAGAAAGCACAAATACAATGCACAGTCTCTACGCGCGTATCAACAACATCACGGCGACGCTGTCGACATGTATGATGATTCTCCTAGCAGGCATCGCGTGTTCATCATCCTTGTTCACAGCGGACTCGAAGGGCACGCTCAACATCTCCTCTGTCCAAGTGTGCGTTGTCTGTCCTCGTTTATAATCCTTCTCCTATGCAGTCGAGCTTGTGCATCTGGGTGTCACTCCAGTATGTTTGACCGCACGCCGTCCGAGGTACAGATGTGCAATGGAGGCCGTGAGTCCATGTGAGCCCACGACAACGGATCGTGACCTTCACTCTCCAGCTGCCCGCGTTTAGTTCATCCGATAATGGCGCGTATCCATCATCGCGCCCACAGTCGTCTTCGTCTGTTAGTGGTCCCGTCTACGCGCTTCGGAAGTTGATCCACACGGTCTTGCGCCCCGCTCGTAGAAATTGTAGCTCTGCGAGCTGTCATTTATGCATGCGTGCATCACTGGATCGAATGCTGCCACGACTGCGCGCTTCTCTTCCTGCTTCACCAGGCGACAGGTGCTTTAAACCACATCATTTTATCTTCGTCTCCTGTTTCTTTATCACTATCTCGCATGTTTTGATATGTCCTATGTTCTGAAGTTACATCATCGCCTGCTCACCTCCGCCGTCGTACAGGTTTCCCGGCCAAACGCGTCGCATACCTGGACGTACGCAAGACTTCGCTTTCGTCAACTTCAACCTCACTGCTGGTCAGTCTGATAGTCTCATTTCCCTCTCCATCATAGCACACAAGTCACCTACTCTACTTCCGCGTTTGTCGCGATCGCCACCCTGTATGCTTGCTAATCTATCCCTTTTCCGCTTTTGCGACGCCGTTCGTTCACTTGACCCATAATCTGGCGATCCCTCACGCTATGCAATCGGCTCCGCTATCCCATTCATTTGTCCTCGTGTACACCCGTCCATAAATTGGCAACCGCTCCCCATCTCCTCTGATCTTGGATCCTTATCGTGCGCCACGCGTACTGCACGCCAAACGCAAAGTCGAACACAAAATCGGATCGGATTCGAACACATAACAGACTTGACACCACTCTTCAACTGGAACACGAAGCAGCTATTCCTGTATGTTGGCGCCGAATACACTAATGCGAAAGGGGTGAGCCTTTGTCATTTTTTTAAGATTAACTCTCTTGTATCCAACCTAGCCAGGGCTTCTTTGCCCTCGGTTGATGCGCGCTCGGTGTGATGCCCGACCCCGAGCGTGTGTTTAAATTGCCGAATGCAATTGAGGTCCTGGTCTGGCGCCTCTTGTCCTTGTCCTTAGCCTCTACCAAGGACAATTGACCTCCAATGCCAAGGCCAAGTCCTTCAGCCGACCTGGCTGCGTCCTGATAAAACGCTGATACGTGTGGCGCTAGATGCACAGGTTTGGACGACGTAAACCCGACGTCAGGACACGCACTACTTTTTTACGCCTGGTATCGTGGCTTTCGTCGCTTTGTATTCACGCGCGCGATACTATATCTCGTGAAGTTTCATCTCGGTTTTGATTCATTCAATTCGGTTTGATTTACGCGTCAATCTCGTGGTGTGGATCAAAGAATATGGGTGCTGACTTTGTTATGTTGCCTTGCCCCCTTATCTCTTTCGCCATAGGTGAAGAACGAGGTCGTCATATGGGACCGTAATGTTCGTCGCAAGGAAGACGCGTACATACAAGTGCAAGGCAAAAATAAATACCCGTTTCGTGACCCGTCCGAAAAATTCCAGTACGTCTCTATCCCCCTTCAGCCTTTATCTTGTCTCTGCACTCGGCGAATTAATTATTAATGACCTTCTGATAAACACAGGAACCCAGAGCCTGCAGAGTACACGCTGAAGTATAATCTGATGCCGTACGTAGGGCTCCTCACGTACGGTGAGGCTGCACGCACAGCACCCATACCATTTCCCGAGGCAAAGGAGCGCCTATCATGACCCTGCCGCTTCCCTGGAGCCAATGGAGTGGGGAGTTGGAATTGCGCCATTGTTAATCTATGGTGGAGCACAATTGGGTGGGTGGTCTGTGCAGATAAATCCATATCATCATGTCATATTTCGCAGTATTGTGATGCTGCGAATGTAACTTCGGTTCTCATTAAAATGCAGCACAACCAAATGTCTAGGTGTGTATACAAATAAGCGAACGGCGTGCCGCGGGCCCAACCCGTTTCACCGTAACTAGCCGCTGGGTGAAGCGGAGGCGCGCGGGGCATGTACACTACGGCTCGCATCAGCTATTCGCCTATTAGGTACGCACACGCCCCTGCAAAACCTCGTAATAACGGACGAAAGTCTCCTCGGAGCGCTGGCCGATGATGGCGGAAGGGAACCGAACATGACGAGGGCGTGGAATGCATGTGGGACATGCGTGGCGGTAAGTCAGCCAGCACCTGATTCAAGGCCTTGCTCCGGACTCTCCGAGTGAGCGGACCGCCCAGGTTCGTTATTCTCACACGACAAGTGTCCCTTGCAGATGATATGTTTTAAGAGAGGTTAGACTCGGGGGTAGGTAGGTGTGCATGAATGTACGTACACAATTTTCAAGAAGCGCCTCGACTAAGTAGTTCACAAGGCAGTGCGGTAAGCAATTGTGTGTGTATGGCTTACACACAAAAAAGCGAAGCGTAACGAGGGCGTGCTAGGCCATGTAGGGCTCTCTGTTCAGCTGGATAGGAGTCGCGATTCTGGAACCGGAAGCAAAGAGTCAGTCGATCAAGCTCAATCAGCACCCACACAAGTCGGTTTGGTCAATCGACGATCGATGCTCGCGATGGTGCATGTGGCGCACTGCGGCACGACAGGCTGCCTGATGAGGATTCGGGACTCAGCGAAGTAGACGGTTCCGCGGATGCTTTATGCATTGTATCGGATGCGGCCGCCGCCTCACCAGGGCGACCCGCCACACGGTGCGCACTTTGCTGGTGGTCGGGAAAGACGACCTGGTGTTACAAAGGGGGTCTGCGATGTGACGCATCCTATCGGCGCCGAAGCACCTCACAAGTATGATGTTGGTAAACGAATGGAGAGAGGTGATTCACGTATATCGGGATTATCGGCAGGGTGATGCACAGCCTGCTGGTTGGGCCAACGCCCCGTGCTACAAGGAAAATCAGGATTAAAAATATCCCTGCACTGCGCATGGTTTCCGCGTGTCTTCCTGCTGAAAGAAGCGTGCAGGGCATAGGGTCAAAACGTCAATCGAAAGAATGACTTGTATATTCAAGCTGTCAAGGAACCGAAGACACGTGGGCGATGCGCTCGTGCCGTGATTCCTACTTGAGGGTGTTTGGCCCCAATGGATTGAGCAACAAGCAAATCGGACATCACTTAGCACAGGACGCAATTGTAAATATATTGCGTGGAGACGGATTGCAAGGATCTTCGAATGGAACCGGGGGTGGCAATCTGATAGGAATTGATAGGTCGTCTGCCAGCAGCGAAGTTACCGTCAGCTGAATGCGATCGCGTCCCCTCAGAACCGTCGCGCCGCATCAGATCTGGCCTTCGTATTGGTGGCATCAAGCGCGTGACGTCGCCATGAGTGGAAGGAGCCCAATCTATGCATTTTGGATGCTGAGTACTAAGTACTCAAGTAACATGCACCGTATGAATCGGACAGCATAGTTCAATCGGCGTAGGTGGTGTCCGAGTCATCATGCATCCTGAAAATTGAGCAGCGCGACGCCACTTGACAGTGAAGCACTCAATGGAAGAAGCGACGAGCTCTGACCCTGCTGGGAGAAGACTCAGATTCTTGTGAGCATCTTCCTCAATTCTGTGGGTATGGCATCGCGACGTACGAATCGGATCGCTGCATGATTAATGTCGTAATGCACTTGCTGCAAGTCGATCTACGAATAATCCATGGCACGGGAAAAGCGGATGCGAGGAGGAGCAATGCCAAGGTTTCAGGTGTGTCCTTTCGGTTTTGAGGACGACGATACTTACCGCTTGATTGAGTCGTACTGGATCGAAAGGACTTGAGGATAGGACGCGCGTGCGCTCGGTGTCTATGGATTCAAGGAGAACTCGTCAAATGGGGCATAGCTTTACACAAGCGAACCTCTTACTTGGCATGTCCGCGTCCACGCTCATGCCCACGCGAACTTCTCGCCATGTCTCGCCCTCACATCGTATCTGCTTCAGCGTGAGTCCTGTGCTTATCGAGCCCATAGCCTTGAATATAGGACACTTTGAGCTGCTCAGCGTCCTACTAGCAACAAGCGAGGTCAATTTGGTTCCGCGCTTCTGAAATACCCCACAGTCGGCTCTGGTCGGCTTGATCCTGTTGATCTTCCCAAAGAAATTCAGGGCCTTGCTAGTTACGCTCAGAATTATTTCTATTCAGATCTAGATCCGGTTCGATTCGATTTGCACGGCTCACCAGTAGGCGCTTGGGGGTACTCCGGAGTCTTAGTATTTCTACCGATGACCTCTTCCAGTTCGAGCGTCGCTCGCCCACCCATTCGCTGACAACTCCCTTGCCCAGCAAGTAAGCCTCCCGTGCTTTCTCGTCTGTGTAATCTTTCGGCTTTCACCTCGACGGTTTCCGACACACTTCATACGTTATTATGTCGACTTCAGAATGGACCTACAACTACCCTCAGACCGAGCAGGCCGAAAACTACGAGCAGGAGTCACAGCAGATGCAGCTTTCTCCTGCTGAACTCTTCGCCTACCAGGTAGCCTCTACTTTCATCTCACGATGCTCTCATACTGATCACCACTGTCATTCTCCTTGCGCTTGGTCGCTGCAGTACGACTATACGATGCAGGCTGCCGACACTCACCACGCTCCCCACAGCGCCACCTCCCTCACGTACTGGCCTGCTGAACAGTACCGAGGCGCTCCTTGCTCACCGACCGCTTCGTCCTCCCCTTTGCCGGTATACGATGCGCAGCAAATGGACTATCAGGCTAGCCCACTCACCCTCGCGGGGCCCACTTCATTCACCTCCCCCACGCTTGGGTACACCTATGCCCACTCCCACTTGAACGTGTACACGCAGCCGACGTACGGCTACACATACGAACACATCGACTCAGATGGGTACCACCTCGGCGCCTCCTCCACTGCCAACGAGTACTCGCTGGATTATCCGGCCGTGACTTCGACTGTGGACACGATAGGGTCCGCCATCCCCTCCGCGACCCCCTCCACCTCGTCCTCCTCGCTCGCCGCCGCTCTCATATTCCCCTATATCAGCGCTGCGCCAGTAGAAGAAGCAGATCACTCCTCCATGGTGATCGAACACGAGGTAAGTCAAACGCTCTCTAAATGGTGGCACACGAACCTCATCGGATCTAACACACAGTATGACACTGTGTACGATGGCGAATCGACATACGGGCATGGTGCATACGGCTACCAGTACGACGACGAGCCCGCACATGTAGGCGGGGATATCGACACACACCACACATTCGGGAAGGGTAGCGCATCGTCCTACACGATGCAAGCCCCCGCTAGCTCTGATGTGGTCCATGCAGCCACGCAGGTCCTGGCTCCGGCGCCCAAGGAGAGAGAGGTGGATCCCCAGGCGCGTGTACCGGAGGTGGTCACCGCGGCGTCGCCGTGGATGGACCATCTCCCATACCAGCCACGGTACACCATGAACTCCGGCTCCAAAGACATCGCAGACCCGGACACAGCGGCCACGATGTCTCACCCGAGCGCTCCCACGACTGGCGCCACTGTAAGCTCGGTGTCTATGGACCGGCACGGCGCCTCCGGGCCGCCCGTACCGACGAGCCCTTCCGCATTTGGCATGAAGCGCGAGGATACTACCGAGTCCACCCCTGCCGTGTTCCACATCAAGCACGAAGATGACGACGCAGATGACGACGCAGAGACCGCCGCCGCCATGATGTCCGCACTGACCACAGTTTCCCCCATCGCCATGAGTGCACCCTTTGCATCGACATCCACGTCGGTGTCGACGGGCTCACACACTCACGCGACGAGCACCGATTTTATCTCAAAATCTGCTGCAATCCAGCCCTTCGCGCTCGCCAGCGCCAGCCGCATCAAAATCGACGAAGCATCGGACGATGACGACGACGACGAGTACGTGATGCCGGGTAAGGGCAAGGGCCGAGCGAGGGCTGCTAGCAAGGGCAAAGCTGTCAGTAAAGGCAAAGGCAGGGCATACACGAAGCCGAGTGAGGCAGAGAGCTCGCACCGCGATAGCAAGCGCGAGAGGCAGCGCAAGAAGAGCGCAGCGAAGGCTGCTGTCATGCGGCAGTTCCAGGCGTGCGCAGGGTCCCATGCGGCGATGCACGACGAGGACGAGGAGTTGCAGGCGTCGGGGTCAGAATCGGGAGCACAGGCGCAAGATACGAAGAAGAAGCAGCCTTTCCTGGCGTGTTTCTTTTGCCGTGGACGCAAGATCGCGTGTGGACCGCCGCCGCCAGAGAGTGCAGATCGGACATGCAAGTGAGTACATATCTTGTGTCGTGGATTGTCGTACACTGGATGGATTTATGGATGCATGTCGCATTATGTGGCTGGGACCGTTACCGGGTGGACTACGGGGGTGCTATAGGTGGAGGCCCTGGGGGGGATGGTAGGGGGTGGGCAAGGAAGGCAGATCCGGGAGGCTTTAAAGCATCCACGGGTCCGACTAACCCGGCCGTTCCGAATCCTTGAGCCCCAATCCCACCGAGTTCCACCCATCTGTCCATAGCTGTCCTCGTGCCGTACCCAGATGGAGGGGTTGTTGACCCGACTGGTGGGTATACGAGTGGTATAAGCAGGTGAAAGGATGTACTTGCGTGCTCAGGCAGGCGTGATCACCGCCCTCTTGCATCCTCCACAGGCCCTCTTGCTCCTCTCTTACCCACACGGTCCACGATGGGATAGGTCGTGGGTTTCTAGATAGCGGATCGCGGGGCATCCGATCCTGTTCCGAGGTCCCACCTCGTCCTGCCTCGTCTTCGTCTTGAAGCGAGGACAAGGCCGAGCTCTTATCGGAGAGATCGAGCCAACACTCATCATAGTCTGCGCCCTGCTGCAGGCAAAGTGGGCACCGTGAGGGCCTCAGGGACATCGATCGAGCGGGTTCTGTTTACCTTCCGTCATCACACCCCTTCCTCAGTGCCAGTCTCGAGATTTTGTCGGCTCCCTTCCCTCCGTTCTTTCGTATTGGTTGATTTGTCATTGACCGCGCGCTGACCGTCCCCCGCTTTCTAGCCAGTGCGCGCGGCGCCAGCTCATCTGCAATTATCCGCTAACGTCGCGCCGTGGCCAGCGCCGAACAACCACTGCCGTGCAAGAGGATGCGTAGAATCGGTTTTCAATATCCGCCTCAATGCCGCCTGCATTGTGCATCGGGCCTGCTATCGATGTCCAAGCGTGCGCTGTGCGGCTACCCAGTCTCGTCCACGTCTATCATCCTGCATTGTCATGTCTCGTTATCGCGAAATAGCAAGTCCTGATACATTTCGGTTCGCATTTGTTGCATGTGTCTTCTCTTGGTGGTTTGTTCGCTATTGTATTGGACTTTAATGTCTCCTATCCTGTTATGTCTCGTTTTTCACACTTCTCTGCGTATAGTCTATCGGAGTTACTCGTCGTTATTTTGTTGTATACATCTACTGCCTGTCAAATCATAGTCGTATTTATAGTCATTATTGCTCTTCGCTGATTCCGCTGCCGCTTTCGCATTGTTATCATGTATATTGCTATTTCTTGACACCTATCTGTTCGTTTGTCTCCGCGTTTTATTGCCCATCACACTTCTTGCTCTACATGGGTTTCATCCTGTCGAATGCTAGTGTGCTGTTTGTTTCAATTTAATCCAATTCTAGTTGCATTACCATGCCCAGTCGTTTAAATAAACGGATCCTCGTCGGAAATGAGGAAGGCGATCGATCGACGCTGAATATAAAGTAGGTCGCTGGACGGCCTCCTTCGTGTGCTAACTCCTTCCTAATGCCTATTTCGTCGTCTACACTCGGAAATACGACATCCAAGAACCTACGAGCTGTCTCCCCGGCCTCCTAAGCTCTAGTCACCAGAGCCACTAACTCCAACATGAATGAAGTTACCTTCCGTCACTACTTAATTTTTGACCATAGCACATTGCCCCCCAGGACGTGTAAGCATGGGTTCATTCTCGCAGACATTCGTTCAGAAGGAGACTGAGAATGCCCTTAGGCTTCAGGTCGGATATGAACATGAATAGGAGAAGGTCCGACTGCTCTGAGCTGCTTCTGGGCCTTGAACTTGAACCTGAAAGAGCGAGACGAAGTTGGAACTCATGGCGCGGAATCAACATCGGATGATTACAACCGACTTACCCCGTGCCTGTCAGTTGACAAAGTCGGTACAGGACGCACTGCAACAGACTTGCAGGCGCAAGAAACGTTCCGGCAGAAGCCGGGGCGTCTCTATTTGTCCACGAAGGTGCTCTTCAAGGCTCTTGCGCGACAACCGTTCACATCCATAGAGATGTGCAACCGTAGGGTACTTCGACTCTTCGGGGTTGCAATCCGTGGATCGAGTCACAGCTGAGTCTCCGCCTGCATATTCCGGTTGTGAACGTGTTCGTTCAGTTGCACCACTAGCTCTACACAAGACGGACAGATCTTTCCGAGATGCGGGTGCACAGCTCGCACGATGCCACCTATAATTAGAAGGGAGGGACAAAATAGCGAGAATGAGAGCGAGAGCGAGAAAGGACCGACAGGAAGAGCAGGGAGCTGAGCACCGTTCGCCATCGCCATTTCCCCCAAGCTTTTCCTTGCTGTCCAACGGTCCCGAAAGTCTCACCCACTTCCCTGCGTCTTCTGCGCGGCACGCGCGGGGAGAATCACGACTGCACCGACACCGACACGCGCCCGAACTGCTAATACAGCTGTCTATGCGCGAAAATCCGGGCGCGCTCCTCATACTACATCGCTGCTGCGGATGCTGTTAAATATGCGAACGTAAAGGAAGCGAGCCTTCAAACCAGTCTGCGTATGAGGAGAGCCTAAGCCCGGATGGCGGATGCCCGTTCTTGATCAAGGGCCCCTATCTAACTGAGTCCCAAGCGCAACATGCCCTGCGCAGCCTCATATCCATCGCTCGTTGGTGTGTCGTCGCCCGTGCGTGCATGACCCAGTCGCTGTCAAGTGAGAAGGAGTGTGTCATCGGCACGAATGGGAAGGCCAGCTGATGACGAGTCAGCTCACTCCGCAGCACGTAGAGTTGTGAGCAGGGCGTCAGCAGGAGCGCGCGATCTGCGTCAAAGCTAGACATCAAGAGCCCACTGGAACAAGAGGAGCACAGACATGTGGGTGAAATGATAGGACATCCTTTGACCTTTGGATGCTGGCTAGAAGGGATGTAAACATGGATGCTTGAAGGCGGTCTATGATAAATGAACCAGATAGACGAGAGCACGACATGCCACCCACAGAGGGCAGCAGAGGTCTATCATCGTATCAGGGTGCGTCGCAACCAAGCTCGGTCGAAGAGACAAGAACCAAAAGGAATTCGAGCCAGAATGACCGTGAGATGATAAAATGAACACCGTCTATAGGTAGCGATACTTGCATACATCGTTAGATGTGAGCCCAGTGAGTATATTGTCCCTATGCGATGCATTAAAAAAAACCGCAGCACAGTGGCTACTCATGTCTCTCGACACATACAACCAATGAAACCGTAAGTCCATGTGGGCGCTGCGGAGAGCCCAAGGGCCAAGATGGCAGGGTGTCACTTCCATAACTGAAGAGCCACAGATAGCCGCAGACGCACGATGACAAGCTGCAGAAGCTACGGGAAAACTATGGAAAGCGGTGAATGTGGTCAAGGGAATATCAGTTTACACTATCGAAAGATGTGATGTCAATGGAAAACGAATACTTCGACCAGGTCTAAGACCTTAGACTTTCAACAACGCAGATTCGAATCCGTCGAAATGCCTAGGTCGCCCAAATTGATCGCGTAACCTCGTCTAGTATGGGAGCGTCGGTGAGGCAAGAGTGATACTGACGATAGCTGCGTCATCGCTGAGAATAATGCAGAGGAAAGAAGAAAAGAAATTGATAGAAACACATACAATTCCTGGGGTCAACCGTTCCATACAAGTTTTGTAAGCGCCCTCGGCCTCCAGCGGTGAATTGAGCATTACATCCATTGATAACACCCCTTGCCTAACGACTCATGTGTCACCTCAGTGGGTGCAAAATGGTGCCCGGAGGGCTGTGGTGACGACAAGATAGTCTGACCGAAGAGAGGATTCTATACAAATAGCGTGAGAGCTAACAGCGCTGAGTGAACGACACCGCGCGCTTAGTCTCCAGTGCTGACTTCAACAAAGAACTGCTGTTTTGTTCCCAGTTTCGCATTCAGCAGCACTGCGTGCGCCCAATCATAATCACTCTCCTTCGGCCGGCATCCAGATTTCAACCGTGAAGACGATGGATAGTTTATACACACATATTAATATCATAATAGCAATCCTCTTCTCGACCTATTACATGGTGATTCGCCTCGCAAATATCGAGCGTCTGTCTTTTCTATTCATGGAAAACCCAAGGGGCACGCTGAACGTATCGTCAGCTGTCTGCGTCCCCTGTGTTCTGTCGCCTCTCCTGGGCGGTTTCTATTTCTGCGCACTGCTTTGTGCGCCAAAGCCATGTCTTTGCATATCTGTCATTGCCGCAGTCCGTTTCACCTATCGCTGGAGGTGGACTTTGTGTGGGTACATCTCAGAAGCAACAGGTATGTACTTCTGTTTTATCTCCGTTGAGGATAAGATGCGTAGGAAGACGGCATATCACGTTTTCGAACACCCACCTCCTCAACCTCCCGCAGCGGCCCCCGTTTGGCAAGGCCTCCGACGATCGCCCATATATCCACTAATCATTCATCATGGTGGCCACGACCGTGACATCGCCCGACTATGTGTCATTTGTGCGCTGTCCCGCCCCGCTTCATAAAGTTCAGTAGTCGATCCACACGCCAGCGCGCCCGGCGCCCAGAAGCCGTTCCGCTGCCAGCTGTGCTGGCGTTCGTTCTCAGATCGATCATTGCTACGATGGCGTGTTTCTCTATCAGATTGCAATACCAGGTCTCGCATCCCCTCATCGTGAAATCCTTACCGTTTATATCTCAACATTTTCTCTTCCCCTCCATTTATTTGTTCTAAGCTCAACTCTTACATCCTCGCACAGATTCACCGGCCAAATGCGCCGCATTGAAGCGCACGCAGGGCTTCGCTTTCATCAGCTTAAACCTGGGCGGTCTCTTTCCTTTACTGTGCAACGTGCATGATCCGCCGAGAAGTCTCCCTCCGCACACTCTCCGCACTTGCTCCACTGGCTCTGATTACGACCCTACAACTGATGATGTACTATCCGTCTTTGCAATGCTGCTCGTTCACCTGATCCGGCACGATTCGGTTGACCCTTTATCCTTTGCCCTTCGCCCACGCTTCTCAGCCTGCTGTGCAATTCAATAACCTCGTGCCTATACACCCATGTACACTCATAGACCTATTGTACCTGATCCGAACTCTCAATCTCGCAACGCTCGCCGAGCGCGGCTCGTATCTTCGACTCAATCTTGAATGCAGCGGAACGCAAATTCGGGCTTGGATTTGGACAAACATAGGTCTCGCGCCTCCTTTCTTCTGGGACACGAAGCCATCTTCCCAGTCCGCGCGGGCTATCCTAATGCAGATTGAGTGAGTGTTGTATTTGCATTCTATCTTCACCCTTGTCGCTTTGGCGAGCGAGGCCTTGAGATTTTGCCCTCGTTGGCTCGTGCGCACTCGGCATGCTACCCGGTGCGTATCTGAGTCACCGAAAGCGCCTAGCGGAGTAGAAACTACTTTATGTGGCACAGGTATCGTCTGCGCTTGTCCTTAGTCCAGCTTGGTCGAGCAGGAGTGGTCGTACACGACATCATGATTTATGAGGTTGAAGCACTCGAAATGAGGATTGAGATGTGTGGCGTTGGGCCTCCGCCACTGACATCTGACGTCGGGTATTGCGTTCAAGCAACGAGTTGCGTTTTTATCGGGTGTGACCTAGCAACAAACTACGGTTAGTTCACGGCGAATTGTTTCGATCGTTATTCTCGTCGAAACGTATCTACGGGTCCAGTTTCATCTCCTGCTTCGCTTTCGTGTCATACAGTTCGTTCTTTTATTTTCGTGGCGTAGATCCTGCAATATCGGCGCTGACTTTTGGCTCTCATTCCTGCCTACTTTCTGCTCCGCAGGTGGAGAACGAGGTCGCCATCCGCAACCGCATCCGGGTGCAGGGCAGGCACAAGCACCCATCCCGCCCAAAAAAGATCATTTTCTGTGGCCTCGAATACCGGTACAGGAACCTCGTGCCTGCAGAGTAGGTGCTCCAATGCGACGTGATGCCTTACGTCGTGCTCCTCGCAAACGGAAAAGCTACGCACACTGCATACATCGTCTTGCCTGAGGCAAAAGAGCCCGTCATGACCTTTCCGCTTTTGTATTGGATTATAAGACTTTTGAAAACCAGGGTCGGGTCAGCTGTAGATCATGTGTGACCCTCGAGATGGGCTGAATGACTGCACGTGAATGCACACAGTCAGAGTGATTCGGACTCATGAAACATCAATGTTGGTGTCGTGCTTCCTCTCATTGTGAGCAAGAATTCATTTTCTTATTGCGTGCCGTTCTCAAGCATTCAACGCGGAGTGCGGCATAGGTCCTGGCCAGTGACTAGTGAGTGTCCGTGTCCATGAGTTCGATGAATGGGTCAGAAAGAGAGTCTTCGAGTAGGCCAGTGACTTAGAGACGTGGCGGTACGCCCAAGTCGCAATATGACTATTAGCCGCTGGGTAGGACCTAGAAGCGCGGGGTAGTCATCTTGTTGCTTGTTATTCGCGAATTCATGGAAGGAAACGGTTCTGTCCAGCGATCATTACTAAAATGGTGCTCTTTCAGCCAAATGGTGCTCTTTCAGCCATGAGACGTCGCTTGAAAGGCGTCCTGAAGCGATGCTCCACTAGAAACGTGAACGCAGCATGGTGGCTCGAGGATAGATTTTCATTCGAGCATGGAGTCTGTATGGATTCCAAATACACCTGCGCTGCGATTTCGGCATGGCTTGAATTCGCAGGCACCTACCACTCGGAACGGAACAACATCCGACTTACAACGGCCAAACTCCTTCGACGTGCAGTAACAATCTAGGATCTTGCTCGATGATCCGCCTGGATCCAGGGAAGGTTTGGGATCGGTAGTAAGTAGGCACGCACGGATGCACACAGTGCACGTAACAGCGGTTCTATTGACACTGCGAAGCACTTTGAAAATAACTTAAGTGAGTATGTATACGGAGCCGACTAACTGGACTTACATCTCGGCGGAGGAGCAAAGTGTGCGTGCACTGCTGGAATGGCACTAGGCCCTGTGGGGGAATCGTAAGCTAAACATAGATGAGGGACTGGTAAGACGATGAGATGCACATTGCGATTCTGTACGTGAAAGAGCACTGGCTCAGCAGAAACCAAGTATCGGTTCGGTTGTGACGTTTGTTTATAACTCTTGCGGCGGCCGACTGCGATATATAAGTTGATTTCGTGGGTGTATATCAGGCAAAGAAAGCGATGGAATTACTAAGTAGTAGTGGTAAGTTAGAAGACGTGTTTAGCGAGTGAATGAGCAGCGTCCCGTGCGACAGTGGGACACACGTAGATATATCATAAGTACTTACCAGCTAAGGTGTGTGCGAGGCATGGTGGAGAGTAAATTTACTGGGTTGGATTGAAGTAATGGTTTGCGACGTCCCATTATAAATAATCGAGCGAACGACCGATAACGATGTTGCGAGCTGATAGGACCTAACAAGAAAACACGACTCTGCCCTGGACACGCATCTCGCGCGCGCACGCGCCCTCACTGCGTGGCGCGCTTCGCAGCCGCACGCCGAGGACCTAATCGTGCACCCCGCTGCCTGCGCTCCATCGACTGCGCCGATAACGCGCTGCTCACCGCGCTCTTCGACCTCAGCTGCCGCACGCCGCAGCTCATGATTCGTCTGCGGCGCTCCGGCATAGCTCGGTGCTTTGCCCCGTTTCCTTGCTTCTGTGGGCGGTTTTGCGTGGTTTCGGAAATGGGGCTGCAGACCACAAAATTCCCTCAGACCACAAGATCGTCGTGAAGAACCCCGTCGTCGAGCTCGATGGCGACGAGATGACGCGCATCATCTGGAAGAAAATCCGCGAGGAGGTGCGTCGTCTCCTATTTCTCCCCTGGCCCGCCCTCGAAATCTCACGCGCAAACGCCGCATCGCAGCTCATCCTTCCTTATCTCCAACTGGACATCGAATACTTTAACCTCGGTCTAGAGGCCCGCGACGCCATGAGCCCCCGCTATCTCCTCTCTGTGGACAGGGTTGCTGATACCCCCGCGGGCAGACAAACGACCAGATCGTGATCGACTCCGCCAACGCGATCCTCGAGCACAAGGTCGGCATCAAATGCGCGACGATCACGCCCGACGAGGCGCGCGTGAAGGAGTTCAAGCTGAAGCAGATGTGGCGGAGCCCGAACGGGACCGTCAGTGCGCTCCCCGCCTCGTCTCCCCCTCTCGTCGCTGAGGCAGCACCCGCAGATCCGCAACACCCTCGGCTGCCCCGTCTTCCGCGAGCCGATCATCCTCGAGCGCATCCTGCGGCCGATACCGCGCTGGGCGAACCCCATCATGATCGGGCGACACGCGTTCGGCGACCAGTACCGCTCGACAGACTTCGTCGCGCCAGGCCCGAGGAAGCTGCAGCTCGTGTACACGCCCGCGAACGGCGCCGCGCCGACGACGCTCGACGTGTACGACTTCCAGTGTAGGGGCGTGGCGATGGCGATGTACAACACTGACGAGGTGCGCGTCGTTCCTGTTCGTTGTGTGCGCGACGGGCGACGATCTCGCTGACGCCGGTGCCGCAGCCGATCACGGGCCTTGCGCACTCGTCGTTCAAAATGGCGCTGGCGAAGAAGATGCCCCTCGTACGGTCCTCTCTCCTCCTCCCCGCGAGACCCGTCGCTCAGGTGTGAGGTGCTTCAGTTCATGTCGACGAAGAACACAATCCTCAAGAAATACGACGGCCGCTTCAAAGACATCTTCCAGGAGATCTACGAGTCGTGCGTCGCCCCTCTCCCTCTCCCTCTCGTCGCGTGCTGACGCGTCCCCGGGTACGCAGGGAATACAAGCCCTAGTTCGAGGCCACGGGCATCTACTATGAGCACCGCCTGATCGATGACATGGTCGCGCAGGCGATCAAGTCCTCCGGCGGGTTCGTCTGGGCGACGAAGAACTACGACGGTGACGTGCAGTCGGACATCCTCGCGCAGGGCTTCGGCAGCCTCGGGATGACGAGCTCGCTCATCACCCCCGATGGACAGGTCATCGAGAGCGAGGCCGCGCACGGTGCGTGCGGCGTCCCACGCGCTCTCCTCTGAACGCTCGCTGATGTTTTTGTGCGTGTGCACGCGCCTGCGCGCGCAGGCACGGTCACACGGCACTACCGCGAGTACCAGAAGGGCAACGAGACCTCCACGAACGCGGTCGCGTCCATCTTCGCGTGGACGCGCGGGCTGCTCCACCGCGCGAAGCTCGACCCGAACCCCGCGCTCGCCGCGTTCGCGCGCGACCTCGAGGCGGCGTGCACCGAGGCGACCGACACGGACGGCGTCATGATCAAGGACCTCACGCTCGCGATCCACGGCAAGGCGATGCGCCGCGAGCACTGGGTCGTGACCGACGTGTACACGGATGCCGTCAAGGTGCGTGGCGCTCTTCTACCCGCCGCGATGGACCAGCCGGCGCTGACGTCCTTCCCGCATTCTCCAGGGGAAGCTGGATCAGAAGCTCGCGGCGAGAGCGGAGAAGCCGTAGGTGTGCGCGACGATGTGTTGCTATCTCTTCATTGTAGCGACGGGTGTATCTTCGATCGCACAGTCATCTGCCAGGGCAGGATCGTCACCGCCCCCCGTAAGAACTCTTCATACAAGAAATCATAAGGTAAAATTCGACCAAGAAAGGACCCTCTCGTGAGTCGCAAAAGTATGTGGTATCAAATGGCACCTCCACACAACGGACCAAAAAGCGCCACGAAATAAAGCTGGGGGCTCTCGCCGCCGCAGTCAGACCGCGCACCCCCAACGGCCTCCGGCGAGCGCCCGCCGTCCGCGAGCATGCCCTCGGCGTTGGTGCTGTCCACGCGGTCTATCCACTCGTCGAGCGCGGCCCTGGCCGCGCGGGCGTCACCGGGCGCGCGGCGGCGACGGGCTGCGCGTTGCCGACGAGGCCGTAGGGCGGGACGCCCTCGAGCATCTGCTGCGCGGCGGCTTCGTGCAGCTTCGCGGGGAGCGCGGGGAGCGTCCACGGTGCGCCCGTGCCGTTTCCCTTCCCTCGTGAGGAGGGGGGTGGAAGGGGGAAGGGGTCGTCGCTGTCTGGATCTGAGCGCAGGAGGTTGAACGCATGCGTGTCGACGGAGTCGTGCGCGTCGTGCGACTCGGCGTGCTCGAGGCAGTCGCAGGGGAACCACTGGCGGCAGGCGGGCTTGGGGCAGAAGTGCATGGGGCGCGCATCGTCGAGGTTGTAGACGGTGTTGCAGTCCGCGGTGCAGGTGACTAGGTCTTTGAGTTTTGGCCGGGGGCGGGAGGGGCGTGTGGGGATTTGAGGGGGTTTGTGAGGATCGGGAGGGCGACGGGTGAGGGTGAGGGGCTCACGGTGGCACACTTGGAGAGGCGGGAGTACGCGCGGCGGACATAGAACTCGCCATCGGCGATCTGGGGCTGCTCGATGTCCGCCTCGCGGTGCTCTATGACCTTCGTGGGGCCTTCAACATGCAGCGCCGTCAGTCAGCCGTCGCGGGCGGGGAGAGGCGCGGCGGAGGACGCACCGTTGAAGGAGGTATGCGCGACGTAGTCGTAGTCGGATTCGTCGGCGCGCAGGCGCTCGTAGCGGCCGTAGCTGGCCTGGATGTTGGCAGGGCTTTTTGGGGCATGTGCGGCGGCGGCGGCGGCGCTAGCGTGGACGACCAAAGCGGTCTGTAGAATGGAAAGAACTGTGGGAGACTCACTCTGTGTTGGTGTCGTTGGCGACATCGGCGCCGGAGTAGTACCACTGGACCTTGGCCCAGACCTACGGTTGCTCGCGTCACGGCGAGGACGCGTCAGACGCGTGGTGAACACACACACACACACACACATACACACAGAGGGGCAGCAGCACGGGGGCGGGGCGGGGCGGGTGCTTACCCCAGGGTCGTCCACGGGGCGCGTGAGCGGCCGGCGTCGTGCGAACTGGAGGATCCGGCCGACCCAGAGCTCGTGGGCGAAGTAGGAGGATGTCGGGAACCTAACCTAACTTTCCCATGCTGCCATCGCAAGCCGCCTTGCGCTCACTCATTTCGGTGCTTCTGGTGATAGCGGATGAGACCGGACGTCCGCACGCGATAGTTGTCAGCTGGCAGCAAACGGGAAGGCCCGACAGCGGATGCAGTGCTGCAAAGAAAATAACACACCGAGCTGGTGTGACCCTTAATGTCCGCAGGCTTATCCAGCGGTGCCAAAATATTCTTTGTGAGTATCTTGCCAAGTTCGACACCCATCGGATCTGTTGCGCCAGTTCAGCAAACGCGGATTTATGCACCCACACCAGGGATGCACGCACCAAATATGTTGATGCCCGGATGAGGCCCTGCGTAAAGATCTTGTGTTCGTAGAGCGCAATGAATGAGCCGAGCGTTGCGGGCGTGAACAGCGGGAAGAAGAGAGTGTTGCTCGGCCAGTTGCCCATGAAGAGCTTTCTCTTCAACACTAACCGTTCTTCAGTACCGCCGAAACAACACGCGGACACTACCGAAGAGGGATTGAGAGAGGGGACAGAGGGGGTGCGCACCTGGTGTACTTGCTCCTCAGTTTTTCCAAGCGCGAGCGCTTTGGGCGGCGCGAAGTAGTTGCTGAGCAGGATGCGGTGGTGAAGCGAGCCACAAAGCGGATTGTGTGACGTCGCGGGAGTGAGAAAGTCCATCGGGACGAGCTTTGTGCCCTGGTACAGCAGCTGGCAGAATGCTGGCCGTTTGTGCCCTCTACACTCCAGACAATTGGCTGTGGCATGCGCAGTGCAGTCAGCCTTGACAGCAGAGAGTGGGTTGGAGAGATGATATGCTCGCCGGTCTGATAGTCAACTCGCTTGCCGCTCTTGGTGATGAGTTGCCGTTAGAATCCATGTAACCTTGATGCAGGTAGTCCTTGAGCCCTTACATGTACTGGTTGCAAGGAAGTAGCGCGTGCAGGCACAGAGAGCCGGAGAGGTCTGGTGATAAGGAACGGAGCGATCAGGATTCAGCGGAGTAAGAGGAAGGAGGAGGGGAGACTTTAGTGCCTGGGGAAGAAACGTGCATGCGTAGAGTGGAGAGCAGAGACTTCGAGAGAGGGGCAGCAAGGAGGAGAACGAGAGGCACGCACCGTTGTACCACTCTGCGTGCTCATCGAGTGCACGTCCGTCGTGGACGTCGCCGTCGTCTGTGCTCGTCTCCTTTACCGTTGCGGCCGCTGCCATTCATTCCTCCACTGCCAGCCAGATAGGTAAGGTCGAGGGCGTGACAATGGACGAATGAGGGGCTGAGGGCGTGAAGGCCGAGGGCTGAAAGGGTTGGGAGAACGAAGGGAAGAAGGGTCGAGTATGTTCGAGGTCGAGTGTGCGCGAGGTATGTTGTGCGCGGGGTTGAGGGGCCAAAAGGAGAAAAGGATGTGAGGATGTGAGGACAAGGGGTTCAGCATGTGCAGCATTGAGCGCGGGTGCGCTCTCGGCGATAACCCAGAACGAGGGAGGACTAGACGAGGAGTCAACAATAGGTCGAGGGCTCGAGCATGCGTGCATGGGCTTGACGAGACGCACGAGTGCGGATGTAGGTCGCAGGTGAAGACGGGTGCGTGGGCCCAAGGGGTTGATGCAGTCGAAGGCACTCGGTGGCGAGCGAGCGTGGACTAGAGGAGACAGGTGTGGGATCGAGGGGACGCGCGGGCGGTTGTGGGTCGCAGGCGAAGGCAGGTTCCTGTCGTCGAGGGGTCGCACGTGCACGCATCAGAGGCGGGATTGTCTAACGAGGAGGTCAAGTGAGCGAGCAGCCATAACGACAAGGAGGCTGCAGAGGTTGCGGGGCGCATGTTGAGCAAAGGGCGGGTGGAAAGGGCGAGAGCGAGAGGTACGAACCTTGGTAACGCTCAGCCTTCCTCTGCCTAGCTCATTTCTCCGCCACCAGCTGCTCCTTGACCTCCTCGTCGACGCGCTGAAGCGCGTATGGCTTAATATTTGTGATCCTCTGTGTGCGGAAGCGAGGGCACGTGGAGGGACGACGACAGTGTGAGGACGCCAACTGTAGTTGGACTGCGGGGTCTCAGTGGTGACGCAGGTCGAGGGAGGGAGAACGAGAGCGTAACCTTGCGTGGTGTCGAGGGGACGCGCGTGAGCGCTTGGGCATGAGGGCACGAGCGTGAACTTTGACGGCCCAGGAGGTCGAGGGGCACTGGATGGACGCGGGCGTGGGCTCGAGGACATGACCATGGGCTCGAAGGGAAGAGGATACGCGTGCTAAAGGATTTGGATCCCAGGTGGTGCGTGCGCTGAAGGGGACGAATATGCGCGGGCGAAATTGGGGGCAGAATCGCAGCTTCATCGGGTTGAGCGGACAGGCGGGCGGAATAGTTGCGAGGACACTGAGTGGTGGGCGTGCTTGTGTTCACAGATATGAGTGTGCGTATGTGGGGTCGAAGGGATGCACGGCCGGAAACGTGGAGTGCGTGGGCTGAATGGACGAGTGTCGAGGGGAGACAGGTCGGCGGTGGGGCGGGCGGAAAGGATGAGGTTAGGATATACACGTGTGCAGGGAAGGACTGGCGCCACGAGGGACGACGACGCACCTTCATGACGCTCGTCCTGCTCAGCGAGCGTGCATCTCCCCATAAATTTCCTCGTCCTCCACGCCCATCCATGTTCCCAGCCCGTCTCTCAGCCGCCGCCGCCGCCGCCGCCGGTCCTCTTCTTCCTACGCTACCAGCCAGTTAGGTTAGGTCGAGGATGGGACTGTTGACGAATGTGAGATCGAGTGTGCGCAAACTCGAGAGGACGAGGGCGACGAGGATGAGGGGATGAGGGGTCAAGCGCGCACGGGGTCGAGTGTGCCTGTGGTTTCGGCAACGATCCAGGACGAGGGAGGAGTGGTCGAGGGGCCGTCGAGAGGTTGTGCGTGCACGCGTGCGCGAGCTGGATGAGTCATGCGGAAGCGGATCTGGGTCGGATCTGGGTCGCAGGCGAAGGCGGGTGCGTGAGCTCAAGGGATGAAAGGGATCGAGGGCATTCGGTGGCGGGCAGGTGTGGGCTAGATGAGTCTAACTTGGGCTTGACGGGACAAGGGGAAGCGCGCGGACGAACGGGGATAGCATGCAAAGGCGGGTGCATGGCGTCGAGGGGTCGCGCGTTCACGCATGGGCACAAAGGCAGAATTGGCTATTGAGGGAATCAAGTGAGCGAACGGGCTTGGCGTCAGAGATCGAGGGCGTCGCAGGGTCGCAGGTCGAACAAGGGGTAGGCAGAAAGGATCAGAGCGGTAGGTACACGCCTTGGTGACTCTCGGCCTCCCTCTCCCTAGTTCATGTCTTTGTTGCTAGCTGTTACTCACCCTCCTCGTCAACACACTAGAGCGCGTGTGGCATGATGTCTGCTATGCTTTGTGCGCTGGCGCGGAGCGCAAGTGGGGCGGGAGCGGGGGCGCCTGAAGGGACGGCGACGGTAGAGGGACTGTGTAGGGCGGCGGGGTCGCAGCAGTGACGCAAGACGAGGAAGGGTGGACGAGGGGACGACGAAGTGTTGATGCTGCGTGGGATTGAGGGGATGACCGTGCGTGGGATTGACAACGCGAACGGTCGAGAGAGTCCAGGTGACGTGCGAGCTTGGGCTGGAGGCAACAAGCGGAAGGGCAATGAGTGGCGGGTGTGCATAGCGTCGAAAAGATGCACGTGCGCATATGGGCTCGAACGCGGGAGCGTGGACGTCAACGTCAACGGCCTAGGGGTTCGAAGGTACTGGGTAGGCGGCGGGCGTAGTCATGAGAAGATGGGCGCGGGCTCTGGGGCTTGAGGGGACGAGGGGACGTACGCATATAACTTTGGGTCGCAGGCAAATGGATGCGTGTACTGAAGAGAACCGAGCGTGCGCAGGCGGGATCGAGGGTTAGGTTCGACGCTCGAGCGGGTCGAGAGGGCAAGAGTGGCGTCGGGCATGCACAGGATCTCGGCGGTGACACGGTCTGGGATGCCTGGGCGAGTGACCCGAGCGAGGAAACCTTCGACTTGAGCATGGAGATGGTACTCTGCGCAGCAGCCTGTTGAACTTTGAGCGTGCGCGAGAGCTTGAGTGAAGATTTGACCCGGGAGGCGAGGGCATTGAGGCACTCCTGTGACACGGAAGGCATTGAAAGCTGGAGTGCAAAAGGTTCTTGTAGGGACAACGACAATCTTCTACTAAAATACCGAGTTGCTTGAGCTGTCGTGTTGCTAACAACATAGAGGGCGCCGTGGGACCTTGCCAATCCGACCGACCGAGTTGAAACTTGGAAGGCTGCGAGGTAGGAATCTAAAAAGAGGAAAGGAATGGGTGAGGTCGATGAATGCAGGAGAAAGAGAGAAACGGCACGTCGAAACTTGCAGACAAATGAAACATGGTGGGAGAGCTTGAAGGACAAGAAGTAATATGCCATACCGAGGTTAGCGCACGCGTAAAGTCTCTCATGATATACCCGAGCGGCACAAGTACCTACAGAAAGATCTGAAATCATCGTTAGACAAAGACAAGGACCACAATGGGAATCCTCAACACTGCTTGCTTTCTCAGGGCCTCGGCGGAGGCCCATCGTCCGTTTGCAATGCCGAGGGCGGGAAAGAAGGGACAACGAAAAGTAGAATACAGATACACTTACAGGAGCAGGGGTCTGTCATGGTTATGATTACAAGTCGTCTCGTGCGCGTAGAGCAGAGTTTGCTCCGGTTTCGCAATTCATCGTTGTGTGGTAATGGCTTAGGGAGAACACCATGTCCGCCGCGACGGTGATGTGCGTCGATCTACTCTCATTCGCCAGCTCCTCGTTGGGCAGCTTTCGTGTGCGCCTAGAAACCACAATGAAAGAATAAAATTAAAACTCAACAAGTCGACACGCGTCCACGCAAACACGATCGGAGCACGCGCGACGTAACCTTTGCGCGCATCCAGGACGTCAACGCCGCTGCTGATCAACTGCATATGCTCCAGCTGGCTCACGCACGAGAGCACCTCGCGCCACGAGCCCTTGAGGTTATTGCCCTCCATGACTGTGACGTCGAGAAGCATCTGGGCCGCCTCCATGTTCTTTGTCTTCATCTCCCCGAGGTTGTTCAGGAACGTGAACTTTGCGAGCGTCGTCACGAACGCGTTGCGCTCCAGCTCGAGGTCGAAGAAGCACACGATCCGGATCGCATTCCGGAAGCCGTCGAGGCAGAGCTCCACGACATCCAGGTTGTCCGTCTCCTACAGTGGGCCCGAGATCCCCGCGAGGAACGGGATCCACGCGACCTCGAACATGGGCCAGACGTGTACGAAGTGCGACGCGCTGAAGAACTGCTCGCCACTCCGCGAACCCTTGCACTGGGACTGCATCATCGTCCTGAACAGCGCCTGCATAACCGACGCGTGAGCAAACCACCCCAGCACCGACATCTCGACGCTCGACGCCATCAAGAAGCATGCACCTCGGTCTTGTTCGCCATGCCGTTCGACTGCAGCATATACGCCTCCCTCTGCAAGTCCTGCCCGACCGTGGCGAGCGCGCTCGCCAGCCCCGCACCCGGCGCGAGCGACGCGACCAGGCTCGAGTCCACCTCATCCTTGATCCGGATCCCATTGTTCACGATGTCGTCAAAGATGGCGGACAGCAGCTCCTCGGGGAGATCCGCGCCCTCGTTGATCCCGCGGGTGTTCTTCACGAAGTCTGCGCGCGTCATGCGCTTCTTCACCTGCGGATTGTGCGCATCCGTGTTGAGCAGGATGACCGAGTACGAGATCACGTAGGCGGTGTCTGCAACGGAAACGGGGCCGTGGCGCGTCAGACGCGCGCGCGGATGAGCAGCGCGCGGGACACGCATCGGCGTTCGCGAACGGTGTGTTCGCATTGCCCTCGATGTAGCGCTCGGCGAACTTGAGCATGAACAGATTGATCTTCTGCGCTTCCCCGGGCAGGCGGAACGCCTGCAGGTAGACGTGCAGCGCGTCGACGAAGGGCATGCTCCGCAGGTCGAGCATGTTGACGAACGTGTACATGGTCGCGATGTTCTCCTCATCCCTGCAACCCGGTGAGACATCGCAAACGGAGGAGGTGGAAAACGCGCACCCTTCGCCGAGGTACTCACCGATCATCGACTTGCTCAGCCCATCGGTATGCAACAAGAACCGTGTGACATCCTGCGGCGCCTTACTCAGAATGAACCCCGTCTCGAGCAAAAATTGTAAGCCCTAACACCCGCCCATTGGTCAGCCCTCCTCAGCCGAAGAAAACACGCACTCGCTTCGGCTTAAGGTTGAACTTCTTGACGCCCTCCAGCAACATCGTCTTCTTCTGCTTCGCGCTCTCGAACCGGCCCGGGTCGTCGTGGATACCTGGCGTCGGCTGCCTCGTCGCCTCCGCGCTCGGGCCACCCGTCGGGAGCCTATCCAGTGACTGCGACGCGTCGGGCGTCAATCCCTCAGGGCACCCGTCCTCGCCGACGCTGGTGCGCCACGCACTCGCCGCGGCCGCGGCCAACGCCGAGTCGGGCGTGGTGCCCCACGCGACGAGCGAGCGTAGCACGGCAGTGAGGCACTCGAGGCTCTGGCGGCAGAGCTGCTGCTCCGAGTGGCCGAGCGCGGATGTATCGAGCGAGCCTGAGACGGCCACGGCGGACGTCACGAGTGACGGCGGGATGCCCGGCGCGTGCACCTTGCTCGTGGGTGTCAGCGCGGGGCTCGCAGGGTCCGCCGGCTTCTGCTGCGCGGCGGACGGGAGCATGCTGGTGCCGATCTTGGTGATGATGTTCATGAGGCTGCGCGCGCGGCGGGCAGGGTGTTCAGCGAGCCGCATACACTGACAAAAAAAACAAAGAAAAAGAAAAAGAAAAAAAAAACAGAGGGCAGAGCAGAGCGGAGGAAAAGAGAGGAGGCGGGGCATGCTCACTGCTCGTAGATGTTGTCTGCGACTTGGCTGTCGCAATTATAGTTGAGATAAATCTCGACGAGCGCCTGCGGATCGTGACAAAGGCGTGACAGCATACCCAAGATGGCGGCCTTCTGCTTCAGCGTCGACGTCTTCATCTCGAGGATTGGGAAGAAGATCTCGTGGAACGGGACCTCGATCTCTTTCTGCAGGCGCAATCAAAACAAAACTAGGTCTGCGAAGACAGACCACCTACGCGCGTGTGCACCTTGAGCTTCGTCCGGAGGCCCGTGATCACGCGCCAAAATATCTCGACGCTGATCTCGAACGCCTGCGGGACGGGGCTGGCTGCTTTCCTACTGAGGCTGAGGCAGAGGTACTGGTTTGCCATCTGCACGAACGGGGTCGCCTCGTGGGACGAGCTCGAGTAGATGAGCGACGAGGGCGAGACGAAGACGTCCATGTGCGCGTTGAGGATGACGAGCACCATGTGCATGGAGAGCAGCTTGGAGCGCATCGAGTGCGACTTGAGGTCGTGCTCGCTGTGGGCGGGGCGCGCAGGCACGGGGATCAGTAAAGGGTGATGTGGATGTGGTGCGAGGAGGAGACAGCGAACCTTTTCGAGTTGAGGGGCTTCATTGTGAGTTTGCACATGGATCGGAAGACGAGGAAGGCATCCTTGAGGAAGAGGTCATTGATCGTCATCGTGTGTGCCGGAGGAGCATGATGCCCCTGGGCTGGGGTGCTCGGGAGAGAGCTTGCTCGCGTGCAGAACAGTGAAAAGGGGACACAAGCAGAACTGTGCGAGGGAGACGCACACTTGAGGGGTATCTGGCCTGTCCGCGCCGTGCTCGATCCCATTCGATGAGGGCAGCTCGAGGACGGGCAAGTCGTCGTGGGCAGCTACCGGCGGCAAAAGAGGGAGCGGGATCTCGAGCGAGATGTCGTCTGCCGAGGGCACCTTGTCCTGGGACGGCAGCGCGCACGGCGGCTCGATGTCCGGCGTGAACGGCGCGAACGAGTCGCGCTTTGCGGACGGGGCGTCGTCAGCCCTAGACGCGAGTGACGTGGTGAACTCTGCGGCGGCGGGTGGGGGTCGGTGGACATGAGGAAGACGTTGTAGACGGTGCAGACGGCCTTGAGGAGCGAGGACTGGTGGACGAGGATGGTGGAGGAGAGAATGAGAGCGAGGAGGGCCTTAACGACCTGGAGCCTAACCGAGTCGGCGGTGGACTCGGTGTGGCAGGTGGTGGTGGTATGCACGACGAGGTCCACGAGCGAGGGCGGGGGGAGGTTGCTCTGGGAGGCGCTCGAGGTGGAGTGGCTGAGCCCGGACCCGGGGACAGGGGCGGGGATGGGAGGATGCGTGTTTGGAAGGCCTGGCCTCGACAAAGAAGGAGTAGGAGATGAGCTTGGAGATGCAGTCAAGGCTGGCGACCGTGAGCTTCTCGTTGCGGGTCTCGCAAGCGAGGCAGAAGACGGAGTTGCCCTTGGAGATGGTCATGGAGCGCTTGTAGGAGGAGGGCGGTGTGGAGGGATGTGGTGGACATGAATGGGGAGAACGCGGTGTGGGTGTCGATCGTGCGCGAGGCGTCAGTGGAGGAGAGCCGGGAGGACGGGGGTGGTGCGCGCGGTAGCTGAGGCTGCCCCCACGCGGGGGCCGGTCTTGCAGCGAGTTCTTGGATGGCGGCGTCGGAGGAGGGGCTGGCGTAAAGAAAGATGACATACCTCATGGATATCCTCGTCGTCCGCACCCTCTCTCTTCCCAGCTTATCTTTCCGCCATCGCCGTTCCTCAGCGTGGTCGTTGTCGCTGTCGTCGTGATTGTCAGTGTGGTCCTCGTTGTCGTCGTGTTTGACGCTCAGACGGTCACGATGCTTGGAGCGTTATCAGGCAGCGTGGGCGTGGGGGCGTTGGTGGAGCAGAACGCCTCCGCGGCCGACATCGTGGTGGCGCAGGGGAAAGAGACGGGGGTGAGCGGGGGCGTAGGCGTGGACGAGGACAGAGACGGGGTCGGGAAGGGAAAGGTTAGTCCCTCGAGGATCTGTAGATAGTAGAAGTAGAGGAAAAGAGAAGGAAACATCAGTACACGTCCTCAACGATGCTAGCTTTATCAGGGCCTCGGCGGAGGCCCATCGTCCGCTTGCATCATTGAGAGCGCAAAGGAAAGAGAGCGCAAAGGAAGCGGGTGTCGAGAAGTAAAAGGAACAAAAGATAACTCACAACGAAAGGTTTAAAGTGCTCATTTCGCTCATCTGGACCAGTGTCTGCGCTGGTTTCTCAACCGATCGTCCTGTAGAAGAAGAGGATGTGGCCGATGGCCTGTCGAGAAGTCTCTGGCTTGCAGGCTAGCAGAGGATGTCGACATTGGCACGGACAGGGTGTGGACGAGGGATCGCGGAGACGGAAGAGGTACTGAGAGACGAGCATAGACCGAAGAGTTGGATTGAGAGCTGTTCATGACGATCGAGGTAGAGTGGTGCTCCTTCCACTTCGGGCGAAAAATTTCGCCCACAAATCGTGTGGGTGAACGGGCCTGAGTTCAAAATATAAATCTAAATACAACAAGAAAAATAATACAGGCTGTAGCTACAGAGGAGCACCTAAGAAAGTAGCTTCGAGGGAGGTGTATATGCACGCAAAGTACATAGAACGAGTCGCGCGGACTACATGCATATGGTATTAGCCGACAAATAGAAGATACAAGGGGAGAATGAGGCTGCGAGGCTGGGCATGTCGCACGACCGTACTCTCGAGACTGCTGGAACAGTGATAGCGCGTGTTCTGCTGCTATCGTACACTCGTCTGAAGCTCGCTTGAGGCCCTCTAGTGTCCTGTGTCCGACAACATTCTGCCGAGAAGGCTGTTCGTGATGTCAAATGTCAGCATCAGGAGCATGAGAGAGGAGGAGAGGGAGAGGAGGAAGGAAGGAAATGAGGCCGACGAAGTCGGCGGCCGCGTGCTGTCTGCCGCAGACAGCACGCGGCCGTTTCTGCATCATGACTTGTCCACCGGCACTTTTATGCCGCGTGGAGCGACTGGGCGCCCTGGACAGCCCGCCGCCGTTTCATGTCCTCAGTCCTGCAACAAATGACCTAACCTAACCTTCGTATGCGCGAGCTGTGTGCGTCACTTACTCTCGCAGATACGAGGCTCTCGTCCATGTTGACAGTGGCGAAGACGTAACGTTCCTGCAAAACACTGGTCAGAGGCAGAATGACGGATGGAACGAGGGTCGTCAAGGAAAGAGAATGAGAGTGGCCTTAGTGAGAGAAGGGGTCATCGACGCACGTAGAATGCGGCGGTGGCGGCGGCGCGCAGACAGCGCGCCATTGTTTCACATCTTGTGAACTTCACCGTTGCAGAACTTTCAACATCAGGCTTCTCCAATGCCAGCGCTTGCCATGCATCCTGCGCGACTCGTCCGCTGTGGAGTGCCAGGAGTTGGGTGTCTTCAACACGCAAGCGAGGATGGCGGGAGGTTGATGGACATGGGGAGGGATCCGTGAGGAGGGATCGAAGGGACAAGCTTACATGGGGTTGAGGAGACAAGCCAGAGAGCAGAGTGGTGAGCGGGAATACACTCAAGGGGACAAGTATATGTGGGGTCTGGGCAGTGATGCAAGAAGGGAACGGATGTCAGGGCACTTGGTAGTGGCGGTGCGTGGCGTTGCGGAGACGGGTGCGTGTGCATGAGGTCGAGTGGATGCCCGCAGATGTCGGTCACAGGCGAGGGCACATGCATGAGCTTGAAGGGACAATTGTGCGCACGTGGGCTTGAGGGCGCAATTGACGGTCAATGTAATTCATAGCATTGAAGACATGCGTGATGTTGAGGGCGGGGGAGTGAACGGTCGACAGGGAGATGGGATGCAGGCTGAAGGAGGGGCCAGCGGAAAGGATGAAAACGAGACACGCATGCGGAGACGGACAGGCACGAGAGACGACGTACCTGCATCCGTCGTGGATGTCCTCATTGTCTATGCCCATTCTCCGCCGCTGCCATTGCTTGTCCTCGTCATTATCCTCTGCCACCAGCTGGACCTCGTCGTCCTTGTTGACGTTTGAACGGCCACAATGCTTTACATGTTGTGGGGCAGCGCGAGCGCAGAGGTGTGGAGAGAGCGTAATACTGGTGCTGCAGAAATAGTGGAGGGCACTGGTTGACAGGAGCCTTGAGCGGATTAAGGGGAGGCAAGTGTGGGCCTGGGTAGCGGGCGCCGCGGATGGGTACGGGCACAGTTGGGTAGGCGAGGGGGATCGAGGTTCGAAGAGTTTGAGGGAACAAACAGGCAAGCATGCGCAGCATCGAGGGCTGAAGCGTCAATGATTGAATGCATCAAGGAAACTTGGTTCGAAGGAGGGGCTAGGGGGAAGGAAAGAACCAGCGGTACGTACCTTCAACCTCCTCTCTCCCAGCTCATCTCCACCACTAGCTTCTCCTTTCTCTACTTGTGGACAGGCTAAAGCACAAGTTGCGTGATGCTGGCAATGTTCTGTACATGGGCGCGGAGTGTATGTGCGGCAGGAGCGAGTGCGCATGGAGAAGCAGCAAAAGTGCAGAGAGCGGAGGGTGGATGTTGATGGTGAAAATGGAGTCCTCAGTCGACGCAGGGTCAGCAGCTAACAATAGCAAAATAATTGGAAGTGTTAGTATAGTAACACGCTCTCAGTGATGTGTGCTTTCTCAAGGCCTCGGCGATGGCCCATTGTCCACTTGCATCGTCGAGAGCGTGCAGAGCGAACAGTTGAGATCAAGAAGAATCACACCAATTTCCTTGATATTCCCTGAGATAGTGGTGTCGATATATCGAGGGGATGTCAATTGAGGGCGATTGATTTTTAGAGGTTATGGAGGGTGCTGGATGCGAGGCGACGTGGCAGCGTGCTTGATCACGAGACGTTGGAGGGCACTGTGTGCCAACACAGTCAGAGGGAAAACTCCGACTCTTTCCCGGTGCTGACTAAACTGTGTCTCCAGGTTGCAGAATACCCTTATCATCACAAACAATTCCATATCTCCAAATTCCTTCATCCAAATGGTACACTTGTGGTATCATTTGAAAGGCACTGTATATTGGAGCATTTAATTTGTCTTTGTGATGAAAATTGAACAACAATTGGGGACTGAAGACATGCTTTTTTGAGTTTTTCTTATGATTTTGTATTTTGCCTGTAACATCTTCAATACTCCATTTCTACTAATAAAAAATTCAGTGTGTCATCTTGAATAGCTTTTTTATCAATTGAATTAGATAGAATTGTGTGGAATTTCAATTTTGGCTCCCAATACACAGACTGTGCAAAGCACAGTCTGGTTTTAGGGAGTAGACTGTTTAAATCAATATCTATTGCACCCATGATTCAATCTCACTGTTTCTGGGCTTCAAATTTGCATCAGGGTATGAGGTTTACAAGCCATATTTTTTTGTATTTATAGCAGCACTAAATTTTCAATACAGTTGTTTTGGATATCCAAGGACTCAAAAGTGCTGGTAATAGTCCTAAGGTCCTTTGGACTCAGGATTTCTAGTATTTGTCAACATCTCACTGGTTGGGGGCTGCGAATTGTTAGGAGGTTCTCCATCTGGATCTTGTTCTTGAGTAGGCTCTTCTGTGGAGGCTTTGACCGGTGAAGTAGTTCTGAAGCTTGCTTGTGAAGAGGTTTCTTGTATTAGAGATTGGACTGGGGTGTTTCTTTGAGAGACTTGACTTCCACTGGTGGTTTCCCTGGGTATGTTATATATGTGTGGTTTCAGTGAGTTATGATTCCAATTTGTTGGTGATTTAGGCTTGATGAGTCTGAGTGCTCTGATGACGTCTTTGAGTTTAACTATTTGTAGTTTGGGTGTGGCGTGAATCTCCCTTTTGAAGAATGGTTTGTTGTAGAATTCTTCCTTTCTGTTCTGGGTATAGAATCCCCAAAGGACTCTATTGTGGTAGAAGTGTTCATTCTTCTGGTTGCAATAAAGGTTGTCTGGGTCAATGTCTTCAGGTAAGTTTTTGAAGATGTAGATCAGGTTGTTGTTGTATGGGGGTAGGTATCCTTTTGGAAGTGACAACTCAATGGTTTATTCTGCAAAGTAAAAGGGGATCTCATATCTTCTTCTAGCCCTGAGTCTTTCTTGGAGTATAGGTTCTCTTCTGATGATTTTGTTAATTCTGTTATTGATTTGGTCCAAAAGTGTGAGGATTTTGTCAAAGGTTTGTCCGCTAATGAAGCTTCTGAAATAATAAGTTTTGTAGGTGAACTCTCCTCTTCTGATAATTGATATGGTTCTGGTGATTTCCATCCTGTAGGGTGAGTATCTAGTATTGTACAGTGTGTCTTAGTTTGAGGTGATGTAGGTCCAAAAAATGATGATGGTGTATTGACTCCTTGGTTCACTTTTCTTGACAAGTTCTCTTCTGATTCCTTCAGAATCCATGCCTCTGGTGATATGCCTATAGAGATCGGTGATGTGTGCTGCAGGGAAATGGCTTGGTCTGCTGTCGTCCACATCAATAGTATTTCTTGTGTGAAGGATGTTCATTCCTGAGTTTCCAATGAAGGAGACCGGGGTTTTTGGATTGTTGGTGAAACAAAGCCTAGGAAAAGTAAATCCAAATCTGTCAACAAGATTGAAGAAATAGTTGTGATGTTATTGTAGCCTGAACATGGCTACTCTTGCATATGCTTTTCCTGTTACTGAATATCAAGAGGTGGTAATGTCACCTGCGGGAATTTCTTGGCTAAGGACTAGGGTGGTGGTCTTGGATCTAACTAGTCCTGTGTTAATTACTTGATTAACTTGTGTTGCTTGAGCTGTTCTGTGATTTCTTTCTAGTAATTGTCAAGCAACCTTGGCAAGTGACTGTATATTTTGTCATTCCAGGATAGAATGGGGTAAGGAATAAAGAGCTCATTCAAGTGTTAAGCCACTAGGCTTATCACGTGCACTTAATGCACTAACAGGGGTTTCCTAGGCTAAAACTGATAGTGACAGCCTAACAAATGAAGACCACTGCTTGTCTATGTGTGTTATCCAAGAAGTCTTGATTGCTGTCAATGTTGTCCTCGAAAAGATTGAGAAGGTGACTGTTAATAATGTGCCGATGCTTGTCCAGGACAAACAGATTTTCTTTAATATAATAGATGACTTCCGATAGATCCCAGCAGATAACCTGATAGGCTGCGAGTCCTTGATAAGTAACAAAAATGGGAGAATGATAAGGGATTTGAGATGGATCCAGTGCTTTGTCAGACTAAGTATGATTCTATTGATCTGACAGAGTTTGCAATGCATGGGCTAAAAGGAGCCAGACACCAGGCACAGTACAGAGATCAAGATGTATACAAAGTGAATGAGCTAAGTCTTTTAAGAAGCTTAGCTCAGCTGTTTATACATACAGACTATTTAGGGCAAGATGGACATATAGTCTGTGCTCCTAAACTATAAGTATGATCAGCAATTGACCTTCGTAATTTGCAATTGTAGTTCAAACTATAACCCTGTATAGTAAGTATATCAAATGTCCATCTGCATCAGTAATCAAATAGGAACCGATCAGGAACCTATCATAATAGACATATGTAAATGTTCAAACCAAAGCTTATAAATGAGTCATCAGTATGTAAGCATTCATGCATAAGCATGTGTATAATAGTCATTCTTTGTCAGCCATACCAGCCCAAGTTAACAGTCTGAATCCAGAGCATATGTGTACTACCTGATGATGCTACCAGACTATGTGCTAAGCATGTGTTAGGATGCAGTCCTAACATAATGGCTCTAGTACCTCTGTCAAAGAAAAACAAGAGTACATTGTTGTTCACAAATGAGCCCATCATAACACAGCTGAATTGAACAATCCTTGGGTGAAACAGTAGTTAATATTGTAGATATTTGTTGTCTGCCCAGGATTATCCATCAAAAAATGAGTGGAGCTTGCCACAATGATGGCCTTAGCACAGATTGATTGATCCTCTTCATTCTTTTTTTGTGATGATATTCTAAATATGTCAAATTATTGCACACATTGGTTTAAAATTGAAGCAAAGCTCTGGTGTGTCTTGTTTTCTGAAAAAGTCCAATGAATGTTTATTTAGCAATATTTGGCTTTTTAGAGAAGCCGCCCAGCCCCAGCCTTACCCCCCATTCTAATGTCCCATAGCCCATTCTAATGTCCCATAGTCTATGGTTTTTAAAGGTCTACAAGTCTACAGTCTAGTCTACAAGTCCACTGTCCACAAGTCTAATAGACAACCTCCTCGGCGGTCAGCCGTTCTCATTTGTGTCGTAACGGTTTTGTCACACTTCGGTCACTTCCGTGTCACTCTTCTCTGTGTCCTCCCGCTTCTCACGTTAGTGAGAAACGGGAGGTCTGTCTCAAACGGTTACTCTCGGGACCCATGTGCATGGGGTCCCAGGCGGTGCCCAGAGGGCTGTGATATAGGTTAGGCGCGGGATTCTATATAGAGGGCGACAGTAGGGGTCTGGTGGCAACTAGCCGTCGGCTAATCCCACGCAACAAACCACGCGAGACCACTGTCCCATAGGCTTCGGGAGGTGAAACGGAGCATGTCGGAGCTTGAAACGGAGTTGGTCAGCGCGCGCGTGCCTGGAGCTAACCTAAGCATAGGGAATTCTCTTCCCCTGGCACTGTCTTGCAGTGATTTCTTCAGGTAAAATATGAGGGGGCATTCAGCAAGGGCTTAGCTTGGCAACCACTCTTGGCTCTTGGTTTTTTTGGAGGTATTTTTTATGTAAATAAATAATAAATAAAAGGGGACAATATGAAATGGTGGCACTAGGCTAATAGCTCAAGTCATATGTCCTTGCTTACACTTATGTAGGCCACATAAGAAACCATGTGAGCAAAGCAAGCATCCATGATAAATTGGGTGAGCAGAGTAAGCCATGTCTTGGTGCTCCTAGCAACTCTAGCAACTAGAGTGGGCTATGCCTTAGCAGCCATTGAAGCTTGAAATGGCATCCTAGCACCTTACAGAGAACCTCACAGGGAAGCCTCATGGGTGGGACCCTGATGGGGGAGCCTCATAGGGCAGAATCTCATAGGGAAATTTAATGGATGGGACCTTATAGAAAGCTTTATATGTATATGGAAATTTTATAAGAAGGACCTTATTGGATATCACAGAAGAGCCATATAGGGATATTAAGGTACTAGACTTTATGGGCACTAGACTTTACAGGCTAGCAACTAGAGTGGGCTATGCCTCAGAAGCCATTGGAGCTTGAAATGGCATCCCAGCACCTCACAGAGAACCTCATGGGGGAGCCTCATAAATGGGACTCTGATGGGGGAGCCTCATAGGGCAGAATCTCATAGGGGAATCTAATGGATGGGACCTTATAGGGAGCTTTATATGGAAATTTTATAAGAAGGACCTTATAGGATATCATAAAAGAGCCATATAGGGATATTGGGGCACTGGACTTTATAGGCACTGGACTTTACGGGCACTGGACTTTACAGGCACTGGACTTTATGGGCACTGGACTTTACGGGCACTGGACTTTATAGTCAGTGCACTCTATAGGCACATGAGACCAAGCACTACAACAAAAACTCAGATTAAGCACGGGCACTGGACTTTACAGGCACTAGACTTTATAGACACTAAACTTTGTGAATACTAAACTTTACAAACACATCAGACCAAGCACTGTAACACAAACTCAGATTAAGCATGGTTGCGCCGTCGCAACGCGACGGGTGAAAAGCTAGTGGTGATGATGCTCGACGCGCCCACGGCGATGTCACATGAGAGACGCGTGTTTTTGTATATTGCCGCAACAGCGCTTGTTGAGTCACGACTCTCACAGCGAAGAGTGTCCAATCCCAGTGGGACTCTGTGTACTGTCCGACCAGTATCTCACAAGCAGTCCAGATCCTCAAGGCGAAGACAAAAGCAATCTTCCCGAGAGTCGCATGGCAGAACGCGAGCCTGCGAGGCACAATACCATAGCTCCACTAAGTGCTGGACCGTCTTCCGCGTCAAACTCAACGAGCGATTCTCGTCCTGATCGATATGTTCTTGTAAGTCGAAAATCAACCTGATACGTCGCCCATTGTTTCCTTAGAAATAATTATATGTCCTGTTCCTCTGGCAAGCTCTCAACCTCTCAGCAACTGCCTGCACTCCCTCCGACGCCTCTTCAGCAAGAAGACGGCATTTTTATGTCTACGCTACCGTGTGCCACACAACAACCTCCGATCTCTCTCGCGCAGCACAACATCAAAGTCCGAGACTTTGCATATGAGAGTGTATTACCCCCAATCCCTCCAATCCCTCGACTTCGTTCTGTACAAGCAGGGCCAAGGCCCTTGAAGCGTCTCAAACGATCACATGGGCCGGACATGGATGATGATGATCCCTTTCTGGGAGGAGAGGCTCGTCATTATACATCACTTAAACTAGTCGGTATCGAAGGCATACTAGGGGACGGACACAAAACCCAACAGAAGGCAGTGAATCTGAAACGCAAACTTACTGAACCAATCATAACCCTAGAACAACCTCAAAATCAATTAGCGCGCGCCGCAGCATACATCGATCTATCGCGTCAAATTAGTATCAGTCCTTCCACAGGAGTGTCGAATCCAAGCACACCCCCTACTTACAGGCGAAGCGCAGCTCCTTTTAATGTTTCGCCTATTCCTGGGCTACTTTACCAGGGACAATCAGAAATCGTTGGACCACACGACGACTCCACATCCTCCCAACCTCTTCTTGTCGGTGATTCCCAAGAAAGTGAGACTCAGGTTGACACCCCTCTTGCCACCCCAAATGGGTCGCTACATTTTCCGAACACCGACAGGATCGTGGTGGCAACATCACAGTCCCAAACAGACTCACAGCTCTTCCAAGAGGATGTCACTTACTCCCAACTTGGCCCTTCCCTGCCATTTTCGCAGCCTAACTTCTCGCAGACGGGCTCGCCGGAGGTCGTCCATAGTGCGGCCACTCATATGAACGGGCATCTGTCATCACCTTCTCGAATATCCCGCTCAAACACCCACTTGGTCGAGTCGAACCGCGTCGGGCTCTCGTCCGTCGAGTCCACCGAGGTGTTGTCGTCGAACCTGCGCTTGCGGTTCAGATGCGCCGAGGGCAGCGGCATGTGCGGAACGCGCCCCAGAGTATCGGACGCCGTGGATGGGCCTGCGACGGGGACCGCCGTCGGACCGGCCCATTTACTAGCCCACGGCGGCGGCGGCGACGGCATCTAGTGACCGGGTACTGGTGTCGAACACACTGCATCATATACAGGGATAGGGACTGGCGGGGGCGGCGAGAGCAGCGGGAGCGGCAAGGGCGGCGCAAGGGCCCATGCGGAGTGCGTGAACTGCGAGAGAATCTATTGGTCTGGGCAGGAGTGGCCGGTGCCGACGTGCTGGGATGGGGTGCCGTTGGCGGGGACGCTGTCCGGCTGCCCGGCGCTGAAGCGGATGAGCTCGACGAACAGCGTCGTAGGAACGAACCCCGTTGGAGCAAGCGGAGGAGGAGCAAGATCTGGACGCTATTCACTTGGAGCAAACGCGCCAGCGCCGGTAGAGGGTGTGAATAAAGCGACGTACAAGGTCGGACGAGCCCATGTCGACCTGAAGGGACAGACTTTGGCTGTTGGAGCCGACGAGGATCGGGACGGTATATATGCTGAAAAGGGCCGATGTGAGCAACTAGTCATTTGCTAAAAACAAGATGATAAATAAATAAAAACGGCGAAAGAGGTAAGACGACGCTGAAAGAGGTGAGATGGCACCCGGGCGCGTCGAGATCGAGCAGCCATAGCAGCGGACCTCGTGAGCGATGAAGGAGGAGTTGCGTGCCGCAACGGATGCTGGAAGACGAGGGCTCAACTGCAAGCTAGGCTTCAAGGCAATCAGGCAGAATGATTTGGATGCATGCATCCACGGGAGAGGGTAGCAACGCGAGATCAAACCCGAGGAATAAACTAGCATGCAGAGACGCGAATACCGCCGGTTGTGAACACGATCGGGGTTGTATGGAGTCGTGCATTCGTGCAAGCGACAGATGAATGTCACACCGAATGTACGCGAAGGGACAACGAGAGGGAACGAGAGAGATGGAAAGATGGAAAAACGGGCAAAAGGAAAAACGGGCAAAAGGAAAAACGGGCAAAGGGAAAACGGGCAAAGGAGACGCACGCTTCATAAAAGCCGCCACCGATCATTTCAAGGGAGAGGTTGGAGCCCTGCGATCCGGCAGGGTCGTCGCGAGCGTGGAGAACGCGGGTGCGCGCAGGTTAGCGCCGACGCTGGTCGCGTGGGCGGCGTTTTTGTGCGCCGATGAGCCCGTCGCGGACGGGTGGTAGGCGCGGAGATATGCTGGAGGATGCGGCGCACATGGGGACCGGTATGCTCTGAGCGCGCTATATCTGGCATCTGCTCCTGCATTGGTTGCCTGGAGAGCCAAAGTGGCTTGCGCGAGACTGGGGGTGACGTGGAGGTCAGCAATGATAGACGAGGCGGGTGTTGGGGGAGGAGCTGAGGTAGCTGGGCAGCTGGGCAGTCAGTAGACTGATATCGAGGAGCCAGCCGTGGAGGCGCCGTCCCAGCAGGATGTGCGCGGAGGGAATGGTGGGAAGAGAGATGACGATGCACCTTCAACGCTCATCCTGCTCAGCGAGCGTGCGTGCGTCGTGAACGGACGTCATCGTAGTCCATACGCACCCCTCTTTCTAGCCCATCTCTCCGTCGCCGCCGCCGTTTCCTCTTCAACCTCCTCTGCCGCCAGCCAGTCAGACTAGGTCGAGGGTGGGGCAGTTGACGAAAGAGAGGTCGAGCGTGCGCGGGGTAGAGCGTGAGGCCTCGACGATGGGGCGAGACGATGGAGGAGTGAATGAGGGATCGACAAGAGGAAGGGCCGAGAGGTCGTGTGTGCATGCGGGGCTGAAGGAGGGGCGCAGATGTGGGTCGCACATGCACGCATCAGAGGCGGGACTGACTATCGAGGGGATCGAGTGAGCGAGCGGGAATAGCGTCAAGGAGGCCACAGAGATCGCGGGGCACAGGTTGAGCAAAGGGCGGGCGGAAAGGACTGACATGTCGAGTTGATGGGCGTGTCCCGGTCCAACTCTTGCAGCGCAAGCTCGAGGATAGCCTTGAACACGTGCTCTCGCTCGCCGTGCACATCGTGGTCCAACAGCGTCGTGAGCACCTCCCCGTCGACCGCAATCATCCGCCGCCCCACCAAATACCATACCAGCCCGCTCGTGCGCGGAAGTCCGAACCTGTCCACTGTAATTCTAAACTGTTACTTGGGCTTCACTCTCGCACAAGACTTAGGCTAAAGTCAATCATGCGAAATGTCTCATCACTCGTGCAGAGTCACCGCTTTTGACCACCGCCATTTTATCTGTCTTCTCGCATTCCATTCTTCCAATCCTCGCCCTATGATATCTGAGTCTTATCTCGCTCTCCGTTCCATATGCCTCATCGACTTTCTCGTTTGGCTTTTCATTAGCGCCCGCGAAAGTGCGCTCGACAGTGTCTTCGACATCCTGGTAGTCCTGGAGCACACCGGTGAGCACATGCAACCGCGTTCAAAATCTCCAGAAGCCCTGCATCGGTTACTTACAGGACACCACATGTTTCCCTCCCGGTCCCGGGATGCATAGAAAATGGCGATTTTTTCTTGGACGTTCTTGGGCTACTCTGGCTCCCATCTCCGCCGCCCTGTGGTCTTTGCTGCCATTTTACTCACAAGTATTATGGCCCACCAACCGAAGAGCGTAGTAATAACTGCTGGACCGACTCGCTGGAAGCCTCGTTGGAGGATGCCGCCCTGTATGCTGCCTGAATGGTATAACGGAGTGATGTCACATTCTGCAGCAGGCGCCTCAGAGCAGATGCGCGTCAGGGTTTGACGGAACACTGGGCGAAGGGAACGTAGTCATGGAGTGGTCAGAATAGACATCAAGAATTCCGCCTAGCCTATAGACTATTCACTGCCTAGATTTCGCCGAAGTTGATCTGTATGCAGCAGGTGCCCCATCCAGCACATAGAGCGGGCAGATATCTTGTCACGAGCTTCCTGCTATGCAGGTCGATAATGACGTCTTCAAGGCTGAATGTCGGCTTCAAGCGGCCTCCTCCATCGATCCTGTTCATTAATTTGGGTGTATTTCACCGACATCCACTTCGTCGACAGGCGAAACGACGGAAGTCGGAGATGAAGGACGGGGGCCAGTCCAGCTATCACTTCTACCTCGTGACTGTTCGATAACTCCGTAATAATCGAGCAACGAACAGACTTGGGTGTGGGGAGATGACGCGAACTTGTCGAAATCGCGAGGCTATCAGTGTCATACATGAGTACAAAACCTGGAATGAATGGGTCAGCTCGTCCTCAAGTCCGTACAATCTACTCCGTGCCGAATAGCAGTCAAGACTGGGCTCCGAAACAGGTGAATATCAAGGTCTGGGCGGTTCTCGATGGAGAGGTAAAGAACTGCGATTAAAAACACGAACCTTTCACGAGTCGTTGTGTTCCGACTGGTGTCATCGCTTGGCGCACGGAAGAGATGAGCGTATACGAGAGGATAGTGATACAACCCGCTCTTTGAACAGAAAGGGTATGGATACGACTGCAGCTTGCGAGCTCACCTTAATACAGTATGGTGACAATAGTCTCTTATTTTCGTACAGACGATAGGCAATGATGAGGATGTTCTGTACGTGCCAGATCTATCAGATTAATTGGAATCCGAGATGCAAAAAAGGCGTATGGACAAGTTATAACAAATGGGGTAACTGCCACAAGTATATCGATACAAATACCAGGCAAGCACGCCGCAAAAGCATGCAACGTTGGGCAACAAAAAGGAGCCGTCGCAGCGTGTGGTATGGTGGCCGGATTTAACATGCATAGCACTATCGTCCCTCTAGGCTGTATCCTCATTTTGTCTGCGGCCACGCCTTGATTCAGGCGGATACACGCATTTGCGGTGCCGTTTCAAACATTGCCTATAAAGGAAAACCAAAGTAGATTAGCACAGGTTGGTTGAAAAGATGAGATGGCCAAGATGAACGCCACGAGGTGATCAAGGTGGAAGTAGCGCATGTAGTTGTGTTCCCAATAACAGAAGCCACGCGCAGATATCGCAATGGCTTGATCAGATGGACAGACTGCCGCAGAGTGAGCATTTAGCTGCGTCTAGTTCAGCGGCAGCAGCCGGTGCCTCGCATGGACGAAAGCATATAAAGAAGATGGGAAGGGATGGAGCGACAATGACCTTCAGTGACCCCCTCTTTCCTCAGCGAACATCGTGACAGGAGCGACACTCACATGCACGCTCTATCTGAGCTATTGGGATCCGCAGGACCGCAGGCGATCTTTCGACCACGACAAAAGAAGCACGCGATGGGCTGAACGTTTCTGACGACGCGAGTACGACCACAGCGTCGTGCGATACTGCCAGTCCTAGAGCCTTCCTCACCGATAGTCTCCAGGGATTCAGTGCTTGTCCGGCCCATCCATCCTTTCTGGGTTCCCGTGTTGGGGCCCCTAAAGATTCCAGCCTCGTGCTTTGCATGCGCAGTGTGTGTGTGTGTTGTAGGTGCACATTGTTCTGACAAAATGGTGTAGAACTTCGACTCCAATATCGATATGGCCACCGGCGACTGCGAGTGCGGAGAAGTCGATGCTGTGGGTGTGCTCATGGGAGAGACAGTGACGCTAGAAGGTGAAGAATAGGGGTAATGCTGTGAGTGTTCACACGGCGAGAAGCACTGGTTGGCGCTTGTGTTCGCTGCAACCCCCTGCCATGGCATCACGGCATTCTGACCAGACTGTGAGCAGAAGGCGTGACGTGCTACTGTCGAGAGAGGACGACACCTGGTGGTCATGCCACCTTTGATATTGTGCTTGATGATGCTTCTCTGAGGTCTCGTCGTCTAGGAGGCTAGAAGGGTGCTCGTACTGCCAAATGAATGTCAGCGAACCAAGGTCGAGGGAAGAGAGATGGGCACTGACCTTGTTCTCTGTAAACGCACTCTCGCCGTTGAAGGAAGCAAGGCTATGCCTGTTTCTTCTTTCTTTGATCCAGGCATGTTGACCAAAGAAGGCGGGATTGAGAGCAGGCGCTGACGGTCGGCGAGCTGGGCTCGGAGCGGCCTCTAACGTCATCTGTACGGCGTGCCGAGGAGTTGGTGCAACGATTTCACGGACTTGGATAGGCTCTATAGCAGGGTACACGTCATCGACAGCATTGTTCCACTGTTCATGGGTCGTCTCTGCCCATGGGTCGAGGATAGGGTCTTGACATACATCCACAGCAGCAGAGAGGTCGGTTTGGGAAGAGTCGCTGCCGTAACGCATGTCCGCAGTAGCAGCGTAGTCGACGCCTCCAGGATGATGGTACGCCCCATGCATCTGATAGAACCCATGCTTCAAAGCATCTCACTATATACGGATCATGAAAGTTCTTCGTCATATACGCACCTCGTTCGAACTGTCATGAGAGTATCCCATAGGGTTGCACTCAACAAGGTTTAGGCCTTCTGTGTCCTGGCCTGAGATGATCGAGTAAGGGAAAGATGCCACTCCGTCGCCACTAGATGACTGATAAGGCTCAGAACCGTAGTCGACGAAGGCCTGTTCACTTCCGAAGTCTGTCTGATTCCACGACGCGAGGGTTGATTCAGATTGTGATGTCTGCATGATGGGGGTGTGTAGGAGCAAGAAAGTAAGAAGTCAAAGAGAGGAAGATGGGCGAAGTAGGCGGCTCGGGGGGAGCTAGGTGTTGGGTGTCATTAATATAACAAAAAACGACCCCGGATCGTCGTGGCACTCGGCGGCGCCGCTTAATCGAGGCACAGGCGTCGGCTGTAAACGAAATTGTTGATTAGCGAACGCTTCTGGCACAGAGGGATCTCCTGATGTCAGTCGAAAGCACGGATGAAGAAGCTCGTATGATACATAAAGGAGTGGTTACTTATGCGAGGTTATTCATACCTTCTGGTTTGACGACTGCAAATAGCTGAACATTTGCTTGCAATGCACTGACGACCAGCCAAGCTCTTCGCATTACGACCATCGGAGAAATAAGCATAGAAGTGCTGCATTGGTGAGGTTAACTCCTGGCCGCAGCTGACCTCGGCAATCGGACCCGAGCAACAAAAAGTTTACAACTCAAAATCAGTAAGCAGGAGAAGACTATCCTGGAGATCGAATGCTTAGGAACAATAGAGCCCGGCGAACGGATGCTCAAGCCGGCTTGGTGGTCTTGATGGGGTTCCCCGAAGAGCACGCACGCCGTCGAAGAAACAATTTCGGAGACCCCGACATGGCCGACTTTGAGCTGAGGTAGAAGTGCTGCACTTGGAGCGGCTCGGTAGGATATGATTTCTGAGTCCCAGTGAGAGTTCGTTGAAAAATCGAGGCTCGACTGCACCAGGCTCGAGTCTGAGGCTCCCCAATTTCCCGATGTGCGTGTGGTCCACTCATGTGCCCCCCCTCGTCACCCGCGCACGCTCATCGCCCATGCGCTCACCGCCAACCGCCAACACCGACACACGCCGTTCAGTCCTACCCATCCACTCCCGCACCCGTACCCCGCACCCATACCCTGCACCTGCATGCTGCCTCCGTTCCCGCCCACATACGCCCGCACTCAACCCACCGCCTACTCGCGCGCCCATACCTATTGTCAGTGCGCATGTACGCAGCCCATGCCCTTTGCCGATCGCTCACCCGCCCACTCACGCCGCCCCCGCCCATGTCTGTCCACCGCCACCGCCCGCCCATATTCATACGCGCATGCACACCGCGCACGCTCACGCTGACATTGACTCCCCGGATCCTTCTCCCGCTCCTGCCCGTCCACGCGCGCACGCTCGTGTCATCCATACCTACTTCTGCCCATCTCCCCCATTCTCGCCGCACCGGCCCCGCTCACACTCATCCGCATTGCTTACTATGAATCCCCGCATTCCCCGTATCCCCCTCGAATTTTTATGGATACAATTTAAGTACCTTGAAATAAATTTATGTTTTAAATTCAAAATCTTGTCTCGTGAATCCCTTTGTCATTCGATATTATGTTCAATGAAGAGTAAAATCATGATTTCAAAGCTGACAAATAACAGAAAACAGTATTTAAAAGAAAGAGTAGAGCACCAAAAAGAGTCTCGGTTCAATGCTACTTATGCGACCCTATCCGTTGCAGTAGCCACCCGCTGACTCATATTCGCCGGGACTCGACCACATTCGTTCACTGGGCGTAAATACTCACAAACCTGCCTTAATGACGTCCTGACAATGGAGCGCCAGTGTTGCCCATTCGCGCCTTCTTCAACTGAGGCGGAGGAGTGGGTGGAGAGCCGGGATCAGTACTGGTGTACATCGAATATTGCGACCTCCCCTTCGGAGACGTCGAATCCCAGACTGGTGCTTGGTCCGAGCCCTGTCGGCTATCCTTTGGCGGAGTCGTGGGCAGTCTCTGCTGCCCCGCATGTGGCGATCGTCTTTTTAAGCTCTCGTCAAGTTGGCGAACCCGGAGTTGAATGAATTCGAAGTCGTCCTTCCTTCGCTGAATCTCCTTATCTGTCTTGTCCTCCATGTGCGCAACCTCGTCAGCATCCAGATTTGAATGCAAGTTAGACTTTGACTGTATCTTCCCGAGTTCGTCCTGGAGGAGTGTGATAATGTGGTCATGTAGGCCTCCTGCCACATAGTCGTTGTAGGTGATGTATCCAAAGCGAAGGATCTTCCACCATCTGGAGAGAAGAGGCTTCAAAGAATCAAAGTACGGGTGTATGCACTTGAGGATGATTTCGTCGAGGTCGTCAGGGTTATCGAAGAGCAGCCGTTTGTTGTTCCATAGAGTGTGATCGTCCTTGGAGTCGAATAGACAGTAAACAGCGGCATATATCGGCTTGGTCTCTTCGGTCAAAGGTTCATTGATGGAAAGCTCAATTCGACGTCCTCCGCCAGGACCATCACGCGTGAGGCAGAGATAAAGAAGGACCCAGAAGAAAGACTCGAGATCATGAATGGCGCTGTGGGCAACCCGGCCCGGCGACCTCAGCGCCTCGGTACCTTCGTAACGCACATTTGAAGAATGTATAATCTCGGTGCTCATGAAAGCCCTGGTGCCCTGGAGCACAATATCTGGCATCAGACGAAGTCGAGAGATAGACGAAGGTGTCTGCTTGCTGTCCTATGCCTTGTATGCGGAAGATGCCCATCCCAAGCTGGAGGGCGATCCTGATGGACAGCAGTGAGTAGAGATGCCGGTCGGATTTTCAGCATAAAAGCTCACGAAAGGTGTCTCCAAAAAGAGATCTTCTACTGTCAGCTAAGTCATAGGGTCAGTTTCTGGAGTATGATTGAGTAAATGACATCAATCACCTCTTTATTAGCGGTTCTGAGGTCCGGATTCATGCTGAGAACCACGTCTATATATACCAAGAAATGTGATGGGTAACGAGCGATGAGGATGCCAGCGGCCTCATCGGTTACAGACACCTGCCGGCGGAGTCGAAGGAATCCAGCCATGTCCTTGTCGGGAGGCTCTGGTGCTGGGTATTCTACGCGCGTGTCCGATTTTTTCGAATAGTCAAGGTCGATGAGTTTACCACAAGTATCTTCGACATTGACATCAGACCTGGGACAGATAAGCACGTTGCCGGTGCTGACGTCTCGATGAAGCATACGACTAAACCAGTAATCGCAGTGTGCTGGAGAACGGCGGTCAATACGGTGCCAGCAGAATGCTCATAAGATTCGGACAGCTTGAAAGGATGCTCACCTTTCACAGCATGGCTCATGGATTTGACAAGCTCGGGAATGTCTTTGAAGAACTTGATGGGCCACCCGTACGTCCGCATCAAAGTGCGCGTCAAGACACGATTTGTTGCCAATCATCTGTCGGCAATGACAGGGAATTTCAAGACCTCAGAAGAAGTCAATGTAACGTGAAGAAAGCTTTCATGGGGCTGGGACTCATCGAGCTCCGGCTTCTTGCGCTTGGTCGAGCGTAATTCGGATGCTCCGGGATCTTTAGGCAACTTACTTCTCTTGAGTGAAGAGGCTTGGACCTCCACGCTGCAACGAATGTGATTGACCGTGTTGTTGACCACCATGCCTCCCTGCTCGTCGTCCATGACTCTGATGTCGACCGAGTTGACGATATCGCAGATGTGAATAGAGGGTGGCTTGGACAGGAATTTATGGAATGTTGCTTCAGTCTGCAACATCTCCGGACGCCACGACTGTTTGAGCACAAACCGCTAGTATATCAGGTCAGTACATATGATCAGTCAATTATATGTACCCCGAGAGACCTCACCTCCATGGTTCTCTCGTTCACAACAAGCCACACAATCGTCGCTCGACCTTCCATCACCTGCGCTTGCACGGTACTGAGAGCTTTGACCGTCAAGTACCTGTCTTTGCCCTCGTTTCCGTCAGATCTCGGACCTTGTATAGCCCAAGTCGTCTCATGTGGGCTCACACCATAGTAGTCGACGGTCACATCCTTATCTGTGGAGAAGTGATATGTAGCCGTCTCCATGCGATAGATACGCATTGTTGTGTCCCAACCGAGCCTAGAGGGATTGAGACGAGACAAAGATATGATGACCTTGATGAACTTTTTAGGCTCCTGTGCAAAAAGGAAAAAATGAACAGATGTCCCGTTAGAGCGGGTAAGAACGAATAAGAACACAAACGTACGGCATGGATATCGATCGCGGTGCGTGTTCCGACCAAACCAGAGCGGTCACACATCCATACTGTAAGCTTTGACTTGCACAACAGAAGTCCTATAGCAAAGCGCCGGTCCAGTTGCTCGGCGAGCACCATCCACATGTAGCTGCAGAGCTGGAGTATCCCTTCCAACATCTCCTCCTTACTGTTCTTCAGTTTCATCTCAACAGGAATATGAACACGCAACCACCATAACTCGCATTTCTTCAGCACCTCCTTTCGCTGAGACAAAGCAATGAGACCGAATTAGCTGTATTTAAATCGAAGAACGGACGCACCTGAAGCTTCAAATCCTCCTTTTCAGCTTCTTCCTCCGGCCCAGAGCCCAGTTGGTGCTCAAGATCTTGAATCCGTGTGTCGAGTCTCTTGAACTCATCTAGGGCGTCCTTTAGTCCGATAACGGCCAGCGAGTCAGGGCGAATCTGCGGCGACCACCGGTCGGGAGACTTCGGGCTTTTATTAGGACCCGCTTGCCAGGAGATGTCAAGCGCGAGTTCAACTATGGGATTAGTGGCGCTGCAGGCAGCGATGATTGCGTTGGCAGTATCTGCGAATGAAGAGTAGAGCTCCTTCTCTAGCTTCGGAACCTTCGGTAGGGAAAGCCACTGGGCTGAAGACGAGTTCAGCGTGTGGAGGACATTGCGGACGTTGTTGTCAGCAGTCTTCCAGCCAAGGACGTGGTCCAGAAAGGTGTCGGTCTCGATAGTCCAGAAGTTGTCTTGGACATCATCTTTGGCCATCTTCTTAAAGTCAGAGCCTGGGGTTTTATACAAGGCGGATATCACTGCAAGAGAGTATTTAATCTCAGTATCAGCTCATGCTTGTTGAATGCGATTGTGATGTAAGTATATGGGCTCATTGGTAGGTGGCGGCATCCTGCAAACGAGAGCAAGGGGTGGGTGATTGCAAAGGGTGTACACACCGACTGAAAACCTTGATCGTCTTTGAATCAGATTCAAGCCTGATCAGATAGCGATGGTGTCTGTTTTGCGTGCACTAAGGCTCGAGGGAGACAGGGGGTGGGAATTGGGTATTTTTGACAACAGGCACTCTCGCGAACTTGCCATTACATTGTCTTCTACCGTCCCGTGTTAGGACAGACTGACTCCGAGGGTCCAACCGGCAGTTTCCGGTTTTTTTTGCTCATGATTGTAAGCCATTTGTGGCGGCACCTCCTAAGCCAACATAATGCTTCGGTATCACCGTGCCATGGATCAATGCAGGCTCCTACCCACCACCATGTCGAGGGCAAGGGTCTATTACTATGAGGAAATAACAAAAAACATATGAGAAAACATATGACAAATAAATGACATAATGAAGAAATATTTTGAACCTTATTCCTCGAGCAATCCCAAGCCTAGCCTCATGCTTCCCAAGCGGAATAGGCCAAGCGGGCATTGAAAAGCCACAGCGCGTTTTCATAGGAGTTGTTACGGCCGGGCAAGCCGAGCTGGCTCTATACCGCCTGGGCTCACTGGTCACGGTTTTGGCGGGGCGCGCCAAATGTGAGTTTGACTTAGCCAAATTTTGTGCAATCTTCAGCCACCACTACTATACCTTACCTCCACACTCGTTACTTCTCTTAGCAAATAAATATGTATGTAGATATGTTAATAACTAAATCATCTATCTATATTATTCTGCCTCCAAATGTTCCTGAAAATCAGAACTCGCAACAGGGCACTCTGTCGCACCTCGCAAAGATGCTGAGGGCCGAGGCAGAGCAATGTGGGCAACCGAAGGGTGCCAGGATGATGGTGCCATTGTAGGGTACTGTCCCCATAGTGCATAACTATACTGTGGGTTGGAGGGCAAAGAATGCAGGGGGCCGAATGATGATGAGGAATAAGAATAAAAGGGTGATTGGGCCCAGTTCAGTACATAGGGGGATGCTGCAGGTAGAAGTGTTGCTGGAATTGGTGGCAGATTGTTTGTAGGAGGTCTATAGCTTTGTGAGCAATAGTCTCAATAATAGGTTGTGTGTGGTGCTGTGTCAGTCATCTGTGCTCGGGCATGCTCTATAGTATCATGTTGGTATGATGGTGGGGGTCCAGCGTTAGAGGCCACAGGTTGCGCGTGCCTCGCTCGTTTACATGGGGTCAAGGCGCCCCAGGGTGAAACCATTCCCTTGCTTGTCATGTTGCTGAGCAACATGGGGCCAGCTGTGGTTTGTGGGCGCTTTGACGACAATGTCGTACCAGTTGGTGATGGCACTGCCTTGGACTGGTCACCATTATTGACCGGGGGCAAGGTGGGCAGTGGCGGTTTCAAGGTAGGGCCCGTATCTCTGCAGTGCTGGTCATTTAATCCAAGCAGGAGTTAAGACAACTCAGGCCCATATTTGGGCCAGAGCTGCCAGTTTGGTGCGAGGTAATTCTAGATGGTGGCGGAGGAAAGTGGTCTTTGGAGAGATGCCAGCTTCATAATGGTGTTGTTGGAGAGTATGCATACCAATGTCAGATAGAGCTGATCTGGAGCATTGTGTGCAAGGATGGTGTCGTGCCACGTCCGGAGCGTGTTGGTTGTGATAGTGCTAGGGCGTCCAAAAGCGGTCTTACTTGCCTCTCTTGCAGCGCGGCGCTTCTTGGTCCCGGGTTGGGTCTGATTTAACAATGTGGGGTTGTATATATCACAATAAACCACCATGGGATCTGGCAGATCATGTCACTAGGACCATTGTCAGAAGGAGAGACATCAAATACAGATGGTACTTACTAGGTTCAGGATTATCAAACACCTTGCATAGGATGGACCGACGACATGTTGTAGCCTGGACGAAAAGATACAGTCCTTCCGTGGGATCTTGAGGGTTGAATGTGAGGCTGACGCCTCCTGGTGCTATGACGTCGTGTGCGGTGGTCCATCCACTGTGGAAGTGACCATGTGCTCGTGCGTAATCTTGACTCGCTTTCTTCGTTGTACCTGCCTTAGACTTGGTGTAGGGCTTCAAGCGTCGAGCGTTGGAGTTATTCTGGCGTGAATGGACTGCAGGAGGATTGTGGGTTGCTATAGAGTATGCATTTGGCTCAACCAATAAAATTGCAAGCCCTGTTTTATTAGGGGCTCGAGCCGCCCGTCCTGCTCGTTGAACAAAGCTCGAGAGTTTGTCTGGCAGTTTCCACTGCACGACAATGTCGATATCTGGGATATTACAGCCCTGGCAAAGCAATGGTGATTAGTGCATGCTTCACTTGTGGGACCGGCGGAAACCACGTACCATCCCAGTGGTGTCCGTGCACACCAAGATTCGTATATCACCACTTCGAAACTGTTGCATTGCCTCTGTGCGGTACTCATTTGTATGGACTGCGTTGTATGGCTGAATAATTCCATACAAGTGGCTCGGGAGGAGCATGCAAAGGTGGTTGATGATCTCCACACCGACGGTTACATTGTTGGCTTAGATCCATGTTTTCTTGATGTCAGTGGGATGCAAGCAATCTTGTGGGATAAGGAAGTCGAGGTCCGTGTACGAACTCATTGTGTTGTGTATGGCTCTTACGGCAAGCGACATATTTGGACGATTGTTGCCAAGATTCAGGTACAAGTGAGCAGAACGGGTGAACTGCAACTTCTCGACAATGTTGAGTGTGACGCGCTGAGTAAGCGAGGCAGACAAAGCAATGAATGGTGTCCCTCATGGTAAGAATACACGGATGGAGCCAATAGATGCATATTTCTTGCAAAAGAGTGCCCCCCAGTGAGATATACAATGCGCTTTGTCTACGATGACTAAATACACACATGATGCCAGTTCGGGAGCACAAAGGACATTGTCAATGAACTGGCGAGACAGTAGCATCTCGGGGGATATGAGCACAATTTGATACTTCCCCTTGATGATGTACTGACATACAATGTGTTATTGTGGTATTCTGCGGGCACTTTGATCATATGGCTTACCCGCATGAGCTCCCATGTATATCCGCGATGTGCACTGTTGACTGCTATGGCGGATACATGGTATTCTTCTTGGAAGGTTTCAGCCTGTATGTCATCCCTGGTCACCATCGGAATCGAAAGCGGGTATGAATAGGGGTAACTCACCATTTCATTTTGCAGCCCAATTAGGGGTGATATCATGAATGTCACCCTCCCTTTGTTTTTCTCCAGCGCGTAAGGTCCGGCTGTGATGGCTGTTTTACCCATGCCTGTCGCAGCCTGGCAAATAGCATCGCAACGCTCTTCTTGTGCTTGAATCATCTGCACCTGGAACTTGCAAGGTTCTCTGCCTGCAAACTGGCCCCTTAACTGAGTGCTGAGGTGTTCGACAGCCTGTGATGACATTGGACTGGGCGGAACGGCTGGCAGTCGCTGGGTACGATGTTTCGAGGCATGCGCCCTCTCGCTAGGTGTTTGCTTTTAGGAAAGTGAGGGGGTCGTCATCGCTGTAAATGACAAGTGTGTATGGGAGGGAAGCGGGAGGTCAAAAAAAGTTGTCTGGAGAGCACAGAGATCTTACCTCGCACTCGATCCATGTGAGCTCTACACTTGATAATCCTCTTGTGGCCAGCCTCATCTGTCTCGTGCCCTTTGTTCAAAATACTCCTGCGACATGTGTGACACGATCCAAGAATCTCTGCCACCCTCATCCCCACCGGACAAAGGTTCTTCATCTCCGTTGGTGAACCGTTCCCATTTCTTGGCATGCACAACTCTCCCTAACATCCCTGCTGGTGTTATGATCACGTTCTATCGGGCCTACACGGCGGTCTATACCGATACGATCATCACAAATATCACGCGGCCTCACAGGTTGAGGCGTACACCAAGGTACAGATATTAACCTTGGTCATCCACTCCCAACGGATCACCTTATCGTTGGTCGAGTATCACGGGCCTATTGTATTAGCGGGCATGGAGCGCCGCCTTATAAATTACTCACACGCAGGGCATGAACCTCCTAGTCTCTCCTGGCCGGAAGGAGACCAACGGAGAAGCACAAGAGTAGTCATTATTGAGAGAGACGACTTAGAGAATACCTACAGATACATATTCGGTATTCTCACGCCCTACTTCCCAAAGTAGTATAAAAGGCCCATAGAATAGGCTGACGATCTTCAGTCTATTCTCTTCGTTCTACTGCAGTCTTCCTACTGCAGTCTTCGTTCAGTACTGTCCTCCTACAGTACTCCTTCATCCTTAGACAGTCTTCATACTGTCTACTTTCATTGCTACATCGCAATACACTTCTGGCTCCTGTGCTACACGTACGGTCGAGACCACCGTTCCACACATCCTCCACGAGTGACCTAGGGAAGAACCTCCTACTCTTGGGGTTACCGACGAGCAGTCGTAACACTAGAATAGACTCTTCTGCCCCTACCTTGCTCGCACTAGCTTGCTGCCACACTCTCTCTCATAACCTTGCTCAGTGGGGATATAGACCCCCATTGAGAAAGCGTTACTGCACACACTCTGGAGCAAGACCTAGGCCAGGAATACCCACCCGGCACTAGACGTATCAATAATCAACTCCGTCACAACAATCGCCCTATCCGGCGCGAAGGGGACTTCTGGGTCTACGAAGACAATAACGGAACTGCCCCTCCGAATTACGATAACTGCTCATACCGAAACGGGCGTTATTACTTCACCCTTGAAGACGGAACAGAAGAAGAGGATATTTGGAACGAAACAGAAGCTCAGTGGGAACTAGCCCCACAATACAGGGAACCGGCGCCGGTAATCCCCGAAGACTCGGAGCAAGAGGAAACAACCTCGGAATCAGACTCCGACTCACCAGACCAAACACCGATCAACACCCGAAACGAACCACTCGCCGAAATGTCGGGACAAGCTTCGACTTCTACAAACACCCCTTCCGCGACAGTACAACCCGGAAGAGGAAAAGTCAAACTCCCAGACAATTACACAGGCGACCGCATTGAATCCCAGAAATTCATGCTCCAATGCCTCCTTCTTTTCGCAGCAGAATCCGATTGGTACAAGACCGATCAAGACAAAATATCCCTTGTGCTCTCATGCATGAGATACGGCACGGCAGGAGCTTGGGCGGAGAACTTCCTCCTCAAATCAGTAGGAGCAGATCCACCTACCGATCTAGGCACCTGGAAGGACTTTTTAGCCAAGTTCAAATTACAGTTCAGGGAGACGGGCAAGACCGACAAAGCGCGAAGCGCACTCATGGCCTTCTCCCAAGGACGAATGACGGTTGATGAATACTCCAACCAATTCATTCTCATCGCCGCCGATGCCGACATCTCCGATAAAGAGCAGGTCCCTTATTTCCAACGCGGGTTAGACCCGCGCGTCATGGACAAAATTTACGACAAGGAAGTCCAACCAAAGGATACCATTCAGGACTGGATCAATACAGCCTGCGAAATAGATGGACGGCTGCGAGCCAGAACAGCTCAAAAAGCCATCCTAGCCAACTCCACCTCCTTTCGAAGCGATTATCTGAATCGTTTTCATAACCAAATCTCTCCCCGCTACAATTCCACAAACGCCCCTCGTAGAATGAACAACCAAGTCGTTGACATGGACATTGACGCGACACGCAAGCGCAATGCCCTTAGCCAGAAACGGAAATATGACGGCAAGCCTCCAAGCGCCTGTTACCATTGCGGAAAAACAGGACACTGGAATACTGACTGCCCGTCACGACGCAGAGGCGTTCAACCGACTCGAGGAAACTCGAAGAGACGCATGGGCACGACAGGGAGAAGAAACCGCGCGGTTGATTTGGAAGGAGAAGACGACGCACCCGCTATGGGAAACCAAGCGGGAATATATCGAGGAATGGAGACAGAGGATGTCCCTCGCAACAACCAGCGGGTACCACAACCTGGTCCTTCGATGGAACGTCCTCACTCTACCTCATCCGGACGACCCCAAACGAACCATGGGCAACGCGCTATGTTACCTAACGGACAACGGGGAGACGGAAGCGTCAGTCATTCTGCTCGAATCGGAGCAGTACTCGGAGAACTAGGGGAAGATGAAGCAAGGGAAGTGATCTTGGGACACGCGGAGCGTTTTTCCTGACCTCTCCCTCGCCAGCGAAGGAGAGAGGTCAAGGACGACCCGAGTTTGATGCCCACACTTGTATTCGTATCGGAGCAATGAACGACCGTATCATCACCCCCATACGCCTGAACGTGAAAGTATCAAACAGGAGTCAAAACGCTGGAGCAAAGGCAACCATCGACTCGGCCTGCGAAGGGGTTATAGTAAACGAAACTTGGGTCAAGAAACATCGTTTCCCCACCTATACACTCAACAACCCCATTCGCGTCCGGAACGTCGATGACACCATTAACAAAGCAGGTCTCATCCGATCCGCCTTGGATGTGAACCTCACCATTCGGGACATCAGTGGATGAACGCATACCGAGCGCGTCCAGATGTTTATCTCCAATCTAGGGAAAGACGACCTTATCCTGGGAACAGATTGGTTGAAATACCACGATCCCTCCATCGAATGGAGGCGACGTGAAGTGCACTTTGATCGGTGCCCCCAGAAATGCCAGCAACCATATGGGTTCACTAGGGCAAGGGAAGAACCACCATACAGCAGGCAGTTATCAGACGTGGAGCCACGGCACAAACCACGCATCAATGAGCGCGAAAAACAGCGCCTCGAACATCTCCGAAGACTATCGGAAGATGTAGGACTCCGCGATCACAGCGGAACGTTTGGCGTCCGACTACGAGCATACCTCAAAAGGAAATGGCTCCTAAAGGACATAAGGAAATACGCAGAAGAGAAACGAAAGGCTCAAGACAAGCCATCTCTTTCACCAAACGGGGGAGAACCTGATCTCCCAGACAAACCCTCAGGAAAACAGGCCACCCGGGACCCAGTTATTCGGAAACTGGCCCCCGAACCGTCAGGATTTGCCAGTTTCGACCAAGACCTGGAAGACGAAATTATCGTCACCAATCTAAAGGAAAGAGTTCCCAAGGCGCATCACGAATTTTTGGACATCTTTAGCGAACGAAAGTCGCAGCGACTCCCAGAACACACTTACTGGGACCATGCCATCGACTTGAAACCAACCTTCAAACCTCAAGTGCCCAAAATCTACGCCCTGAGCCCAGAGAAACACGACGAATTAGGAAAATTCATCAAGGAACATCTGGAGAGAGGAACCATCCGTCGATCCACCTCGCAAACAGCAGCCCCATTTTTCTTTATAGGAAAAAAGGATGGAAAACTACGCCCGGTACAGGACTATCGCCACTTAAATTCGCACACCATCCCGAATGTGTGCCCCCTTCCACTAATCCAGGAACTACTGGATGTGATAAAAGGGGCCATCATTTTTAGCAAATTGGACGTGCGATGGGGATACAACAATATACGCATCAAAGAAGGAGATGAGTGGAAGGCGAGCTTCATCACTCCGTTAGGTTCTTACGAACCCACGGTGATGTTTTTCGGCCTGACCAACTCACCAGCCACCTTCCAAGCTATGATGAACATGATCTTCAGAGAGCTCATCACAGCCCGGAAGATAACCGTATATATGGACGACATCCTCGTCTTCTCCAAAACCATGGCAGAACACGTCAAAATCCTAAACCAGGTTTTCCAAATCCTACGCGACAACGATCTATATTTGAAACCCGAAAAATGCGAGTTTTACAAGGAAAAGCTCCAATACCTGGGATATACAATTTCAAAAGACCATGTCGCCATGGAGGACTCAAAGGTGGACGCAATAAAAGATTGGCCAATCCCACGTACAGTCCGCGACATTCGCTCCTTCCTGGGTCTAGGGAATTTTTACAGGCGCTTTATTGACAAGTTCTCACTCATCGCGCGCCCCCTACATGACCTCACCAAAAAGGACGAGAAATGGAACTGGACTACAAAATGCCAAGAAGCTTTCGAACGATTAAAGAAAGCTTTTATCAGTAAACCTGTCTTGAACTATCCAGATCCCATGCACCCATATCGACTAGTAACGGACGCATCACTAATCGCCTATGGAGCTACCCTTCTACAAGAAGGAAAAGATGGTGACTGGCACCCAGTCGCTTTCCTCTCTGGATCGTTTTCACCAGCAGAGCGGAATTACGACGTTCACGACCGGGAACTCTTGGCTATAATCAAAGCGTTGGAACATTGGAATCATTACCTCGAAGGCGCACGACACCCCTTCGAGATTTGGACAGATCATAAAAACCTGGAACACTTCCAAACGGCGCGAGACCTATCACGACGACACGCCCGTTGGAGCCTTTATTTGAGCAGATTCGACTTTACACTCAGCTATAAAGCAGGATCGACAAATCACTCTGATGCTCTGTCCAGG